ACATTTTGGGCCGATACCGATATCTGATATTACTATCACTGCTATGGCTGATAACCAATATTTGCCGATACAGATATGCTGACATTAATGCTTCTAAAATCAGCAAACTGAAAAGTATTAAAGCTGAATTTACATTATTATGTACACACACCACACACATTTACGCTTCTGAGATGACTACATTCACTGTTCACATGACTAAACAAATACACACCACCCCCCTCTCCCTCTGAAACAGGCAAACAAGTGGAGACGAGATGGAAAACATATCGGTTGTTAATATATACCGATCTGTTGAAAAATCACTAACATCGGCCGATACCGATACTAATGCCGATTGTATTGTCCATCCCTACTTAAAGAGCAAATTGCAGGTTAGAGACTCCCATGAATCAATGTTTAGAGAAACATAATAGAAACTCGTTTTAAAAGTTTTTTTACACAGACGTAAATTATTTAGGCTTTTAGAGTCATTTTTGTGAGAAAGGTTTTTTTTGCCAAACCAAGTGACGTCAGCTGAGGGAGTCCTGTTAGCTTAATCCAGAGAAAAATATGGATTCTAATGTGGCTCTGACATAGAGGAAACTTTGAATGTTAATGATTATACTTATGATGGACCAAAACCATAAAGTTATGAGTTTGCTGCACGCCCCAGAGAGCAGAGACAAACCAGAGGGAGAAACCATCGGCCAAAGCAGAGAGATTGAGTAGGAGCAGTAGCGGGGGGGCAGCAGGTGAGTAAACTATGCTAGTTTAAACTTGTGTGCTAACAGTAAAATATTGCACAGATTACTATTGTGTACCAGACAATTAAAATAGTATTGGTCAGTTAATATGATATTAATACTAATGAGCGTCTGTCAGCTGTCTCATACTCGTTAATATCCGTTCACCTAACATAGTTTAGTGCTTTAGAGAGAGGGAGAGCTTCCGGTTCTGGAGCTCATGCGGGCTTCTGTGAGCTGGATCCGACCCATACACCAGAGAGCCAGTCCAGTTGGTATTTTTAAAAGCTACACATGATCCTCTCCTGGTTGTCCGGGCGGCGGTTCTGATCTGATTCCGACCCGGAAACCAACTGGCCCGTTGAGCTGCGCATTTCTTCTGGTGGTCGGTTCTGACCTGGTTCTGACAGTGATCTGAGCTCCAGAAATCCGCATTTCATTTTTTAAACCCCACCACGGGTCTCTGGAGCCCAGCGCGGACCTCTCTGTCCCGGTACCGACCGATATGGGCTACAGAAGTCCGTCTTTCAGCTGCAGAAACGCCCTCAGGCACGGAGATGGAGGCGTTGTTTCTCTTATCTGGAAACCCGTGGACTCAATGTCCAGACAGGCTGGAGTTGGTACAGCCTTCACAAACTATAGTTTATCAACATGAACACAATCCAATGCGAGTAAACACACACACACTGACTGGAAAACATGACCTCTCTACCCTAAAACTATAGCCACTCTCCACACTGAGCTGAGGCAGCGCCTAGCTTCTAACTCCCTTTGGTTACGTCAGAGGTTCAGATTTAGAAAAAAGAGCCTTTTTAGAAGCTTTGCTGAGAAATGTCACTTTTACTAAAAAAACTGCTATTATGTATTTTAAAATTAAATATCCACGATAAACGTTTCAAATGGAATTTTTTTGGACAGCATTTTATATGAATTAGAAAAAAAATTTAACCTGCAATTTGCTCTTTAAAATTAACCCAACGTGTCTGATTTGGGCCTGTGGGAAGAAACCCATGCGTGAAAAGAGAGAAAACGGCTGCTGGCTCTGGCTGCAGGCAAGATTTGAACCCACAACCTTATGTCTGAAGCATTGCCAGCTGCTCTGCCATGTGTCTTAAATCCCTAGATTCAACAAGTCCATCTTTTTCTTTTAAGTCAATCTACCTTTTCATTTTTCCCAACTCCTTCCAGAGATTTTGAGGCGTGAAACTTGGTCAATAGAACTTTTTTGGGTCTACAGCAGAAGATCAAATTTCTAAAATAAGATTAGTTTGTGTTTGGCTTCTGCTGCACAGCTCAGTGTAGAAGTATTGACCTCCTAAAATGCTATTTCTGTCATGATCTGATTGTATTACGAATGGGATGCAGCATCACCCTGATGCACAGCCACAGGTGAGGAGAGGTCTTTCCTTTACCCACGTTCATCGCCTCTGGATCGATCCAGAGGTCAAATTTCTAAATTCACCACCCAAATAAAAACATGAGCTGCAAATGCACACAAAACAAAGTCATCCATCCACAAACATTCACATATTTCATTCATAAAGTCTGAGAGAAGCAGTGATTTTCATCCCAGTTCTCATTTTGAATGGAGACAAACACCAGTAGTCAGGAAATTATGATTTATCTTGTAATGAAACAAAAACCCTTTTTTTATCCAACCTAAAGACAAAAGGCATGCAGATTTCCATCAGCGTGACAGAGCGAACACACGCACAGCAACATGAATAACATCCGTTTTCACTCGGGCGTCCTGCTGCCGTTCTTATCAGAAACAATTACACGTTTAAAAGGGACGTCACCGCAAATTGCTATTTAATTAGTGCCGCCAGAAGCCGGCATTACAAGCAGTCTCTCAATAAGAAGGCAGCTACGGGGGACAGCATAATAATGAGGGCTGGAAATTATTTCTCAGAGGCCGAGATAATCTAACGTGGAGAGTAATTGATGATTTCAGCCTTGCTGGAGGTGTCACAGTCTGTTTGGTGGCTTGGTTCATTTTTAGAACAGACTTTGCAAACATCATCTAAATTATCAAAAATTTCATCCAGAACAGCAGAGTGTCCTGTACCTTAGCCACTGGATGTTTATATCACTGTCTCCTCTACTGGCAGTTTTTCATGGATTGTGTGATTTTCAAGGATTTGTTTCTCTCCTGCATTTAATGGATGTAATTTGATCAAATTATATTCCAAAAGACTACACACAAGCAGAATATCACAGTTTAAGATCTTATCCTTAGGAGTAACTCTCCACAAGATTAAAAATATCTATCTAGTACATAACAGATGAACTGATGAAAGCTCCTGTTTTTGCAGGTTTCTACAGAACACTACATTTATTCGATGGTCAGAGGTATGCACACTGACCAAAGGAAAATATTTTAAATCCTTTGGAGAAGTTAAAAAGGAATTTGTTTTAGGGAACTCATATTTGTTCAGATACGGGGCGTGTCCAGGGAGTGGCCTGGAGTAGCCTGCTATCTAATTAGCCACCCCACTGAGTTGTTGCATTGGCCCAATCTCAATACTCGCACTTGCACTCTTGCGCCCTTCATTTGCACGTTCACGGCCAGGGGTGCGAGTGTCCCGATTCTCAAGTGCGGAAGTTGACCACGCCCCCATTGCACTCTTAATCTGCACTTCACCCAAGTCTGCAGCGATGCGGACCTTGGACAAGAGTTTTACCCACAATTCATTGCTGCAGGAGAAAAGGCACAAGTTCCTTTTATGAAAATATGTATTTTCTAATGAAATTAGTTAATTTTAGAAGGATTAGTTGATGCTCTAAAATTTTAGACAAAGCAGTAAATTTATTTCAAATAACTGTTTGGCTGTTTGTTTAGACGTTGTTAATAAAGGTTTTTGGAAGTATCACAGTGACCAGCATCCCGGCATGCATTACGATCGATGACGCAACGCTCCCTGTCTCAATTCTGCAATTATTTGCACACTTGTGTACTACGCACTTGAACCCTACTGCCCACTTTCTCCAAGTGCACTTTTCTGAAGTCCGCAGGGCTCAGTGCGAGTATTGGGATTGGGCCATTGTCCACAAAAGCCTTGAAGTTATAAACCCCAAAACAGTAGGTGGCTGCTTGCACCATTAACATTGGCCTCTAGCCCCTGGACAACAGAACATGTGTGTATTATAAATATAAATATATTATCAGGACTCCCAATCCTTCACCCTCCTCAGCCTTCATGCAGCATACCTGGTCTCATCATTAAGCCCCAGCCAAGCCCTGTTTCCCTGACTACCACAATCAGCTTCTTCACCTGCTCCTGACTCCTCAGCTTATCTTACACACCTGCTTCCCCTACTATATATTCACCAGTAAACCACCAGTTCCCTACCAGATTATTTACAGCCCTGTCAGTAAATTCTCCAGCGATTCACCCTGCCTGATTTCTGCTTTTCTGATTGTTTTTCTCCTGACCCCTGCCTTGCCCGCAGCCTGCCATTTCGACCTTCGCCTGTCCCCGACTCTGTCTCCAGCCTCGCCCTCATGGTAACTCTGCTGCAAATAAAGACTTTTTTTAAATCTATTTTTACAGTGTTTGGAGTCTTCACGAGTCTTCTGAGTTCTGTTCGTGACATTTTATATACATATATATATATATATATATATATATATATATATATATATATATATATATATATATAATATTTACAAAAATAGTATTTATAGTCCTGGTCCACGCTCTACTCCAGCAAATGCCACCAAGAAGTTTCTTGCTAATCACCACAAAACGGATAGAAGGATGTTCAGCTCTAAGACCCCAGAGCTCTACACAGGAAAATGGCCTCAATTGAAATTATACAGGGGCATAAAGCGAAATACCCTCTAAAATTAATGTCTGGAATTATAAAAGCCTGCAAATACATGATACGGATGATACTACGCATGTGAAGGAGAAATGGGATGCATCCTTGCTGCAGAAAAGCCAATCACACGTGTTTTGGTGTTGTCTAAATATTAGTCACTTCTTGGATGACTTTGCAGGAGTCATGAGGGAGGTACTTGGATAGGAGATGAAGAAGAACCCACAAACTTTATATATCTGGGCTTGGCATCAGAAATCCGACTAGACAACCTGCACAAAGTTATGCTGTCAGGAAGAAATCTGTACCAAGGAATCAGCATCAGAGCCAAATTATATCCATGTCTCGTTGGATGGAGATTGTGGAAGAAACACAAATGATGGAAAGAAATAATTAAGACTGAAAATGCCAGTCTTTGATTTGAGATGGAAGAAATGGAAAGCATACAAACACCACGATTAATTAGAATTTTTACTTTACTCTGAATTAAACATTTATTTTTTCTTATATGTTGTGTTCTGTAAGTATTATTTTCCAAGTGATGAGGAAAGAAATACTATGAATAATCAGTAAAAAACAAAAAAAACAAAAAAAACACACACACACAAGAAACATGGCAAAACACATCATGCTTTGAGTTAAATGAAGAATAAATGTCTGCAAACATTGACCATCCATGTGCAGGCAGTGAAAGCTTCAGATCTTCTTTGATTCATATTAATCAAAAGTTAATTGAGGAAAAAGGTCAGAATAAGAATTTTTGGAGAAAATATTAAAGCTTGTATCACCTGATTTGATGTATTCGCAAAGAACACTTAAATTGTTTGTTTTTCTCAACAATTTTACAGGATGAGAATAAAAACAAGTCCTTTTTTTTGTCAATGTTGTCAGTAACAGATTACATTTTCTGAACAGTGCAACGCTGCCCCCTAGCAGAGATCAACATTATCTACTGCAATGATGAACAATTTCAATAAAACAAAAATCCTTACACTCAAATATTTTCATTTGTTTTTCATTATAAAATCTAAACCTAAGTCAAAAAAGCACAAGAAACACAACATCATCAACATATTTCTTTAGACATTCATAATCAAATATCTATATTTACAAATAAAAGCCACATTTACTAATGAACCATTAAGGTACAAGAAAGATGAGTGATCTAGAATTTATGGGAAATCTCCATCACAGCGATGGTGGTGCTCTGTCCGAAGATGAAAGCTCCAACCGTGATTGTTACGACCCCCCAGACGGTTAAAACAGACCTGAAATAACGAAGAAAAGCAGAAATCAGCAGAAAGAGGCAGACTTTAATTAGATCTAAACCCACACACTCACCTGACTCTGGGAGAGACATCCTCAGTTTGCATCGTGAACACCAAGCAAAGACCTGCACATAAGATTTGTGGAGAAAGAAGATGAAAGGTGTGGTTCACTCGTTTAATCAGTACATTTGCAGTGGTCTCTAGTAGAAATGAATGCCTTGCACATTGTTTTCTAGGAAAAATGTTTTACTGGTACACCATTTCCAGGAACTAACAGTGACTAATGTCACAGCTGAGCTTCAAACTGCAGGTTTTGGAGTCTTATTTCCTGATGCTTGGACATCTCGCCTCTGATTGGATAACAGCAGCACGACTCTACCACAGATTTGCAACGTAGATGTTTTATCTCCACAAATAACACAAGCCTGGAGGAGTTCTGCAGTGTGGTGAAGTTGCTGATGCTAACGGTTGGCTTCAACGAGTTGGGATGTTTCCTAGACTCTAAAACAACAGCCTTCCCCGTCGTGAGTCAAGATGGGTGATTCCATAGAGTGGCATTGTGACGTAAATCTGTCAGGATGTTCAAATCCTAGTTTCAACATCCAGTTTCTATCAGAACCTAATGCAGGAGATAATTGTAGGAGACTATTTTCATGTTCAGCCCGCATGACAAACTCATTGACCATTTTTATTCAGAAATAATCATTGAAATGGGTTTCAGTGTCCCACATATTTAAAGCTTCTGATTTGTAAAGTCAGATTTTTAAAACCTTCAAAGAAGACCATGAAGTGGATTGTTTAGTGTAGAGCTGCAGGAATTTAGAGGTCTTACTGTTTTTTACACTTTAAAATATGCATTTTCATCAAAGTTTCTTGTTGGTAGCACAAACTGTACAGTTACATTTGTTACAGAATACATTTAATGCAATTAAACATTCATATGGACTGCATCTTTGTAATGTTAATTTAGAAAATTACCTTCAAACAAAAAAATGTATTAAAAAATGCAAATTCTCATCAAATTATATTTCTTTCATTCAATGTTGTTGAAAATAAAATAAAATATAACAAAAGAAAAATTAAAAGCCAAACACAGAAAATACATCAACCAGTTTTCAATCTGATTAAATGTTACAGATTAAAGTTCCTGCTTACCAGGAAAGATGAAGATGAAAAAGGCGCTGATTCCTCCGATAATGCTGATGACGTCGGCCATATCTGGAACAAACATGGCAACGAGAAGAGTAAAGCTGATCCAGGCCACAGTCAGAATAACTCTGCAGCGACTCTCAAACGAGTGTGTGACGATTCCTCGGCGACGTCTTTCCACCCGTAACATCAGATTCAGGATTACAGATCTGTTGCATGCAGACACACACACAAACACATGAAAACACTCAATAAAACCAAACTTCTCCCTCACGTGGCAAACCTCCTACCTGCCCAGGAGAAGTATGATGGGATAGATGGTGATGATAGAAATCCCAAAAAGAAGTCTGGAGATGACCATGACCACGTCGTTCCCTGGATATGACATCAGAATATCTGAGGCAACTTCTCTACCAAATGTCATGAAGCCATAAACACCTGGAGAGGGAGAACGTGGGTTTGACGCACGGCCATCAGGTGAAGTTAAGGTGGATATTTGATAGTCAAACTCACCTGTGAGTGTGTAGATGAGCAAGCAGAAAAACATGGAGAGCACAGCGATGACCACCCAGTGGGAGAGCTTTTGGTTCTCCATGCTGCTGTAGATCGCTATGCAGGCTTCATGGCACTGTAGTCAGACACACACACACACACACACACACACACACACACACACACACACATATGGGATGTGTGTGCGAGGGGAGAAAGCGAATGAGAGGAAGTTCGGGGTAGGTTTAGGAAGTTTTAATGTGTTGATCGTGGGTTTTTTCCCAGATTGTTGGTGCTGCTGTGACTTTGAACTTAAGAATAAACCAAGAAAGCAAAATGCTGTCTTGTTTTGAACCATAAAAACACAACGCTAGCACACTAAATTGCTATACGATTATGTAGGTGTTACGTTAGGAATCATCGACAACAGGTTGAAAAGGTAAAACCGAACCCTCAGCAACGCGGATTGTGTGTTCCTGTATTCTGGAAGTTCAGCTTGAGTGGGAAAGACAGAACAAAGTGGGTTGGACATTTAAATTGTGTATTTTCAAAAAGTTGCTTCATTGATCAGCAAGAAAAAGCATCTAACCTTCATCATCAGGTTCTATCTTTTAAACCCTCTGTTTGTCACTGAGTTTGCGTTAGTGACATTTCTGACTGAGAAATATCAACACAATATATTTGTGGTTACTTACAACTTCATTCGGCAGAGATTTTACCGCTGACGTCGTTAGCCCCCCTATCATTTTGGTTATTTTATTTTCTTCAGTTAACTTTTTTTTATTTGTTCACATCTACATGCTCAACACAATCACAACACGTGTAGTTGGTACAGGAGTTTTTTAGTCTGAAACAGAAATAATAATTAATGAATATAGAACTACACCGTCGCACACAGGAACTATCAAGAAAGGACTTCCTCCACTTCCTTAACCCCGACAGCTTTGTTGACAAGTCGGGGGCAGGGGCGATACAGCAAAACCTAAATATTGATGAGCAAACCCTGCTCAGCGCTCATGTAAGTCACTCAACATTACATTAGGGTAAGACAGCAACAGCGGCACACCGTTAACGTTTCAAGGTTATAGTTCAGACTTCAGAGAGAGGAAAATGCTACCGCACCGACATGGTAATGCTAACTCCGCTAGCATGTTTACATGCCGCAAACCATAATGAAAAGCTTTGATGTCAAGTAAAATGGTCGGAAAACTCCCCTGAAGTGACATGATTAACGAGCCAGCCAGTTCATTTAGTGACTTAGTGCCACCATCTTGAGCGTACAGTAATGAGTCTGCACAAACATAACCTGCTCTGCGCTTGTGTGCAGGAGCTGCAGCCCTCTGTGGGCTCAACTCTGTCTCTGCGCATGCAAATCTCTCCCTGCTTTCCTCAACAAGTAGCCTCTCCAACAGTCAATCACAGACAGCTCTGTTTTATCCAATCAAAGCATGTCCAGGAAATACTGCTTTACAGAAAAACACCCATTTAACAGCTTCTTGAACTGCTTTCTGCTGCTGGTTAGCTACCAGTCACCATCCACTGCCTGCAAAATACTTTGTTGTAATTCATGTGTCATGATTAGGGTGACCATATTTGACTTCCAGAAAAGACACATTGCCCATTCCTAAAACTGTTAAATTGCACTCTTTTCAGTTAAAGAGGACTTTTAATTTCAACATATAGTGTTTCTTCTCTGTTTGGTTAGACATAAATGATCCCTTGATGTGTGAAAGGAAGTGAACAGTGGAAATGTCCCAGGAAAAGAGGAGGGTTAATCAACCTAATTAAATATAATTATATAAAGTCCTCTTTATCTGAAAAAAGTTCAAATTTCCTGGCAGTATTTCCTGGACATGCTTTGATTGCATAATAGAGAGCTGTCTGATTGGCTGACGGAGAGGCTACATTGCTTTAAAATTTGCAAATTGAGCAAGAGCAGGGAGAAATCTGTGCAGGCAGAGACAGAGTTGAGCATGCAGAGAGAGGGCTGCATACGACTGCAGAGCAGGTTGTGCTCTTGCAGATTGATCACTGCACGCTCCAGTTGGTGGCACAAAAATCACTCCACACTAAAAACCTGAATCAGAATATGGCCGAATGTGTATATTATTGACCGTTTTTCTATATTATATATTTTTTCTATAATATATATTATATTATAGTTACATATATGTATTTATAATGTAGTAAACAGCCAATTTTATATATGTCACACATATTAGGGTTAGGGTTAGCCTAACCCTAACCCTATCAAAACCTATATGTTTATATGAATTCTTTCCATGTGGGTTGTCAATTGCTTAATATTTCCTATGTTTACCTATGGTAAAGAAAGGAGATATTGTACTCATCTAACTAACATAAATTTTGGCAGCTTAATGTGACGTTATGGAAAATGCCATCATCATGAGCAACCAAACATAGGCTATATTAGGCTAACAGTTGTCCATATTCTGTACCATTTATCCACCAATGTCTGTTTCAATTATTGTGAGTGAAAACTAAATGGCATAGGAGCATTTGTCTTGGCATTAGAAATTGAAAATGCTTTTCAATGTGTTGGTTAGATGGATACATGAAGATCTTTTTAAGAGAGTGAGTGAGGAACAGGAGAGAGACCAGGTGGTTGATGCTGAGGAGATCTGCATGGTCAAGGTCAGTGGTCTACTGCGAAAACAGGGACGAGCGCACTGTTATGAGCATTTACCTGAACACAAAGTTCCCAAGCAAAATTGAACAGTTTTCTATTTAGGAGTGAACAGGTAAGAGAACTTGAGAAAAAAAATTATAATTATCTATCTATCATCTATCTATCACTAGGTCAGGGTACATCTGTGGTGCTTCTGTTGTTAGACATGACGGCAGCCTTCGACACAGTTGACCATGCGATTCTACTGGATCGCTTGGAACAATGGGTTGGGATCAAAGGGTTTGCTCTGGATTGGTTTAGATCGTATCTCCACAACAGGACATTCTGCGTTAAACTGGGTGATGTTTTTTCTTCTTGGGAGGGGCTCCGCTGGGGGGTCCCGCAGGGATCGATCCTTGGTCCTCTTTTGTTTGCCATTTATCTGCTTCCTCTGGGGTCAATCTTTCGTAAACATGGCCTATCATTCCATCTCTATGCTGACGATTGCCAGATTTACTCTCCATTGTGTCAGGAGAAAGGTCACTCTATCCAGTCCTTTGTGTCCTGCATTAACGAGGTGAAGTCTTGGCTAATGGCCAAAGTTCTGCATCTGAATAAGGGAAAGACAGAGCTCATTGTTTTTTACCCCAACAGCAGGAATGTGGATCGTCATGTTGATCTTGGCCCTCTTTCTCCCTACTCGAAACCAGTTGTCACCAGTTTGGGGGTGAAAATTGATGCTGGACTTAAATTTGATGCACACATCAACTCTGTGATCCGGTCCAGTTTCTTTCACCTGAGACGCCTTGCAAAAATCAAGCCTATGCTGTCAAGAGCCCACCTGGAGTGGGTACTGCATACATTTGTAATTTCTAGGCTTGACTACTGCAAATCTCTCTAAGCAGGGTTGTGTCAGTCATCACTGCGTCGCCTACAGGTTGTGCAGAACAGCGCAGCCAGGTTCCTGACTGGGACCAGGAAACGGGACCACATCAGTCCGGTTCTGGCCTCCCTGCACTGGCTTCCGGTTTGCTATCGTTCACATTTCAAACTCCTCATCTTTGTTTTTAATTTCTTCCAGGGTGGTGGTCCCCCCTATCTGGCCACTCTCCTGAACAGACATTCCCCATCACGCACTCTGCGCTCCTCCGACCAAGGCCTGCTCGCTGTCCCTCGTTCAAGGTGTCGTACTCGCGGGGACCGGGCTTTCTCTGTCCTAGCACCGTCACTATGGAACCAGTTGCCACCCTCAGTCAGGCTGTCCCCATCTCTGCCAGTCTTCAAGAGTCGCCTAAAAACCTAACCTCCTCAGCTTGGCGTTCCCTGAACGTGTTTGAATTTGGCCCCCTTTTATGTTGATTTTGTTTCATAGTTTTCAATGGTTCACTCTATCCCTTGTTTTACAAAGTTGTCCTGTACTACAATGTTTCACCTTTTTTTGTAATTTGTAATCTGAATTTTGAATTGCTTTTATTTTCTGATTTATTCACTATATTTAACTTTCTGTACCATGTTCAGCGCCTTGGGCTTCCTGACAGGGTTACGGAAGGCGCTTTATAAATAAAGCATTGATTGATTGATTGATTGATTGATTGATTGATTGATTGATTGATTGAATTATCATCTGACCTGCAACCTTATGTCAAGTTGTATCTGTAAAGTTGACTTTCTGTATTATAAGTTCTACTACTTGCTGGATATTTTTATATACACTGTTATTTTGTCTTGTAATTGTTAATTACATACTCCTTTATTCGATATCATATCAGTGTTATTCATATATTAAAACTGTCAACTGCACACTCATTTGGCAGAATAAAAGTTTGACAATTATTCATTTGTTCTTTATTGTCACATTTCAGTAACATTTATAATTAAACAAGTTGTAATTAAACAAATTAAATAAATGACTACAACATTTCCCCCTGTTAAGTGCAGTTGACTGAAATGAATAGCTTTATTTGGAAATATAACATATCTAATTTTTAATGGACTTACATAAAATCTTTCTTCAACATAGACCCCACTAATGAACTGATTGTTATTTTTTATAAAAAGAAGAGAGAAAATGCACAAAGGTAGGAAAGGAAAAGAAAGTGATAAAATAATAGGCTTTGTTAAATGTTCTTCATATAATGAATTAATTGACAAAGTTTTTGCAGGGCGTGACAAAAAATGTTCAAGGTCAAGCTCCTGGGGCTAAGCCCCCCCCCCCCCCCCCCCCCCCGTCCATGGATTTTACTGCATGTAATAAATGCAACTTCACAAACTATATTGGATTACTTCAAATTAAATGTGCAAAGAAAGAAATGGTTTGCCAAACATTTTATTGCTTTACATGTTGGGTTGTGTGTCTTTTGTGTTTTTACCTGGAAGCCGAAGCAAATGGTTGGGACGACACTGAACATGGATGCCCATGAACTCAAACTGAAACACACACACACACACACACACACACACACACACACACACACACACACACACACATTAACTAATGCACATGACACAGTAAACAGGTGGCACACATTAGAGTCACCGACCCTTGGTTGTGCTCTGGAGTTATTACAACTGTGTGACTGTCCATCAGGTAGAACTTCACAACCACAGCAACACACAGGTAGGTAGCAGCCAGCGTCCCTAAAACACTGACACAAAGAACAGCAGTTTACAGAATAAACGTGGCGCAGTCGGCAGGGCGTGTCACAATAAATCTTTGCACCTCGTGTATTTCTGGATGCCGATTTCTTTAGGGATGGACAGTGGCAGGATGATGACGAGGCACGTGATGAAGAGGGCAAAGCGCTGGTCTGTGTACCAGTGATGAGGCATTTCAGCCTCACCTGATCCGGTCACCGTCTCAAATAAGGAGACACACACTGGAAGGGAAAATACAAAGCAGGAACATGAAGGCAAAGAGATGCAGAATCCCTTATAGGCATACTCCTGATTACAGACGTAGATCTGTTAATGCAACCACTTAACATTTCTCCAGCTGGTCCTGCACCACCACCAAGAAGGCGACACTTATCACGAAGAGGTTGAAGCAGAAACAGACCTCACAGAGCTTCCCAACAGCTCGTCCACACACTTCTCTCACCACGTCCTGATAGGTTTTCTGTCTGCTGACAGACGACGCATAACCCAGGATGACCAGGCCGCTGATGAGGAAGACCAAAGACACCTGGAGGAGACACCTGGAGAGTTCTGTTGGAGCATCCAAGTATGCAAAATGCTTGTTTGACATTTTTCTAGGAGTTTATACCCACAGCTGTCGCTGTTTTTAAAACGCGTTCTGTCAGTTTACTCTTAGAGGAACACGTTCTCTAATCTGTTTTAATGCACAAAAATAAACTAGTTTTAGCCTAAAAATGAAATTTCTGTCTGTTGAGCTGATTCGAATGTGAAAATGAAAATTCGTTGTTGTCATCTTTTGATTATTTGTGACATTTTCAACTCGAATCAGAAGCAAAGTGGTAGATCTGACCTCTAAAAAAGGATGGAATGTTTTTGTTTTATTAGGATTTTGAAATCATTTAAACAAACATTTAAAGGTAAAACTTATTTCAAATCAGTAAACTTTTTCATATCAAGATGATGTACTTAAAGTCATACTATGCAACTTTTTCATATTTTAAAATCATTTTCTCGAGCCAGTATGTGCTAAAATGAATCTTTACAGGGTTAATGAAAAGTCACTCAGACCTCCACCGACCCCATGTGGCCACAATACTGCCCTTACAACTTCCTCTATGCCTGTCGGGTCCCAAGTGGCCTGTCACCGTTTTAGATGTTGAACACGGCTGGTTTGTTTGATTTAGTGATGAAACGCTCCTGTAGATGCTAATGAAGGCTGAGGAGACATTTCCACAGGTGTTAAAAAGACGGAAGGTGATAAATTTCACTTTTGTTTCTACAAATGGGCACTAGGGGGTGCTAAAAGCAAGCCAAACTGCAAAGTATTCCTTTAAAAAGTATCACTTCACTAAAAGCTTTATTCTAACCAGATAATAATAAACAACTCTGATATCTTTGTTACATTCGTTCTGTGTTTTCTATCTGATTTCATTTTTTTGTGATTCTTCATTATACACAGAGATCTGTGTATATCGACAGCATTTGACCATTAAATGACAGAATTACGAAATATAAAAAAATGTTTAAAACAATCAGGAGAGTCTTCAACTTTTTACAAAGAACTAAAATAACACTAACTCTGGATCTATACTGTTTAAGAATAAAGTTCATGGTGTTACATGTGCTCTGATCATTCTTGGAAAGCTTTTTAATAAACACACACACACACACACACACACACACACACACATTTAAATGGTGTTTAGGAGATTCATTAGAGCGAACGCATGAAAAATATTTCACATCAGGAAGAGATGTGATCTTTGTCGTTCACACACAGCAATCAGGCTGACATCAAAACTAAGCCACTAAATCTTCTGATTAAACAAATATTAGCTGAGTCACTGTTTCTTATTAGGTAGCCTAGCAAAGATTTAGATAAAAGATTTTCATTTAGAACTCACCAGCTCCACCATGATGGCTGTGGTCACCCCTCCTGCCTTCTCAAAGGCCCAGGGGAAGTTGAGTAGCCCGGCTCCCAGAGCAGACTTCAGCATGATGAACACAGCTCCGAATGAGCCGAGCCGGGGAGGGTCGGTGTGAGATGCAGACCGGGCCAGCAGACTGATGCTCTCCCGCGCCAGTTCCTCCATGACCCCAAGCCAGAGTCCAATCTCACAGGAGAACCAGGAGCAACACTTGTAGCTTGTAGATGTGGTGAGACGAAACATGGACTATATAGACACACACACACACACACACACACACACACACACACACACACACACACACACACACACACACACACACACTGTCTTAATTTGACCATTAAGCATTTTGCAGTAAAGTGACAGATTTGACATTAAAGTGAGAAAGTTTGCTTGAGTCCACTCTGCTCTCTGTCCCTTTCATGTCCAACTAAAGCTTCTAAACCTTTCAAATAAGCAAAATAAAATATAGTTCAACAATGTGAGCAAACAGAATAACAAATCACATCAGAACAAGTCTGGAGTCTGCCCGTGGTTGCTGATTACTGGGATCATCAAGGACAAAATCTGCAGATAAGATTATTTAGTACAATAGAGCTAATCCTAAAAAGATAAATGACAGAAAGATTGAATCGGTAGGGACCGAAAACCTGAGGTTGTCAATACTGAACGAGATAGCTGACAGGTGAAAAAGAGAAAAGAAAACTAAGATTAAAATAAGCTAATTAAAACTCTAAGCATGTAACCTCTGGGAGAAAAACAAAATGACGTAGGTGTAGCATGAGTTAGTTTCATGTGCATTCATCGTGGTCATGGATTATAGCTCAGTAATAGAGCTCCAGTGAAATTATAGTGGATTATTTAATGTTTACAGGAAAACGTATTTCAAACTTTAACCTTTTGTGCTTGATTGTAAATCCACAATCAAATAAAGCAAAAACCTTTTAAAACAATTGAGCTCAGTGAATGAAATCCTCCATTTTTGCTTTAATATCCTTGAAAACTTTACTTTAAAATTATGCTGCAGGCACTGCTAAATAAAAATGGGATTCTGAAGGTAAAATATCTCATCTATACCTATATTAATGTTGCATATTCTAGCTCTGAGACGACATTATTTACTGGGTATAAAGACTGGATTTAAACATACCTTCAATGAGCCAATATAAATAAAAAAATTATCTTCGTCTTTCTCCACTTGTCTGGGTCCGGGTCGCGGGGGCAGCATCCCAACTAGGGAGCTCCAGACCGTCCTCTCCCCGGCCACCTCCACCAGTTCCTCCGGCAGGACCCCAAGGCGTTCCCAGACCAGATTAGAGATGTAACCTCTCCAACAGCCGGGCCGTTCCTCCCAATCACACCCCTCCAGGTCATGCTGTCATTGCCCATGTGAGCATTGAAGTCCCCCAGCAGGACAATGGAGTCCCCTGATGGACCACTATCTAGCACTCGTCCCAGGGACTCCAAAAAGGGTGGGTAATCTGAACTGATATTTGGAATATAAGTACAAACAACAGTCAGGACCCATTCCCCGACCCGAAGGCGCAGGGAAGCTACCCTCTCGTCCCTCGGGGTAAACCCCAACACACAGGCAGAGAGTCTTGGGGCTAACAAAAAGCCAACTCCAGCCCTCCGCCTCTCACCCGGAGCAACTCCAGCAAAGGAGAGTGTCCAACCCCTCTCAAGGACTTGGGTTCCAGAGCCAATGTTATGTGTCGAGGTGAGTCCGACTATATCTAGCCGGTACCGCTCAACCTCTGCCACAAGCTCCTACTCCTTCCCCGCCAGCGAGGTGATGTTCCATGTCCCAATAACCAGTTTCCTTGTCCGGGGATCGGACCGCCAAGGCTTCTGCCTCGGTCTGCCACCCGATCCACACTGCACCGGACCCTTCATGTTCCTCCTGCGGGTGGTGGGTCCACAGTTGGATGAGCCCATGTACCCGGTTCGGGCTGGGCCCAGCTGGGCCCCATGGGCCAAAGCCCGGCCACCAGACGCTCGCTCACGGGCCCCAACACCAGGCCTGGCTCCAGGGTGGGACCCCGGTAACCCTCCGGGCCGGGTACTCCGACTCTTTGTTTTTATGTCCGTGAAAGGTCTTCTGAACCGTTCTTTGTCTCACCCTTCACCTGAGACCAATTTGTCATGGGAGACCCTACCAGGGGCACAAAGTGCCCCAGACAACATAGCTCCTAGGATCATTAGGGCACTCAAACTCCTCCAACACGATAAGGTTCAAGGAGGAGATAAATAAATTTTAAAAAATTTAAATAAATATACAACCAAATTAAAACGTGGTTTTAAAGCAAAATCTAATCAAATAGTGGCAAAAGACTTACCTTTATATTTTATTATACCATTCATTCATTTGTTTAGTAAATTTCTTTTGGCATCAAATTTCACCTCATGCTCCAAATACTTCAAACCTTAGTTAAAATTATTTGGTTTATGAATCCAACCATCCATCCATTTTCATCCGCTTATCCGAAGTCGGGTCGCTGGGGCAGTAGTGACCCAACTCCTCTAGAAGGCGAGAGGCCCAGACTTCCCTCTCCCCAGGCACTTGGGCCAGCTCCTCCGGGGGAATCCCAAGGTGATCCCTGGCCAGGTGAGAGAAATAGTCCCTCCACCGTGTCCTGGGTCTACCTTTAGGTCTCCACCCGGTTGGACGTGCCCGGAAAACCTCACCAGGGAGGTGTCCAGGAGGCATCCTGACCAGATGCCCGAGCCACTTCAACTGGCTCCTCTCGATGTGGAGGAGCAGCGGGTCTACTCCGAGCCCCTCCTGAATGACCTAGCTTCTCACCCTATCTCTAAGGGAGAGCCCAGCCACTCTTCGGAGAAAACTCATTTCGGCCGCTTGTATCCGCGATCTCGTTCTTTCGGTCACTACCCAAAGCTCATAACCATAGGTGAGGGTAGGAACGTAGATCGACCGGTAAATCGAGAGCTTTGCCTTCTGACTCAGCTCTCTCTTCACCACGACAGACCGGTACAACGCCCGCATCACTGCAGATGCAGCACCAATCCGCCTATCAATCTCATGCTCCAGTTTTCCCTCACTCATGAACAAGACCCCGAGATACTTAAACTCCTCCACTTGGGGCAGGACCTCATCCCTTACCCGGAGAAGGCATTCTACCCTTTTCCGACTCAGGACCATGGCCTCAGATTTAGAGGAGCTGATTCTCATCCCAGCTGCTTCACACTCGGCTGCGAACCGCTCCAGCGAAAGCTGAAGATCACATTCTGATGAAGCCAACAGGACCTCATCATCTGCAAAAAGCAGAGACCTGATCCTCAGGCCACCAAAACGGATGCCCTCCACACCTTGGCTGCACCTAGAAATCCTGTCCATAAAGGTTATGAACAGAATCGGTGACAAAGGGCAGCCTTGGCGGAGTCCAACTCTCACTGGGAACGAGCCCGACTTACTGCCGGAAATGCGGACCAAGCTCTGGTTTAGGAATCTGTTGTGGTTTATTTTATTTTTTTATTTTTTTATTTTTTTTTGCTTTTGTGGCTTCTTAAAAGACATAAGACTATGAAGTAAATATACAATGACTAGTCCTGACTGTTCAGAGGAGGAGAAAAACTTCCTTATCTGAGAAATGTGTTACTTCTTTAGTAACAAAGGTTAGATTATGTTGTGTTCTTTTTTAACATTAAATATATAAGCCCAGAGCTGGTGTGTTATAAATCTTACAGATTTTCTGTTCTGGAGTAGTAAAATCCTGCCATGTGTGCATGCGGAGTCCTTAATCCCCCTCCGTGTTTGACGTATCATCTGTTGGAAAGTAGAAAATCTCTGCATGTTGCTCTTCACCTTGTGTTTTTCACAGAAAGCAAATTGTTTCGGAACAAAGGCACGATATAGTGGATAAACAAGCTAAACCAGATTTATGTTCTAAACTGGTAAAGGTTCTGAGTCATCCAGGTCACAGTAATCCAAAAAGGGTTAGAATGAAAGCAACTGCTCAGTGGTTTATTGGAAGCAAAACATCTTCAAGAAACCAAAGAAGTCTATTTGTCTTCATTTTAACCTATTTGGATTTTTTTAACTCATTTAAATTTCTTTAAGTTAGTGAACAAGCTGATCTTAACCACTAAACCAGTGAACACTGGGTGACCTTAATGTTAAATCACAAGCTTAAGCTACGAGAAAACACAACAAATCAAATTGATTCAGCAGCAAAATGATCTGACCTTTGACCCTCACCCCCGGTTCATCTTCTGGCTCCTGTTGAAGTGAAAGTGCTGACGAAGCAAAACAAGTCATCTTTCACTTCCAAGAATAGTTTTAAGGATCTGAAGAAGCAACCTGCAGCGTTGTGATGGAGCGAAGACAGATGAGATTAATATGCGAGAATCAGCTGTTATGAAACTGTTTAGGAGTATTAAGGAGACATATATTTGTGCATGTTTTACCGTTAATCTCTGGAAATATCCATTGATGCAATGTTGAAAATAAATAAAATGATGTCCAGTCATAGAATATATATATATATATATATATATATATATATATATATATATATATATATATATTTTTTTTTTTTTTTTTTTTTTTTTTCCAATGACTGGACAAAATCAGGTCTAAAGTACATAGGGTGCAGGTCTAGCATCTTTGGGGGATGCCATTATAGACGCCATGTTTCCTTCTGGCCAGCTCAGGATCCTGCATCGTCACACTAGATTAGTGTTTCTCAACCCTGGTCCTCAGTGCCCCCCTGTCCTGCATGTTTTCCATGTCTCTGCTACAGCACACACATATTTGCATTGCCTCCTTCGCATGACATCAAGTGCTGCAGAAGCCTGTCAATCACTCAATTATTGAAGTCAGGTGTGTGGCAGCAGAGAAACAATGATGCTGGAAATGGCAACATAGAAAACATGCAGAACAGGTACCAGGGTTGAGAAACACTGAACTAGATGATTGGCTGGACGTACGACTTATGGAAGTTATGTTCAAAAACATTTAGGCAGTAAAAAACACTAACTTACGTGACAATAAAACTGCTAAACTCTTTCCAAAACCTATGTGAAAGAACAGAATCAAAAAAGAGATACAATATATTTTGGCTGAGTTGTATTGCTGCAGGACCCCGAGCAGATCCTGAGAGTACAACACCAGAAAACTAGCATCAGCTTAGCATTCTCTCGATGGAATTAACTGAAGGACCATCAAAGTCTGAGTAGTCACATTGAGGTTTCATGCTTTCTGCTCCACAGGAAACAAGATTTACCGTAAAGTTTCTCTAAACTAACGGCAGTCATGGCGACATGGTGTAAAACTACCCTGAAATGTATGTACTGCCCCCTAGCAGCAGGAAACTACACACTGCCACTTTAAAGTAGCACACGTGCTCACACGCTCACGCAGACACATGATCCGACAACATCTGACACAAGCAACCATACTGTTTCCATTGTTCATAAAATAATTAATAGCTTCGGTCAGAGTAAGTCTTAATTTGTGAGGATTGTTCTAAATCCAGCTTTCTTTCTATTGTAAATAATAATTAATTTAATTGGACAAACTACCCAAGAAAATGAAGTTACTGCTTTTCAAATATTTGGAAATCAGAATTTTGGATTCCAGACTCCTACATAAAAACACACATTTGTAGTCTATAATGTCTCACCTCCCACCCAGTGACTGCTGCTGATCAGCATCAGCTTCCTGTCACCATCAGAGGAAGAAGATGTCACAAGTGAATGAATGACTGAATGAGTGCACCTGAAGCAGAAATCACAATGTAGTCCTGTTTTGACCAAAGTGGACCCATGGGGGACAACAGAAGAAGAGTCGAGCTTAAAAAGAAACTTATTTCTGTGATTTTGTTGACACTCAGCACATATTTAGCTTCAGTGAATCATAAATAAAGTGGTTTAGAAAACCATCAAAAACATTAATCTGGAAATAGTCTGGACCTTAGAAAAATGTAAAAATAAAAGTCTAAATTCTTAGAAAAGCTTTGAGGAAATCTTCAATAACCATTTTTTTTAAACCACCATTGATGATTTCAGGCATATCAGCAGCAAACCAATAACAACAAGTGATGGACTGAGTTTAGTAAATGTAGGATACACAGAACCACTTCGTTCAATCGTTGAAATTGTTTCACCCTGAGTGATTAGTGTTGAGAATAATGCTTTAAACTATAGAGGTTGGTTAGTGCCACCTATCCACCTTTGAACCCCTAACCCTGAAGTGTAGTTCCAATCCTAACCAATCTTACTTTTTAGATGCTAACCCTGAGTTGTAGCGCTAATCTTAATCTAGACCCCTTGTGGCCAATTAGTATTGATTTAGGAATAATGTTTAACACTATGGAGGTTAGGTTGTGCCATCTACCCACTGTACTTTTCACCTATAAACTCTACATTCCAGCGTTGTCTGCCTGCTCATCTCTTTTCGTCTCCCATTCCTTCTCCTATACTTAGGAGAGGGAATTGGGGGAGACAGGTTTAGCCTAGACCGGCTCAGGTGTGGTTGAGCGTCACACGAGGACGCCGCATCTGTTACCTGTTCCTTCTCAAGTTCTTTTCTATCCCTGTTTCTTTCTTCTTTTTCTTTCTTTTTTTCTGTATTCTCTATTCTGTCTTTCTCGTTTCTTCTTTATTCTATCTTTTCAATCTTTTTCTATTCTGTTCTTTTATTCTGCATTGATACGAACCAACAATTGGAGTGGAGTTTCTGAGTGACACGCGCCGGCCCGTGCATTGCCAGTGACTCTCTACTCCAAACTGTTTTGGTCAAGGTACTGATTCAGGGGGATGTCACTGAGATACATCTACTCCACCTAACACACAAACAGATCAGCTGTCAGGTGAAAGATTTATTGCTTTAATATATTCAACCAGAAAATCTATTTTGGGTCAAGATGTCATGTGCAAGAGTACAAAAACATTTACGTTAATAACAACTCACACACACACACACACACACACACACACTTGTGGCATCTCTAGTTAAAGCTGCAATGGCAAATTACCGTAAAACAAATTTTCTCTTAACAACATCCTACCATAGTACTGCAATAAATATATTGTGGAGATTAAAAACAATAATAATAAATTGGTTGTCCTGCATTTGTCTAAAAACCTCCACCAATTACACACGTCTGACCAAAAGCAACCATTGTTCCATCTGGCTGTTGGTCTCACCAAACCACCGCACGTCCCTGCGTCCACCACTCACAACACACTTGTGTATTTAGCAACAGGACACCACTGGTGTGAGAGGTTCTCGGCTCAACAATATCAGAGAAGGAGAAACAGCCGGCTGCTACCACTTCATCTTTAGATTAGTGTTCCGTGAAACCTAGCTTGTTTGCAGATTCGCCATAACAGCTTTAAAACAAGAAAGCTGAAGTAAGCAGAGAGTTAGTCTTTTAGCTGGGTGAGTCTCTGTTATCTAACTCCTAAGGAGGAGGAGCAGCATACTGAACACAGGGAACAACAGTGAGGTGGTGTCAGGGCCGTTCTTCTGCGTCTGCCCCTTTAGCGTTTCCTGGTTCATCTGGTCAGAGGTCGGGGAGCTCTGTGGTGCAATCACGGTGCTGGAGGGGAGGGTGGTGCGGCTGGCGCACATGTCGTACAGGTTCCCGGAAAACTGTGTCTTCCTGGATTCTTGTCTCAGAGATTCCCAGATGGCTGCTGCCTCTCCCGGACAGCCGGCCAGGGCCGAGTTGGCGCAGACGTGAAACTCGTTCCAGGACCTTGAAGGAACCGAGACAAGAGGATTCAATTTTAGTGCAGAAGTGGGATGACACCAGAAGAACACCAGAAGACTTCTCCAGGAATCTGTGCACTTTCAGGCTAAAAAAAAAAAAAAAAACACCCAGTTCACTGCAAAAACTGATTTTAAGAAAGCAAAAAAAGCCAAAATTTTAGATCTTTTATCTGATGTTTTATCTAAAAAGGAAATAAACTCTTCTCTAGAAAAATAGCATTACTTAAAAAAGGTAAATATTCTTAAATATGATCCAAATGTACTTGTTTCGAGTAAAAAATTCTGGCGATGGGGCAAAGTTTGCTTGGCTAGAATTATTAAAACTAGCAAAAAAATTATTCTATTTTCATTCTGTTCCACTATTAAATTTTAGCTCTCCTCACATTGTCTTCCTCATAGGCTACTGAAGCTAATTTACGCATTTTAATGCTAAATTCACACAGAGGAGCTGTATTATGTGACAAACATGCATGTAGGAATCACAGAATACCAAACATGAAGGTCAGACATTAGCTTATTGTAGCTTATTCTCAGTCTCTCTCCATCTCTATCTCTCATTCACTCACTTTGTCTTTATCTCTCTTCCTCTGTCTCTCTCTCCTCCAATCTTTCTCGCTTTGCTCTTTCTCTGTCTCTTCCTCTCTTTTTCTCACACAGACTTTGTCACACACAAACACACTCTCTTTCTTCCTCTGTCTCTCAGAGTGGCTGGCCGGATGATATTGCACATATACTCTCTCCCTCTCTTCCTCTCTTTCTCTCTCTCTTTCTTATTCTCTCTCTATCACACACACACACCCTCTCTTCTCTCTTTCTCACACACACACTCTCTCTCTTCCTCTCTCTCTCTTTCTTTCTCTTTAACACACATACTCCTTCTCTTCCTCTCTCTTTCTCACACACACATACACTTTCTCTCTCTGTCTTTCTCTCTCTTTCTCACTCACTCACTCTCTCTCTCTCACACACACACACACACACACACACACAGACACACACACACACACACACACACGCACACACGCACACACTCACACATACCTGCAGATAGAATTAATGTCCTGTGTGTTCTGGTCCTTCTGTGTATCCCCTAAACTGTCCCCGAGTGTGACCAAACACTGAGCAAAGCTCTTGTAGATGGAGCCACATGCAATAGGAATGGCCGCTCCAGAACACATGTGAACCAAACCTGGAGGAGAAAAAAAAACAGTGGAAATCACATCTGAGCTTCACATCAAGATCATTTTATTAAAAAAAACTGATGTGAGTAAAATAAATCTGATGGTTTATTTAAGTTAAACCTGACATTTATAAAACATCCACTTGGTGTGTGTGTGTGGCTCAAATAAATAAATAACAGAAATGTGCTGTATTCCATTCATCTGGAGAGATTATACACCCACCAAGCCAAATTCAGTGTCTGAGCACATTGATCAGATCATAGATTACATATTCCTCTGAGACTAGGAGGGGTTAGAGCTCTGACTGGACCGATTTGAACATGACGTCCGAGTCTCAGATCTCCTCTAAAGTGTTGACGGCAGCAGTTTATGGTCTGATGATTCAGGGTGAAATGGGGTCAGTGGCATTCAAACACACTAGAAATTATTAGACAGGTTATAAAAAAATAACTGTATCAAAGATCAGCATTATAGGCTTAAGTGTGCGTTAGCTTCACATATTTCCTCTTTGAGAATCTGAGCCACTCTTGCTGCACCTTTCTGATCTACTTAAACTGTGTCCACACAGCAGGAAGGATGCTGCTGTCCAATAATCCCTGAATATCCAAGCATTTATCTGGATTCAAGAGCCGAAAGCAAAACCTCCACGTGACTTTCCAGCCACTCCAACCAGAAATGTAAATAACCTACAACCCAAGCAAGTGAAAAGATCAAGATTAAAACTTAATCAAGACCAAATGATATGTAATATTGCATCTTTTAATTTTTCCAAACATATCTGAGTTCTTTTTTAAGTTCATTGTTTTATCTTCACAGAAAAATTATGCATAAAAGCAGCCAAAAATATTTTATCTGCTTTGGTTGTTAATAGAATTTTCTTACTTGGCGCATGGAGGCGTTTATTTGTAAATGATTCTACAACACATCTAGCAAACTCAGTTGCATAACTACAGCAAAAAATACATAAAATAGCACATTTTGCTTCTGGAATTCAGTTAAACTTTGGACAAAAATGGATTCATCAAAATGTCCATAAACACACAGCAGCCACAGGAGCGGAACAGAAAACCAGACAAGGAGAAAAATCCACATTTAATTAAGGTGAGTGCTTTTATATTATTCAGCTCAGATCTGGCTAAACTATTTCAAATATGTTTAACAAATTATCTTCTTGAGTTTACCCATTATGAACGACAAAAATGTTTTAATTTCTATTTGAACTGCTGAAAGAAAGCGAAAATGCTCAAAAACACTGGAACGACAACTAGAGTGACAGTAAGGTCCTTACTGAGGCAGAGAGCGATGGGCAGAAGCGCCGTTGTAGCTCCTGGATGGGACTTCATCGTTTGGTTCAGGAGAGCCCCGTGCAGCCCTGCACCACCTCTGAGCAAGACTGAAGCTCCAACTCGCTGGAAGTCCAAAGAGGGGAAAGTCACTGCTTTAAAACGGAATGTTGTCTTCCATCCGTTGGGAATTCATCAGATTGAAAAAGTACAACAATACTCTGAGGCACAAGCCAGCTGGATTAACAGTTGAAGGGACCAATGCATCATCGAGAGTAAAGAGGATGGTGTGTGTGTGTGTGTGTGTGTGTGTGTGTGTGTGTGTGTGTGTGTGTGTGTGTGTGTGTGTGTGTGTGTGTGTGTGTGTGTGTGTGTGTGTGTGTGTGTGTGTGTGTGTGTGTGTGTACTATAGAGGCGAGGGCATTGGAGAGCTTGGAAGCAGCAGACCAATGACAGCCTCCCAGCACAGCTCAATGGATTAAAGCCGTCTCATTTCCGGTATTCAGTATTTGGAACATTTATTCGAAACACAAATGACTTATGTTTGGTATAATGGTGATTGTTCCTTCAGCACACACACATACACACACACTCAGTAACACACCACCCTACAGCTTGTGCTCTGAAACGAGGAGCTTTCATCACAGCGGTGGGAGACGACTCCGTCAGAAGTGTGAAGGGGATTTGTGTAGCTTGTGTTGTTCCACATGGACAGATGGATGGAGAACCCTGTGAGGATAAGAGAATTCAGCTCACCTGGGAGTCTGGCGCAGATGCACACCGACCTCAGAGACCTGCTGCAGCCCGTGGGAGGATTCATCTACAACGATTTGGGTCATGAAGAGGCCACAGAAGAGTGTGAGAATGGGATGCATTAAATTAATGAACAACCTGGACGATGTCTGAACATCATAAGGATGGTTGGTTGTAAATCTCCCATCTCATTTCCACTTTAAATAACTTTCTGACTTCAGTGTGCTCCTCCTGTCCACCTCAACCTCCCAGATGGCTCTCACTGGGTTTATTAGTACAAATCCTGTTTCACATCTGCATACTGAAGGAGCTCATTATTAATCTGCAGCTTAAAACAACCATTAAGTGCAGAGTAATCTGCTTGTGTGAGTAGGCGTCTGACCCAGATCAATACATCTATGGGGCTAATTTTGTCATGAGAGATTTTTAGAAACATCAGGTCAGAAAATGTGAGTAAAAACATAAAAAGATTTAATTTCTTCAGCGAGCTCTAGGTCTGCCTAGATGGTAATCTACCGTCGGGTCATGTTAGAAACACCTCCCATTTGAGGACATCCTGGAAGCACAAACCACCTCAACATGATCCTTTGATGAGGGGGAGCAGCAATTCTTTTCTGAGCTCTTCACCTTTTACCCGAGGGCGAGTCCTGGGAAGCCTCTTGCACACATGATCTCATTTATTTCCCACATAGGAGATGGTTGGTAAATCAACAGATTTGCATAGATTCAGGTCTCAGATACAGACATGGACATAACTGCTGGTGCCCTTCGGTCATTAAAAGAAAAACCCGCAACCTGGAAAAAAGTGATGGAACCCCTAGAAATGACTGAAAATAAGGAGACCAAAGGGACATGTTAATTCAAGGTGTGTCCAATAATTAGCATCACAGGTGTCGGTCACATTGAGAGCAGGGAGGATTGGACCCAAGATGCAGGAACCCAGAAAAAACTCAGGCAGGAGCGGATGCATAAATAAGAACATCCTTTTTTTAGGACGATGAGCAAAACTCCAAAAGAGGCAGGAAGCCAAGCCTCATATACATTAACGCTGAGTGGCAAAAATCAAAAGCTCACTTAGGAGAGAGAACCTAGAGAGGGACAAAACAACATTGACGATGGACCGACACACACTGAGAGACAAGACAGGGTTTTATACACAGAGGGAAGCAATCAGGGAAACAGGTAGCAGGTGTGTGGGGAGTGTGAGCTGAAGGGATCAGGAGAGACACATAAGTGGGGGAGGAACACATTGTAATAAAGGGAGATACTGACTAGATAATACAAATATACAGAGAACTAAAGATAAGTGAATTAACAAAACTGAAACTAGAAACCAGAACAAACAAGAAACACTAAATCTTCAACTTGGGAAACTAAAGAGACCAGAACCAAAAGAGAGGGAATCTATGGGGAATCTATGGGGAAACTAACGCCAAATGGGATGGGATAACTAACTATGAAGTGACTAGGGGGAACATGAGTGAAACCTGGAGGGAAACCTGGAGTGGACTGGGGACCACAACGACACAGAACATGACAGTGTCTATCTTATAATCCTATTTATAGGGCTCCAGGTAGTCACTGTGTTGTTTGGTGGCATTGTGTGTACACAGCATGAACCAGAGGAAGCAAAGGAAAGAGTTTTCTGTCTCAGAAGTCTCCTCCCAGGTGCATGTGTGTGTGTGTGTGTGTGTGTGCGTGCGTGCGTGCGTGTGTGCGTGTGTGTGTGTGTGTGTGTGTGTGTGTGTGTGTGTGTGTGTGTGTGTGTGTGTGTGTGTGTGTGTGTGTGTGTTTATAACTAACAAATATCAGCCTCTCAAAAGAGGGAATTGCCTAACAGAGACTGGGATTTTGCCATTCAGTTCACTGACTGTAACTGCAAAATCAAGATATCCTGAATTCTAATGATAAGCGACCTGCACCTGTAGCACCTTTCTGAGTTAGAGACGACATTCATCCATTCACATAGATTTACATTTACATATACACGTTGTAGCCACAGCTGCCCCAGGGCGGACTGACAGAGGTGAGGCTGCCGAGCACGGGCACCACCAGTCCCTCCGACCACCCGCAGCAGGTAAGGAGGAGGAAGTGCCTTGCTCAAGGACACAACAACTGACAGACCATTGTCGATACAAATGTGTGTTTGTACTTTTGTTCCACATGCACCAGTATCAGATGATTGCTGTTTTTATGCTCTGATTTCAAACTAACCCCTCAGTTGTTTACCATATTTAAAATAATTCATATTACGTAAGTACTCTATAGAAATTTAGAGCCACCTGACACTAGAAGCTGTTGTTTGTTCTGAATATAAAAACATCAGCAGTGAAACGCAGCAGAAACAGAAAAGAAAAAATTTGACTGACAGTGCTGGATTAAGGCATTACACAACTCTGCTAAAAAAAAAACCAACAAATCCAGATGAGATTAGGGATCTGGATCCTTATTCTATGCAGTCGGCTCTGTTCTGTCCATTCATCTTCTCTCATTGTGTTTTATTTGACGTTGAACCCCATAGCAGTACAGGCTCTTACTAATCAACATTTACTTTATTGCACTGAGTCAGTTTCATTAGAAAACGAGCCTTAAAGAATCCAGCAGGCACAAACAGATGAAGAGAATTAGTGCATAATGATGGGAGCTAAAACTTCACCAACAGAGCATTTATCTGCAGGCCACCTACAGGATAAAAATCACGCTGCAACATTTAATCTGCAGGACAAGCTTCTTCTTCTGAGTTTTTCTAAAACATTTCCAAATGCTACTGCTTCCCTTCAGACCAACAACCTAGTTTTATTATTTTATGCTCTTCAGGTTTATCTGGATGTAGCAACAGGAGAGGAATTTAAGCATGTCCAGAGTGCAGCGCAGGGCCCTTGTGGCTCTCTGGTTGATTTTGTGACCCCCAAATGACTAATTCTGTCCCTGTAGAAGGTTGCTGTGGTGGAGTGATACTAACATTTGATTTTTTTTCTGTGTTTAATAAATAATAGTGACATTTTTTATGGCCCACAGGGACTAAAAACGTGATGGTTTGGGCCCTTGATGTAATTTTCTAAGTTAATATTTTAAGTCATCTTATTTCAACTTCACTGGACCTCCACATATTGCCTCCTGAATCCTTAACATTCATCATTTCTACTGCTAAAACAATTGCTTCTGTATTTCACCTCCCATCATTTAATGGGAAATTATTGTTTGAAATGTAATCTTTAAAAATAGTGCACGTCTGACTGAGCAGGAGTGTGTATGGTTTATCAGTTTCCATCACAAATCTTTATGATTGAAAGTCTCATATTCTAAAACTTTATTTTCCACAAGTCAGGTGAAATGAAAAAAAAAATACTGGTTTAATAAAGCGCCACTGCAAAGCTTTCACTCATCCTTCTCAAATCAACCAAAAACACTTTGCAGATCAAAGGTTTTATCTTTCAAACCTAAAAGAAGTCGTGGGGTCACAGTAACACATCTGTAGGCTCTTGCATAGAGCTCATCATTTCCAAAAGCAGTCAGATGGAGTTCAGAAACATGTAAAACACTCATGAACAGCACTATGAGATGCAGCAGACAATGTCAGTGATGTCAAAACACTCAGCAGTCTTATAATGTTCAGAAGAAGGCAATAGGACATCTTTGTTCATTTTTGAAAACCTCCCACTTCTCATCCATTGGAGACAAATTGCATATAAGATTTTTTTTTCTAAAAAGATAAACAAGTTGTACTAATGTAACACAGTGTGTCCTTATGATAGAATTTTTATTGGCATCTTATATTTTGTGCTCCTATGGAACTCTTTTTTTATTAACTTCAACTGCAAACATGAATAAAACTACCAGGAAGTACTTTCATTATGAAAAGGAAATCCTAATGTCCTGCCATTCTTCGTGAAATATTTCCTATCAACCTTTAAGCTGCAAAATTAGAACCTTGGAATAGAACAAAAACACGATTTAGGTTAATCTAAATTAATTTCATCAAACTATCAGATCACTTGCAAATATGGGGCGTAAATGTGTCTTTGATCCTGGCTGAACTGCAGGAAAACTGCATTTTATTTTTTAATAAACTGAAATTTGCTTTTTCCTATGTGCTACATGACTCAGGAAGTCTTTTTATTTATTTTTTAAATCAGGCCTCTAAGAAAAGCAGGTCTACTTGTTGAAAATAAACTCATTTTTCGTTTCGTTTTAAACACTGTCTCAAAAGTCTCTCAGTCTGTCAAGTGTCTCTAACAGGTCCAGGTGTCTTCAGACTTTCTTCTTGTTCCTTGCACAGGCCGCCGTATGGCCGCACAGCAGCAGCCGGTCCCGTTCCCGCACCTCCTCCTGGAGCTTGGCCTCGGACACCCGCAGCTGGCGGATGGTCGCCTTCATCTCCTTCATTTTCACCTCCATGAGAGCGATGATGTCTCGCTGCTCGTTCAGTTTCCGTAGCAGCTCAGCCGACGTGGTGCCGGTGGTCAGAGAGTACGAGTGGTCCAGCGGGCTGCAGGTCACGCTGACGTACTGGACGGGCAGCTGGAGCACGGCGGCCCCAGTTTCGACTGAAGACTCGCCGACTATGATTTGTTCGATACCATCGTCCGATTCGGGGAAACAAGCTCCCACAGTCGGGGCGGGTAGCCGCGCTGTGCCCAGGTACTCCCCGTTTTGGCCTATGTGGACCACAGTGATGCTTTCGTGGCCCGCCTCGCCGCCGGCGTTGCCATCGGCTCCCACTGCGGTGCTCCCCAGGATACTCGTAGCGGGTATAGGGATCGCTGCGGACACTTTCCTCCCTCTGCCCCGCCGGCTCCTGCGCTCATTCACGCCTCGCAGCGGGAAAAGGGATGGCACTCGCACGCTGTAGGTCTTTCTCCCGCCGGCGAAGTGCACACTACAGACTCGGTGTCCCGTTGTGGGCTGAAAGGTGCTGAAGCAACCGCTGACCCCGGCACGGGAGATGTTCCTCAGCCACAGCTCCCTCAGTGCGTTGTCCTTAGGAAACGTATAGAAGCGAAGCTCCTTATCCCGGTGGGAGTTGTTGTAGCAGCCAGGAACACAGCACGTGAACCCGGGCATGTTTTTCTCCCGAAAGACGAGTTAAAAACGCAGCTTTTGATTTGTTTTTGTTTGTTTATTATCGTACGCGCTGTTACCAAGCTAAGCGGCCTGCAAACGGAACTACACGTCCCACAAAGCTAACGACTTCCTGTTTCTTTTCGCCAAAAGTTCGCAGCTCCAGTGCGTACGGTGGCTGAATCCACCCAAATTATCTTGAAGTCACGGCATACGAATCTAATGTTTTTCACCAAATACAACACAACTTTCTTATTTTGGAGTCTTGTTTTGTTGTTTTGTTCTCCGATCTGAAATCAAGTCAACAGTCTTCAACGGAGAACTAAAACTCCCAAGATCCTTTTCGTCTTTTCGCTGTCTGCTATTTTTAATACAGCGCCAGCATCTGGTCGGCATGTATATAACGTGTTTTTATATGAACAGAAAAATACTATTTTTTTGTAGCAAAATTGTTGTTTTATTATTTCTTAATTTTACTGCGTAATATAAAAATTTAGTCTGAATTTATACAATATTTGTTTAATCCAATTCTGATTTAAATGCCGTATTTTTATTCACTATGCCCTATAATCCATTCCGTCATTTTACTTACATTTCTAGATTTTTGTAACTATATTTTTGTATAACTTTTACATTACACGTTCTTGTGGCTTTTAACAGCTATTTATGTAATTTAATATCATCTAAATGTATTGCTGATATCGATTATTTTTTTTACATCTTGATAAATGTGGTTTGCACGACAGCCAAATAGGGCTAGAACATTCGTTGTTGTATCCCAATTTCGAGATCAAAATTGAGAGGTTGTGTGTGTGAGAGAGAGAGAGAGAGAGAGGGGGGGGGGATTAGAGAAGCGAATAAAATAAAAATTTTTTTATTAATTTTGGCTGTAATAAAGTCAGAAGAAGGAAGCTAAATGTTGTGAAAAGCTTATCTGTAGAAAAAAATGTATGCAACATCCCCAGACCTACTTTTATGAGATGCCTTTGATGTTTTGTGTGTTACAAAAAACAACTTGTAAAGGTAGCCTACACACTTATAAAAATACTTTACATCGTCCCAAGCAGGGCTATATTAGGCTACCTTCACATTAAAGAGTTGGAAGCATAAATATAAACACAACCATGATTATTTTGGCTTCATAATTTAAAGTTTAATATGTGAATAATATGCACGAGCACGTGACCATCCACGGGAACATCAGCTGTGGTGACGCGGTTTGTTTCTCTGCTCAGCTGCGTCGCCACACCCTCGTCTTCCTCCTCGGTGCGTCTGAAGCAGCAGCAGCACCATGATGCGATCAGCTCTGCTGGTTTTGGTTCTGACAGCAGTATGCGACGGAATCCTCCCCGAGATAGCCTACTCAGGCATCAATCACATCGTGGAAGGACCGTCCGAGCTGGACCGCGTATTTGTGGAGCAGCTGCCGGAGGACCCACATCCAAAGCCCGAGGATGCATTTCCCCAAGTATGCAGCCAGTTGCACCTCTCAGGCTGATGTTGGCATGGCTTTGATCAAAATGCATGTGCTTTCACTCGTAGTTTAGTAAAGTGTCTATTCTAATAAAAGCATATATATTTAAAATATTTTTACGTTCAAAGGCAGATCGAGGAGTTTTAATACACGTTTTATTAAATGATCTCAACAGGAAAACAAAAGTGTCAGCTTTCATCATAATGACCTTCCTCAGAGCCATCAGAATGAAACCACTTCTGATAAGGTGACTAATGATGAATTTGTTCACACCTCAGCAGAGCAGGTAGGATAGTAAACAACACTGATTCATTTACCTAATTAATTAAACCTAACAGAAAGTCTGGCTTTGAAACAGGAGACCAACATCATCTCTTCAGCCGTCCCAGACAACGACCTGGAGAATCACATTGATCATGCAAGTCTATTTCATTTGCTTGCTAAATAAATAAACACCAGAGAACTCTTGTTTGCAGGTGTTAAGCTGCTCAGTTTGAGCTTCTCAACACTGGAAATGTTGCATCATCAGAGCTGCTGACTCAGCATTCTGTGAATTAAATTATGCATGCATCGTTTGGCCAAAAATAATCACAGCTGACAAATGGAAGTAGTTGCAACTAATTTGTCGAGTCAGTTTTATAAAGTGGTGACTGAAAACATGCACCGAAAAATGTTGGTGTATAAATATGTAATGGTGTGAGCCTTGTGAGCACGTGAACGTGTGATTTCAGATGCTAAGTTTACCATGAGAAAATGAGTCCAAGGATGTGTTTGCTGTTAGAGGTGCAAGATTGTATAAAACATATCAACATAAAATCTGTCAAGCTGCAAAAATGTTCAGAATATTTTTGTTACAGGGATGCATCACGGATGATGAGTGTGGAGGAGGAAGGTTCTGCCTTCATCACACCCATAGTTCCAAGTGTCAGCCATGCAAAGAAACTGATTCAGTAAGTTTGGTCAGATTAATTGAAAACCTGTTTACTAAACTGATTTTAATTTGTCAAATGAAATCACTAAATACGTTACTAACTGATTAGTAATGTGATTATTCTGACGGATAACTTTTTCTGTTAGTATTGACACGCCAGAATAAACGATCAAGCTTTTAAGCGTTATGCCATCAGGACAAAAGGAGTTCTCGTCTTACATGACACTTCCAGGCTGCCAGGGTTCCACGTGCACTGCATTGCAGTTGTTTCCACAAGTGTAACAGGAGTGTGTTGTTCGTGAACGCAGAACAGCCCGAGTCAAGGTTAAACACGACCTTTCCCCTTTAGGCAGATTTAGCATCATTCAAGGGACATTTAAACAAGATGTTTTTTTTTTGTTCCTGTTCAGTTTTATCCTAGCCAAGTGTTCTGATCTGCTGAAATGATTTTTATCATCCCTGGGTAAAATGGTAGACCAAAAACCAATGCAAAGGGATAAGCACGTTGGCAGGCTGCCAGACTAGAGTGCAGCACACCGATAATAAATACTCAGAGGGAAGGATCTGCAGTTTGTCAAAATCACTGCAGGGCTGTCAACTTTAGCGTGAGACACGTTTTTGACAATCTTAAAACGCGACTATGCTGAGAAAAAAAAGTTCATATCTGAGCTACACAGAAGTAGAAGGAACTAGGCTACATTTATAAAGTTACTGCATCATCCTAATTAACCCCAAAATGGCTAAAGTGGTCTTTCTCTGCCAGACTTATCGTGTCATTTTTGCAAAACCAAGAAATAAAGGTTTAAGAATATCTCATTCAGAGATTTTTACTAAATTTGACAGCCTTGTCGCTGCATATATGAAAATAAAGAGAGACACAAAAAGTAATTAATTATCCAGCTGAGACTCATGTCTGTTTTTATTCAGTCCTGCACTAAAGATGTGGAGTGCTGCCACCAGCAGCTGTGTGTGTGGGGTCAATGCAGTCAAAATGCAACAAAAGGTGAAGCCGGCAGCACCTGTGAGCAGCAGACGGACTGCGACCTCGACCTCTGCTGTGTTTTCCATAAGGGTACAAAAGCACCATGCATCTGAACGCCATGTCATTGGCTATGTTCTCTCATAACGTGTGTGTGTGTGTGTTCAGCCCTACTCTTCCCAGTTTGTTCAGCCAAGCCCATTGAACGCGAGCGCTGCTTTGGTGCCTCAAACCACCTGATGGAGCTGTTATCCAGGGACACACAAGACGGGGGGCCAAGGAAGCACTGCCCCTGTGCAGGAGATCTTCAGTGCCAGCACCTGGGGTAAGAATGTCAAATTTAAATCACATGTTTTTTGTTGCTTCTGTAACTGTTCCTCCTTGTTGGACAGGCGGGGGTCCATGTGTCTTAAAGGGGACGAATCGAGTGAAGAGGACATGACGGACTCGCTGTACTCAGAGATAGACTACGTACTGTAGACACAGCTTTTTCTTGTGAACAGCATGGAAGATCTTCAATAATGCTTGGGCATCTTTTTCTTCAAATTAACTTAATTTTCTCTCTGTCTGCTTAATCCAAAGTTGTAAAGTTCCAGAACATAGAGTGAAAAAAGCTTTTAAAAAGTCACCAAAGTGCACCAATATTAATGTTTTAACAGAACTTTCTGAATAACCACTTTTTTGTTTATACTGACTTGCATAATGTATTTTCAGGGTTATATATATGTGTATATATATATATATATATATATATATGGCATATTATAGCTCACATTAACTTATTTAGACTAACCCAAGGCTAAAGTGTCATTTGCAAAACTTGAACCATACTGAAAGTATGTTTTTAACCCATCAGTCTGCAGTTGATCTCTTGGGTCAGATTTGGAGGCAAATTGTAAAGAATCAGATGAGTGTCTGTTGAGGGGTATTCCTGATCATTTGTTGCTAAAAAGAAAATTATGTGCAGATTGAGCAGCAAATCCCCCTGTAAGAGCTTTGTTGGCTTACTCAGGTGATTACAGTCAGCCTATTTGATTGGTCTAGTCAGGCAGCAAGAAGCACACCTGTGTTGGGAGTGGGAGACAGTTGTCACCAGCTTTCAAGCCGTTAATATGATGGATATTTTAGAGAAGAATGTTGAAAACAGTTACATTTCTGCTGCAACGAGAACAAGGTTGAGGTTTAATAGCCCAGCATAACCAGGAATTAAACACTGCCTCATTAACCAAGACTTTTGTCTTTTTTTTTCATATTTGTAGCATGTTTCTGTCCATGATGGTTTAAGTGTCAATGACCCCCCAGGTTCTCCAGACGTTTTCCCCTCTCTGGCTCGGGAGCACAATCTTTACGGATGCCCCAGCTTTCCTTCTAGACCAGTTATAATACCAGCTTGACATTGGAGGACTCGATAAATAGATAAAAATTTTGATTATCACTAGGGTAAAGCTTTTTCTTTCTCTCTAGATAGCACTTTCATTTATTTCTAAAATAATTTTTACCTTTTTTACATAAAATATCTCAAAGAAATTAAACAAAAACTGACGTTGGTGCATCTACAGACACAGGCGCCCAATCCTGGTCCTGGAGGGTCACTGTCAAGCATGTTTTGGTGATTTCTCTGCTCCAAAAACACTGCATTTTAATCAGCGGATGACTAACATTTAAATTAACAGGTTTTGTAGAGCCTGATGAGCTGCTGAACAGGTGATTCAACCACTGAATCCCAGATGTTGGAGCAGGAAAACAACTAAAACATGGATGGCTGCCAGGACCGGGATACGGCACAATTGATCTACAGTAAACAGCTGGTGGCAACATCCAAAGTTTGGAACAGCCAGGATGTCGACAAAGTCCTGTAGGGTTTCTACACCCTCTGTCATCAGTTTGTCAAGCAACAGCAGTTGGAAGCAATAATTTATTAGTTTACACCAAAGCAGAAACAATTCCTGGTTTTGCTTCATGTCTTTAAATTAAAAAGGACACATCAAGAAGAGGTGATGTGACCAGAGGCAGAACTGCTACAAAGCATAAAGAGCAGCATTAAGGATGACCCATAACAGCACATCACTCTTACAGGAGCCAAAAGACAACTTTCACGTCAGAAATCCTCATTACTTAAAATCTTTTGTCTCTCTCCATCAAATCAGTGACGAAGAGAGCAGGAGGTATGTTTTAGTCAGGTGACTGAGGAAAGCTGGATGAGAGTGACCTCTGACAGAGCCGTGCTCAAAAGGTGAGATCAGTGATGTCACAGGATGGCCACAGATGAGTCAGAATTCACACATTTTCCCCCCAAAACGGAGAATTAACAATTAACACACGAGAGGAGCCAAAGTGCCTGATTTGAAAGAACATTGAAGACTCACAAAGACAGGATGGATGCCTTTCAGCCCACTCTGTCCTACCATCTCCACATCTGTAGCTTTTTATTTCAAATGATTTGTCAATACAGAATTCTTCTTTCCTGTGAGAACAGCGTTTGTACTTTCCCTTTAAACTTTACAGTACAACACACTCTAGTGCACAGCAGGGTTTTTGAGCCAGCCCTGGGGCTCTGAGAGGGGGTGAGAGCTCATCTGCCTCACAGTGCTGCTGGACTTCCAAGTCACTACTGGGCTCGACAATCAGAGTCCCAACGCCTGGCTGCTCTCCTGCAGCAGCCGGACGATTACAGACACCAAGAGTCATTCCCCGCTCTTCAGTCCTGTCCCGGGTCTCTCACGGGGCCGCCGTCCAGGTAGATCTTGAGAGCCTTTTCTTTTCGAGGAGAGTAGCTGACACGATGTCCTGTTTTGAGCAGTCGACTACTCTCCTTCTTCATGAGCTCGTTACGCTCATCCTCCGAGAGCTCCAGAGGTTCTTCCCTGCTGTCCCTGTTCAAACAAAGATCTCAGTTTAGAAACGACAGCCAACATTTTATGTAAACCCCAACCCTGTTACCTGTAGAACACCACGGCTCCGTCGTCACAGATGTAAAGAGGCCACACGTTGAGAGTCGACACCTTGGGGTTCCAGTCCAAATCCTGATGGATCTCCAGCACGGATATATCACACGGGAAAGTTCCTCTACCCTGGAGAGAAAATGCAGCAAGCTGATCAGTGCAGGAACACAAAAAAATGTTATTATTGTACCATGTGACATAATAATATCTTCTTACCTTTGCAAACTCCACATTCTCAAGAGGAACTTCACTGACTTCACTAAGCTGCAAAAAAAATTCAGCAAGATATTTTATTACTGATAATCAAAAGTTTTCACCTGTAAAAATAAGCAGTGATGCAAGCATGAAGAGTGAGTGTGACTCAACGCCAACTTGATGAGATTGCTGCAAAACAAAAACATGACTTTGAAACCTGTGTTGTTGCTAAACGACCAGCAGGTGGCGACACTTGTGATTGTTAAAAAAAAAAGGTCAGATTCTAATATTCCTTGCGAGTTGATCCATTAAAATTACTTACTTCTAGGGTTGTCACGGTGTGAAATTTAACCTCACGGTTATTGTGACCAAAATTATCACGGTTTTCAGTATTATCGCGGCATTTTTTTAAAAGTGTTAAATTTTCAGGAAACTAAACCCTGTATATCAGGAAAATATTGTCCTCAGTTCGTGTCTAAATTTTGCCTACAATTTGTTATTTTGTAATTATGTTGTTTATTTGTTTACATATTTTCCCTTTAGTCTTTAAAATACCAATATTTGCCCATAACTTCTTATTTGTTGTATGTTTGATGTCGTCATTTTAAAAATATTAGATCAGATGACACTCAGTACTCAAGTAGCCTTCTAATCAGATCCTTTTTTACCCTTACTTGAGTAATAAACCCTATATCAGGAAAATATTGTCCTCGGTTTGTGTCCTTCCAGTGAGCTTTGCAGATGTGGGAAAATGTCATCAGGCAGTAATCATTGTTAAATTCATAATTATTCTCGGAGAGAGACCAACTTTTATCTGCCCCTGGAAGCCCCGTAATGCATAGCGTCATTTCAACATGGGGGTGTCCGCGACACGGTTTATATGCAGGTAGCGGCGCTGCGGCTGCTTTATATAGCGACTCGTTGCTTTCTCCCTCAACCCAAATCATCGGACCACGCATTTTAGCTAAAATGCTAACGTTAGCTTGCCTTGCGTTGACTGTAGAGTTGTGGGTGATGGTCACGCAGATGTGTCATGAGATTTGAAGCGTTGCTGCCTTTCACAGACACTTTTCCTGCACATGCTGCAAACAGGATAGCAGTCTTCTATCAACTCCCTCGGCATTCTTCAAATATCCAAAAAATGCCCGTACTTCCCACTTTGTCTTCTTTGAGGGATAAAAAATGTCCTGCGCACTGCCGTCTCCAGGACTGCCGTCATGGAGACGCTGAATGCTCTTTAGCCATTATTTCAGCTTTAGCTTCAAGGAAGTTTTGGTTGTAAACAACAAAGTGCGCATGTGCCGCTGGCAACTTCAGCAGATGATACGGTGTCTGGTAAGGGTCACCGCGCCTACACCGCAGCCACAGTAATCCACTGAGATAATATATTTTTTTAAAAACAAGACGGTTATTATTATTGTCAACTTTTTTACCGGGGTTTACCGCTACACTGGTTACCGTGACAACCCTACTTATTTCAAGCCTTTATAATATTCTCTTTAGGAAAACTTGGTCCAATTTAACAAAAAATACATGAATGACCAGGTTTCTGAGTGAAATGCAGAGATTCATTCTCCCTTAAAAGTTGTGCATGAATCTGTACTTCAAACCAAAATCACTCAAATGTAAACAAATATGACATAATATTAGTAATAATAATAATAAAACACCCTTATTTTGTGAAGTAATACCTTCTCTTTGAGTTCGTCAACACTGCTGCTCTCCAGAATCACCTCCTGGAAAGGTCCCAGTTTCATCGTAGCTGGACTCCACCTTCGAGTCAGAACAGCCAGCTGAGACATGGACTTCATCTTCTCTGGGTCTAAAAAAGAAGATGTAGGTAATGGATCGTTCTCCTGAAGACTACATATATAATTGCAGATGTCAAACTTTTTGTCATATTCTGACAAGAAATAATTGAGTTAAATAGTTTCTTGAGAAGCAACACCATCGACCTTAAACATTTACACCTGTCTAACCAAAAACATTTCTACCGTAAATCCTCTAATATTAGCCTGTATTTAATTAACTGCCGGGTATCATATTTTGGCTGGTGTCGGAGTCGGCGGAGGTGGATAATGGCCGTTTTTTATTGTGGCCGGGTGGAATGTGGTAACAAGCAAGTACGGGGGCGGTTGTGTCATCCGTCTCACTTTTGATTTGCCAGTGATAGACCGCGAGGGTAACTTTAACCGTGCGGACGCGAAGAGGAGGCGAAAATTTGATATCAAGTTCAAAGAGAACGTGCTGATTATGCTGCAGAACACTCTGGGGAGCAGTAGGGGTTGTATGAACTAGTCACTAGTCGACTTCACCGCTCTATAGTGACTTTTTATGCCTGTCATCGACTAGTCGCTGTCACGTGATAATGACCGGCAAGATGCAGTCCACGGAAAAGACAGCAGCCTGCTGTCAGCAGGTGACGGGTGATGCGCCCCGATCCACAGCAGCGAAACACATTAGGCACAAATAAAAGAATAAAAGACAGAAAACATAAAAGAAATGAACCAACATGAACGATCGCGTGTTAAATTAGTTTTTGAGGTGGCGACACCTGATTTGATGTTACTGTGGCCGTGCTCAGGACGCAGATGTCAGGAGCGCGTCAACAATCAGAGCTTTGCATGCGCAAGCTGGTTAAGGTTAGGATGGGGGTGAGGGGAATGTTAAATTGCAAGAGGGTAAATGTCACAATTTGGTTAAATGTTCGTTTTACGGCGGGTGTCAGTGCCGACGCTCTGGCACAGGGCGTTGCCTCCCGTGGCCGGCGAGCATTCCGCTGTTTTTGCGGTCGGTAGATCTTTTAGAACTGCAGTTCAAAGGTAACTCATAAGGTGAATATAAATGAACCCAGGTAGCAGTTTTTCTTTAGGATTGAGAGGAGATGCAGGAAGATAATAAACAGGCAGGACAGAAAAATAGTCAAATAAAACAAGTTAGTTTTTGTACCTGGTTGTTGCAACAAACAGACACCATTGAAGGTAATCAGAAGTGAGGAACAGAAAATGAAATAATTATTTTAATGTTTAGAGCAGCAGGAACTCTGAGAGGCTGCAGGCGCATCAGTGAGTTTGAGGCCGCTGTGCAGGGGGAGGGGGGAGAGGGCTGAAGCAAAAACTACCGTTGTTAAAAGAAATGTGTTTAACTTTGAAAATGTGGGCTCAATATTAATTGTCAAAAACTCCAGCGAACCATTAGTTCATTTTACTCAAATAAGAAATTGAGGCCTGCCTCTAATTCTGGTCCTCCTTCCAATAAAGGCCTGGAGCTTGATGAGCTTGAGTCAAATACAGGCCCGGGCCTGTATTAGAGGATTTACGGTAATTTATTCTGAAAAGAAACAAAACTGAAGGGGATAAGTTACCATTAAGGACTTCCAAGAAAACTTCCCAGTTGGAGGAAATGCTGATGTCTTCCTCGTAGATGTGGTAATCCAGAAAGACGGTGCCTGGATTCTTCCAGGTTTTTTTCCTGAGACGAACTCTAACCACACACACACAAACACACAAGAGCCGTTTACAAAGTTCTCATCGGGAAAACGTGACTCGGCCAACATTAGCTTGGCGGCTAACAGTACCTGTCGACGCTGAGGTCTAGCTTACACTGCTCTTTTAGCTGAGGAAGCAGTTCCTCCTTGGACTGTCTGACAGTCATGCCCTTGGCAAACACCGTGTCCACAAGGAACTTACAGGGCTGAGCAAACAATAACATGTAAGAATAAAAAATAAATCTATCGGCTATTAAATGCTATACAATCATTGAATGAGTGTCCAGGTCTTACCTCTGGTTCATTCACCATGAGCTGATACACTTTAACTCTGTATTCACCCTTTTTCAGGGCTCTTCCGAGTCGAATAGTAATCTAAAAGAAATCGTAAGTCAGATATTAGCACCATCACACGCCAATTCCCGCCTCAGATACATCCTGAACAAGCCGCTCTGACCTTGTTATCATCAGAGAAGGACGAGAGTGTCTCGTTCAGCCGTACGCTCTCAAACTCCTGGTTGTTGGCATAAACCCGAAACACCTTGAACTGGGACGACACTACTCCTACGTAAGGCTCCAGCTTCTGTTTGAATGCTGCTAATGTTATCCTCTTGTCCACGTGGACCACTAGACCTGAGAGAGATGACATGAAAAAGCAATTTACAATCTTTCCCTGTAAGAAAACGATAGGAACGATAAAGCTCTGTGTTCTTTAGCTACTAGCTGAAATTATAGCCTCCTTTTACACTAGTCCTGGGTTAGGATAATAATACTTGATTTAAACGGAATTATCTTTTCAAATATGTCATAAACAAAAGAGCTGTGTACATTTTTGTGTTTCCCACGAAGCTTCGTCCTGAGAAAATGGCTCCGCTCTGAAGTACAGGTACTGAGCTTCTGCTTTGCTCTTCCCGTTGTCGTCGTACTCGCTGTCCGTCCCGGAGTCCTCTTCAGCTGTGTCCCACGTCTCTTTTTTGCCTTCGTGTGCTTTGGAGCGTCGGCTACTTGTGATGCTATGTGAATCCAGGCCGTTGGCCAGCTGAATGGGGCCGCTGTCGGCGTTGCACAGCGTGTCGCTACTGTGGCTGGAGCTCAGGATGTCACTGTCCACTGAGCTTGTGCTACGATCATTGTTCACCTCAGAGTCTGACCGTTCCTCGCAAACAAATGGGTTCTCTGTGTCGGAGGAGGCCCCTCCGCTGCTGCCGGGCGTGGCTCTGATCCGGTTCTCCAACCCTCTGTTGTCTGCGGCCACGCACAGAGAAGAGTTTGAGTGGGCCTCTTGGGTCGGGGATTCAATATGCTCAAAGTCGCTGGTGTCAGGACTTTTCTGGCTGTCGCTAGTGCTGGAGCCTTGCTGCTGCAGAGACAAGTTCTTTAACTTTTCTGTGCTTTCCTCCAGGATAGCTTCCACAGATTTCCTGTTGCCCTTTGACCCCTCTAAGGGACCGTCGGTGTCTTCTCCTGCCTTTTGGCAAACAGTTCTATTGGTCAGAGCACCAGGAGACTGTTCAGGTAGTAAGACAAACAGCCGGATCGTATTCCCATGACGATCCAACAGTTTCCACAAGAGTGAGTCAGTGAACACAACCTGATGATCCGCCAACTCAGAGCTCTCCACAAAAACCTGAGGAAAGTTAACAGATTCCATGTTAATGTAAAAAAAAATACTTGTATATATGAGTTTTAACATACTATCAAACTTTGAGACAAACATAAAAAATGGCAGACCTTGTTACTCCTGAAGAATCCTTCAGCTTTAAGCGTCTTATTTGGAACATAGAGAAGCCGGAGGTCATTATAGCAGCGCTCCAAGACCACTCGCATGGTCTCTGCAGAAAGCCCCGTAGCCTGGGGAGGGAAAAAACAAGCAATAATCCAAAATTAGAATGAAAAACTATTCATTACCATATGAAGAAATAAACCAGTGTAAAGACTGAGAAGATACAGAAACCTGTGCAATAAGCTGTTTGAACTCGGTGACTGTCTGGTTCAGGTACGCTCGAACGCTGACTGGAGGGGTAATGGTCTCGGTCTTCAGATCAACAATAAAAACCTTCACCATCACTTCTGCAGCAATAAAAAACCAACAATTCTTTTACATCTAAAATGTTTTGGTCACGGCAAAATATTAGAGGAGCAAATCACCAACCTCCAGGTTTGTAAGGCTGGAACACCTGCTCTGGCCTGCGTGTCTCTAGCAGGAGGTCGAACATGTACGAGGACTTGACTCCGCCGAGGAGGAGCCCCATCGGAGTGTCTTCCTCCCCTTCATACGATCGCTCCAGATACTCGTGGAACTCATCATACTTCACCAAGCGACAGCAGTCCAGTGAGACGGCTCCTTCCAGCTCCATCAGCTGAAGTCCACAAAAATATCACCCAAAACAACATCATGTGAAGTTTCTTTTGTACTTGAGGATTCACATCTTTTCTTTGTGTTGAGCTCCATTTCTGAATGCTGTTTGAATATAGACTTGGATGCACAGCATGACTCTGCTGAACATAACATTAGTAGTTGAGACAAAACAAAAATCCAAGCTAGAACAGACCTTGTAGGCCATTTCTGTCGCTTCCCTGAGAGTTCTGTCCTTGTGAACTTCCAGCTTGCTCTCCACCATCATCTTCACAGGATGCATGCAGAAAAGCTTGATCTAAAGACAGAAATAAGCTTGAGCAGATCGGACGGTTTTCATTCATGCTGAACCAATCCAAAGATCTGTACCTTGCAAGTATTGCGTTCGATCTCCCTCTGGCGTTTCTCTTGCTCTTCAGACTCTTTCTCCTTCTGAACCAAACTCTTTATGTGCTCTGGGAAATCTTCCACAGCTAGAAACTCTGCAGACGAAACACGTGCTACATTTACTGGTGTTATTAAAGCTCAGGACACAACTAAACAGACCTGTGTTGTACGTATAACAGAGAAAGTCATGTCACAGAAAATTATTCATAAAAGTTATATGTAAAAATTGCCACACTATAATGATCGCTGACCAGGAAAGCATATTAACTAAGAGGAGACCTGGTAGTAGGCAGGATTTACTACTGGTCTCCTTTAGTCGGAGAATGTGTGAATTTAGAACCACAGAAAGATGTTGGAGATGTTTATGGATCCTAAATGATCTCCTCCTGACTGCTCGGTGCCAGATACTACTAGTTCAGTCTTTGTCTGCAACTCCATCGGTCCATCTTCTGCTGCTTATCCAAGGTCAGGTCAGAGAAGTTACAGATCCAGGAGAGAAATCCAGACATCTTTGTTCCTGAACACATTCTCAAGGATACCAACACATTCCCAGACTAGAATAAATAACATAATCCCTTCAGAAAGTTCTGAGTGTGCCCTGGAGGGCTGTCCCAGTGGGAGACTGAGGAGGAACTACTCAATAACTGGTCTTTAGTGTATGGCTAAAAAAATTTTTAAACTGGATTAAGAACATTAGGAATCTAATGATACGACTGCTTCTACGGTTAATACAAGATGTCTTACTCGTATTCCTTGAGAGGTCTTTCAGTCTATAAATCAGCATGTACGCATTTGTCGAGCTGTTGGGAGAAAAACAAAAATATAATAGAGAAGTTATAAAGTAAGATCTGATTTCCCTTTTTGAACACAGATGCACAAAATAAGACCACTGACCTTGCAAAGGCACTAGAATAATAGCCTCTGCTCCCCGATGACCCCCCATATGTCTTCCTGATATCATCCTGGGTGATCTGTCACACATGAAAGGACCAAAGCACAAAAACAGTGAAATAATGACAGAAACAGGCTTTTTCTTATGCAGGAGAACAGAAGAGCTGACCTTGCTAACGTGTTGATCGTTGAAACTGTACCACTGGCCATCGCTGAAAGACTTGATATAAGCATAGTAGTGGCCACCAGCAGCGCTCCCTGAATGGACCATGACGGAGAACAGCTCAAAGGTCAACAAGCTCTGAGAAGCAAAAGCAGAAGGTCATTTAGATAAAAGCTGTAGAGTTTGTTGACGTGATGTCGTTGCAGAGCTGTAACAATTTGCAACTTTTAGTTCTCAACACATCAGAGGAAATTTAAGCCACATTTAGAGTTGAGATATTGATGGACAGTGATGTTTAGATGTGTCGGAGTAGGGAGTGTAAAATCAGAACAATAACAACCCAGACAAAAGATCTTGTAACTCATCTCTCAAACTAGAATTATAATTCATGATCTGAATCACGGTTCTTCCCAGATTACTGCAACTCGTGATCACCGGATTCTTTTAATCATAAACCCTGTGTGAATAAGAAGCTCGTATTTATCGCTCAAATCTCGGCAATCAGCTTTTTTTTAACACTTGTTAGCATTTTTTTCTTACTTTTTGAGTGTAGCAGAATACCCACCAGATAGCAATACAGAAAGATCTTTTGCCAGTTCAAGTACTTTTTCCTCATGTTGATGATGATCAAATAAATGAACAAGTTATGTGGGAAAGATGGTTACCTTTGGCTTCAGCGCCCTCTCCGTGCTGCTGGTGCTGTCCAAGCAGATGCCCTCATCCACACAGTCATCAGTGGAGAAGTCATTGCTCATTTGGTCGCTGTGGCAACTGCCTTCATTCTCTGCTCCACTATCAGTACAGCTCTCTGTCTGAGGTGACTTCTAAAACCAATGAAGATTTTCAACAACAACTTATGTGAAGCCCTGATGACAGAAATTCAAAAGCGACCAGCAGAATGTTCAACAAGATAAGACGGAGAAGAAAATCCAGGCTGGTTATTGGCAGTGGCAGGATGAACACTAACAATCACCACTGAGTCACGTGGTCAGGACACAGTAATGCCTGAACAGTTAAAACCAGAAATAAATACAGCTAGAACACAGTAGAGCCTGGAAATTCTCTTAAAAATTGACAATGAATTTGGGTTTTCATAATCATCAAAATGATGAGAAATAAAAGCTTGTAATAGTTCACTCTCTTTACTGAATGTAGATAATAGTTTCACTTTCTGAAATATGAAACTTTTACAGAGAAGTGCACCCTTTTTTAGACATGCACCTTGTTTAAAAATATTAAAAACTGTTTACGGTGAGTTAGACTTAGCAAACGCCACCTGGGTTAAGGGCCTCATCGTTGTGCTGGCACACAAAACGGTGTCTGAAAATGTCATAAGTCACTTACTGCATAAACTTTATGATTAACAGAAAAAACAGCAGATAATGAAGGTGATCAAAGATTGATTTACATTGATTTCAGTTTCAGTGAAAATTGGGTTTTCTACACCCCTTGGTTGCCATGGCGACTGCATCAGCCAGCTTATGAATGTGCAGAATATTCATTCGGTTTGCAATGACCATTTATGGCAGAATGTCGTGTCAGAGGTGGGATGTGATCCCAAATCACCTGAGAAACTTTCTAGGAAGAGCGTGACTTAAAAAGCAAGAATTAGGTGCATCCGTGCATAAACAGTGTTTCACAGGTGGGAAAAACAGTAAATTAATCATTTTTACTGAGCATGAGTAGTTTTCATAAAGATTCTATGCCAAGTTGTATAGATGAGGCCCTTGGGCGGTGAATGCTTATGGGTTACGCTACTGTTAGCCGTCTATATGAGCTCTGACACACTTATGCCACTGACAGCTTGTTTCATCACCTCCCTCATCACATAATGACAGAAATAATTACATCTTGGTTAATCAACCAAATGTTGACTATGCTGAAGGGTCACTAATCTGATCTAAATCAGAGAGAGTGGTGGCTGCGCTCACCTCATCTTCCACATCGATGAATGGACTCATATCCAGCTCCTCGGGGAACACCATGCGGTCATTAAGCTTGATGCGATGCATGGTGGTGTAGTCAAAATCAAACCTTTTCAGTTGTAAGGTCAGCAGGTAAGGAAGGTGCAGAAATCTCAGACCCTGAATAAAAAGTTTCTATTAAAGAAAGAATAAAGGACACAGTTGTCTCTTATTATTCCTGTCCCATTTTCAGCATGCTGACCTTTCGCGCGTCACACTTCTTTTTGCAGCGTTCGCAGAAGTACTGGTTGGGTCCATCCAGAGTTTCTGGCTGGATGAATGCCTGCAAAGCCTCCTCCTGTGGAAACAAACCCATCTGTTTGCACCAATATGTAGACTAATAAATAAAAAATCTTGCCTTCCAATGCATTCACATTAGCATTGAGGGTAAAGTATTAAATGCAAATCGAGTCTCTTTGATACGATAATCAAGTTTATTGCTGAGGAATTAAAAGAAAAACCCACCACACTCCCGTAGGCCTGGCTGGCTCCAAAGGGTCTGATCACCAGAGGGATGTCCAGGTAAGTATCAATTCTCCAGCTCTCGTAGCCACACTCCAAACAGCGAACGTAATCCTTCAGCTTTCCTTGGTACAGCTGGTTGATCAGATCAGCCTGAGGACATAGAGGCATGACAAACTGGTTTCCTCAGCATTATTCCCCACTATTTTTCTCTCCAGAATGCATTCCTATACTAAATAAAACTATGTGAAACCATGAAAACAGATAAATGAAACAGTTTAATTTTATAGGAAAGTTGTTTTAAACCAAAGAAAAATGTCATTATCGCATATTTAACCATCTTCTCTTGATTTCCATAATTTCCAGCTTCCTCTAAGGTTAGTTTCTTTCTATGAATGAGTCCATTTACAGACCGTAAAATCATCATTTGCCCCGATACACCGCATATGATCTTGTTTTTGTTAAGAGACTGAAACCAATGAAAAAGCAAACAGATCAGGACTAGCAGAACAGGGTTGTGTCGGGTTGTCAACGCTCCCGACAGAAGTTACTGAACGGGGGGAGGGGCAAGACACTACTGAACACTTAAAAAACCACAGAAAAGCAGAGTATTGGGTAATGTTGGATTTGTGTTCAGTTTTATTATTATTATATTATTTGAAAGTACAAAAAAGCTATGATGTGAAAAGTAAAAAAAATCTAAACATTCAAAAAAATGCATCAAAAATTGTGTTAATCCTGGTTATCTAGATAATCATTTAATAATAACAGTGTGTAATGTCAAACTGGTTCCCTAACCTTTCAATCAAATGCCCCATGCTCAATATAAAAAGCACCAGATAATAAAAAAAGAAACACTTAGGAGAATCTAGTCCTTGAACAATAAAATAGTGTAATGAAACTGTTAAATGCTTATTTTGTTAATAGTTGGAACGGTGTAAACTGTAGGGGACTTATGTCAAGAGTTCACAAGCATTGACTTTCTTCGTGTGCAGACCAGCAGTACAAATATAAACACTAAAAATAGAGCCATCTTATAGAGAAGAAAACCATATCTTTCTCGTACCTGTTCAGTCTGCTTCCACTTCTGCTCTAGGGCATCAAACATGACTCTGCACAGCTCCTGGACATCATGCTGCTGCCAAGCTAAACAAAAAAGGAGACAAAAGCACATGCTCTTTTACGCAGACAAACCATGTGTCTTTGGTCACAAGAGAGTGCAAAACTCACCCTCGCTGCTATCCCAGCCGAAGCTCCGCGTCACATCAGTGGTCTCAATCGCTCGCTTCTTACTGGTCTGCAGCAGAACAAACAGTCTTTGCAGCTGATAGGGAATACTGGTAACTGGATCCTCCTCTGACTCTTCAAACTCCCAGCTAAAGTTGCACATTTATGAATTCGAAGGTGTTTTGTTTATTCTTACATGTTTTACAGTAACATACTGGCATGGTGCCTTACTTGTAGAGCGCATTTCTGAATTCTGGGGTCATGTAAAGTGTTTGCAGAAGACTGTTCAAATAGCACGTCATAGCTTGGTTAACCAAGCCAACATAACCTGCAGGATGAGAGAGAGACAAGTGGTGACATGATGAAGGCAAAAGTGATTGGGACTGCCTTTTCAATAGGCGGTAAACTCTCACCTGTATCAGATTTGCTGAGAATAGACGAGTAGGAGTAGGATGGACTGCTGTAGTCGCCGCTGCCACATGCACTGCCATCTCTCTGTAGAGGCCCAATAAAACGCTCCTGAGAACTGTCATCCAGTCCGCTGCTGTCCGCTGTTCCTGACTCTTCCTGCATTAAAAAAAAAGCTTGTCTTCACTAAAATATCTTGTTTTGTTTTTTAAGAATGTTTAAGAAGCAGGGAACTGAATCTGGTAATCTTGCATAACTCACCGACACAACCCGTGGCTGCTCTCCATCTTTATCTGTGAGCTGAAGGAAATTTTTCTTACCGGGCTCAAACCCAGAATCTGAGAGGGACATCTCACTGTTGTGTTCCAGCGGTGCCTCGAGGGGAAAGCAGAGAAACAACAATCTTAGGCAATGTGTTACATAAAGGGTTTTCAGTGGAAAATAATTATAATAAAGGAGTATTGTATACAATATAAACGTAGGAAAGATTAGCCTGTGTTGATGAGCATGGACAAAGCCATTTGTGAGGATGATACGGAGACGTCTTCCATTGGGCAAGCTGAGGACGAGCAAAGAAGTGCTGCAGTGGAAACAGTAGCTTAATCCACTGACCTACTCAGAAAGATAACAGGCACTTGGGCTTTGGCCTGGGTCAGCAGCAGGATTAGCTTGGGCTCATTTAAGGAAAAAGGAATATTACGTACAACAAAACAAACTCCTATGTTTCTCCTGTTTTTGATACTTGTTTAAACACCATTTTCTACACATATTCAATAACTACAATGAGAAATAAACAACATTCGTGTCAACTGAAGGCTAAAACAACAACATAAACTGTGAATATTCTTGACTTATCAGATTGTTAAAGTTTTAATGATCGTGTTTTTTCAGAGTCAATTCTAAAGTTACGAACAAAACTTTATCCTAACATTTTTCTGGAAAATGTCAACAAAAAACAAGGAAAACCAAAAACAAACTATAACACTTCTACTACATCTGCTGTTATTTTTGTTGGTAGTTATAGAAAATACATTTAAAAATACTTAAGCTGAAAAACAAAACAGCCTACGCTTTCTGAAACACACTCAAACTACATTTTTTACACGGGGTATTGATGATTTGGCGATTTGTGCTACAAAAGATGAAATAAAACAAACAACTCTGAAATTCCCCAGGAAACCAGTGTGTTTATTGCGACTACTTTGACTCGGATGACTACGGACACGCTCTGAGAAGACAAAGAGAGGCTTTTCCCACAAAGAAAACACTTAAAATAACGAGATGTTGACCAAACTCCACTGGATCAATTTGACAGTTTTCTACCAAAAAATGAGTCATGGCCACTTTTCTTTTTAATTTTGACCATTTTGTTTATCTGTTCATAAAACTCTCTACAGTCACACATAGATGAGATAATCAGAGGTAATCTAAGAGTCAGCGCTAACTTCGGTACATGACAGGACTAGGCTCAAATCGCTCAAATCGCCGATCCAAGAACAGAGTTGAGATCCACATTTACTCAGTGCAGCTTTGTAAATCTATTAAGTCGGTGAATTTTCTCACCATGTCTGTAATGTTTGCCCAGGTGAGGTCAAAGGTGTCATTCACATATCCGGCTTTGTGTGCAACGTCCTCATGAAGTTTGGAAAGAGTAGTGGAAGCAGGCAGGTTGAGAGTCAGCCTCTCGTTGACCGTTTTTGCACTGGTGGTGTCCTGAATTATACACAGCACTCTGGGCTCCTCGGCCGCATTCTGGATCTGAGAATCAAAAAAAGGAAGCAGCTCTAGTAAACTGGACGGAGGAGATTTGTTAATTAATAATCATACAGCCGTGACATGGAGGAACTATGACTAAATAATGGCTGTATCATGAAATCTATTCCTGTTTTATTGCACCATCGTAGTTTATTAAAGCATTATAATTTTATGGCCTTCTGAAAAGACTTATGAAACGTGATTACTGGGATTTCTATGCACTTTTTTAAAAAGTGCATAGAAATAAGAGACAAAAGTGATTAATCATCAAAACATTGTTGTAACAAGGGACAATATTATCCTTCCAAAAACATGAAAACACAGGCACACTTCATCTAACGCACAGTCACATTTCTCCTAAATTATTCACAATCTTAATGTCTGTATGAATTTGCTGAGTCATGTTAGGCTCTCCAGTTAAACACAAAGACCTTTGCTTTTCCAGTGGAACAGCTGTTAGAAGAAGAAGTTACTTGTTACTACAGTTAGCAAAACATTCCACATTTTTCGACTGGTTTGCGATTTGCACCGTAGCAGATAGGCATGCAGATACTGAAAAGCAGCTACTTGGTAAGCTTTGGACCAACCACTGAAGTTTAGGACCATTTTCTGAGCCGTCGTTTATTAGGGTAAGGTGCAGAATTAGAATTTTACTTATGGACCAGCTTCCAGCGCTGAAAATCAAGTATTGTAAACTAATTTTAATCACAAAATTCACACTTTACAATTTGTCTCTAGTGCTCTTCATGCGCATGGTAAACACCATGCTTTAGGACACATTACACACACACACACCTGAGAAATCCTCTTAATTTCATCACAAACCTTCTGTCTGCTCCTCCAAAACATGTCCTAATCACACGTGGACAGGTGGAATGAAGGGTAGTTTAAAACACTTTTTAAAAAAGCTTCACAATCCTCATGAAAATCAAATCGGGGATAAAGAATACTGAATCACAGGGAACTTATAACATAGTATTGAATTAATTTATTATTTGTTGAAAGACATAAATATGGGAATCCTTTCTGCCATTTCTGTTTTCGGCGCTTCTTTGAGAAGCTTGTAATCTTGGCAAAATGTGACTGGCCGGTCGCAAAAAGACGCTGCAGCTGACAACACACGAGTGTATTATCAGATTAAATGTTATTTTTACCTTGGATATAATCACAAGGTGCTGACATGAAACCAAAGTCGTGTACGTAAAATACAAATCAGCATTTGCACATCTAAAAACGTAGATGCACTGTAGTATCGGTTATTTCAGTTTTCCATCATTAAAGGTTTGTTTTCCCTTCTCTTATGCACGGGCATATTACAAGGTGACAATGCAAGAATTCAGCAAGCTGAAACAGAGAAACAAGGTTTTTTTTTCAAGTGGATTTGTCATCAGGGTCAATGCCCTACATCATGTGATGGAGAAACAGTGAGAACAAGAATAATAAAGAAAAAACTGATTCAGTGACATCACTTGCTAAAACTATACCTCAGAAAATGTGTAATCAAAGCTGAACATGTTTTAAATAATTTATTTGAGTTGAGGGTATAATCCAAAAGTCTTCTTGGTCTCTAAATTAAACCATTTTCTGCCGTTAAAACACCCCGACAAACCTAAAAAGCTGTTATAACAATAAAAACCCAACTTTATTAACTATATACTTTGTTTTAGAGCAAAAATTCAAACTGTATCACTCAGTCAAGTATTCAAGTCAGGACAATATACAACACCTGCTCAAGTGTCAGTTTTTAAAAGATCTCAACAGCAACATTGTCCCATGTTGTCCCTGTAAAAGTAATCTATCATCAGATTGTCCTGTAACAAAATTCCATACAGCTGTGTGTCATTTAAATCTCTATTTGGAGCATTTGAAGCTGCCTAACCTTACAGAGGTAACACGAACCTCCTTAAATCCAAAAATGGATTAAAGCAAGCATGCTTCAGTGGAACAAGGTGGAAAAATGATACAGTAACCACCAACGGTAACTAAGATCATATATGGCAGGTAAGACGGTTTGTTTACAATTTTTTTGTTATTTCCCTTATATGCCCAAGTTGTTGTATAAAAAGTTAAAAGTATACTTCACACAAACACAAGTCATCCTTCTTGTGTAAACCGTTATTAATCTAACATGAATGTGGGCAAATAGGGGCAAGTTAAGCACGAATATTTATAAAAAATAATTGTGTATCAATTAGCTCTTTGTAAAACTTGGTGTTTCTAATAAATGTGAGTCTATGCTTATGAAGTTGAAAAGGAAATAAAACCACATAAATAAACAGTGACAGATGTTTCAAGAATCCTATAAACGGAATGCAAATATGCGAGTAGAACCCTTTAATAGATTCATGTTGGCCTCCAGACTTTCAACAACACATCCAAATACTAGAAACAGTTCCTCCTTTGTGAAAGATTACAACAAAGTAGGGTCGATCACAAAGCAGCGTGCGTTTTGTTAAGATAAGATTGTGTTTTTATCTCGTCACTACGCCAAACAGTAAAGTAAATGTTACCTCATCTTCACCAAACGCAAGTTTACCGAGAATATTAAAGAAGAAAGGGCGCACATTCGACTACTTCCATTTTACCAGCACAAACTCTACGTTAACCACACATGAACCTTAGGAAGTCAAGAGTCAACTGCTCACTAAAATACGTTCATAAACGTTTGATTTAAGCCAAGTTTTACTGTGTGTCATTCAAAATAAATTTTGTAGATATTTGCGCTTGGTTTGTCAATTTAAAAACACTGCTGGATCTAATGTCAGAGTCGTCGCATCAGACCAGCTTTAAAAAAGCTAACAACGTCAAATAGCCAAATCCCACAAGCTAATGTTATGCAAGTTAGCTAACAAATGTTGACAAATTTGAGATGTCGTCTATGTTTGAACGCAATGTCAACACAAACGTTTAGGAAGGTTTAAAGTTTGGGAGTATCAGACGCTAAATGTGATGGATAAATGGCAGAACATTCGCTGTTGTTTATATCAAACTGCTTTTAAAAATCCACTAAGCTTTAGATGAAAGAAACTAGCCGCTAACTGTTAGCGGTTAGCCATGTCAGGATAGGCCGTTCAAGTATGTTAGCTTGGAGTTAGCCACGATACGACACATTAAAATAAAGTGGTGACAAAGTTTTCCTTTAATTAATGTGCATAATCCGAAAAGGTGACCGGAGGCTAACTCTGGGGTCGGAACAGGGTCATGTTGTAACCTCACCTCTTTGGGTACGAACTGGTTCTCATCGCTAGGCACCATTTCCATTTGTACGACAGTTTAGACAAGCATCTACCCAGACAAGGATGTCATCGAAAAAACTTTGCAGCAGTAAACACAAACATGGTTCGTGTTCAGTTTGTAGGAAGTCTGGATGGATGGACACCAAAAATGCACTTGCCAAAAGTTGTACGCTTATCAAAGTGATCGTAACACTCTCCGATACTCTACTCAAGCTGTCCTGGCTGCTACAAATAGAGAAAAATGGCCGGTGTTTTTATTCCGCGAGACTTCACTCGAGGATATTTGGCGTCACATTCTATCAATAACGGCAGGCCAATATATCATATAATCAAACGATTATGATCCATTTACTTTCAGGTACCTTCTATCTAGACGGAAGTGTATTACAGTTTGTTAGAAATTAAGTGAGTTATTTAATGTGCAAAATAATTTATAAAAGTTAGATTGTAAAACCTGAACAGCTGCTGTTGTATTTTAAAGAATAATCTGCATATTGGGATGTTTCTGTTCCCACCACTTTTAACAATACATGTCTTTATACTTAATGCACCCATTCATGTTTCCTCAACAAGATCCTTCATCACTATTTTAACCAACTCCATAACGTGCTTCTATCATGTTTTTAAATAAACTTTATTTTCAACTTCCAACATAACAAACACAAAAAACTAATAGGAACATAATACATAGACAAAGTTTATTTAAAAAGTGCCAGGGGTTTGTCAAAGTACAGAATGTAATAATTAATACCTGAGCTGGGATACTCAAAGATAAACACAGATACACATATTTAAAGCTGTCAAGCTCAGAGCAAAGTCATCAGCATATTAGAGTCAGAGCATATTTTCATTGTTTTACCAGCGTTAAGATTGTGTGAGGTACATAACGTGTGCAAATAAAGCTTAACTTACTTTTGAAAATACAGAACAGAGGCTGGGTTTCCATAACTTTGCATTTGTGTACGTAAAACTTAGCCAAAAGCAAAAATAAATTCATTACAAAAAAGCAGATTTGTGTTTCCTTTCATACATAATAGTAAGTAAGTAAGTAAGTAAAAGTTTATTTATATAGCGCCTTTCACAGATATAAATCACAAAGCGCTGTACAACATGATAAAGATCAGGGCAAATACCTCTAACCAATAAAAACATCAGAAAAACAATAGCAGTGATAAACGTAGAAAATAAAATCATGAGTATAAACAAAGTGAAGGTGTGAACCCGAACAAAGCCATCTTTTTGAAACATTTAATAATAATAATAATACATCCAAACAGTAAATTTTTTAATTGAAGCTGGAAGGAATGCAGATTTTTTCCCCCACAAAGATTCTTCCACTGTTATTGTGTGAATGGAAATGACCAAAATGTGGAAGGTTGTCACAGTCATCATTTTTACCATAACTTGCTTTTTATGCTGACTGAAGCAACGCTTCACCCAAAAGGTGCTTGTTCTTCACAGTCCCACAGTGACTTAATGTGTGCTGAATTAATTTGAAAGTATCAAAAAGCTACGACGTGAGACAAAAACTAAACTGTGACAAAATGTATCAAAAACAGTGGTAATCGTAGTAATCATGATAATAGTTTAATAACCAAATTGAAGGACCCAGAATCTAAATTGGCTGGAATTGTGAGATTACCTAATATTGCACACCCCTACTGTTAATACACTGCAGTGCATGTTGTTAATAAATGTCAAACAAACAAATACTTCAAGTCACACTCATGTTTATGTTATCCCCACCAGTTCTATAAACAAGCAGATGCCCTTTATGATCTGAGATGCTAAAAAGTTATTGAAGGTTTAGGGAGTCGTTCTAAAATTGTTTGGCTAGATCAACTAAAGTGCTATTCATTTTTCACAGTCAACATTTAATATTTCACAGAAGTTTGTCTTCCCAGAACGGTGACTCTAAATGTATGTGTTTCTGCTAGAACCACTATGTCAATAGAGACAAACTGCATTGTTATTACTAGTTACATATTACTATTTACTTTTTTATTCAGCTCTTTTAATTTTCAGCATTACGTTAAAGATATTTGCCTTATTTAACTCTGTGAACACCCTGCACCTTATATGGTAAATCACCTTATATGGTTAATTATGTTACCATACAGTAAGGGTACAGTGACGTTGGTGCGTTTTTGTGTCGTAGGCAGATAAAACATAATAAGCACACTCAGATACAAGTTAGCTTTAATTTTAACCTGTTTAACCGGTTTTCTAAATGTGTGTAGTTGAACAAACAACAGATAGAATGACTGAATGAAATCAAGTTGGTTGCTTCCACGAAAGACTATAAAACTATCAATATCAAAAGTCCAAGCTTCATAATAATAAACAATTTGGAGTTAAGATGTGCTTCTGATTACATCTGGTACAAATTTTTGATGCCCTACCAAACGTGGGTGACTGACAAGTCTGTATCTTTCAGTCAACAAATGGTAATGGCCTGTAATACTTCAACCGCCCAAGGCACTTTACAACATAATCAGTCATTCACTCATTCACAAACACATTCACACGCTGGTGGGGATGAGCTACGATGTAGCCACAGCTGCTCTGGGGCGCACTGACAGAGGCGAGGCTGCCGAGCACAGGCACCACCGGCCACTCCGACCACCACCAGCCGGCAAGGTGGGTTTGGCCAAGGACACAATGACAGCGACAAACTGAGCGGGGCTCGAACCTGCAACCTTCCGATTACATGGCAAGCACTTAGCTCCTGTGAAAGTCACGACAAAGGCCCATAAGCATGCAAACTTGAATTTGATTCTTTATGTGGGAGTACTGAAAACCATATTTTTTTTAATAACTGTTACTGCACATTCCCACATATTTGGCTTTCCTTCAGTTTGCAGCTGCAGCATATCCGAGCAAATTGTGACACATTTTAGCACATTGTCACCCGAGAGCAGGAAGGTTCAAGGTTTGATAAGAGTCCCTTTCTGCTTGTGTTTTTGGTGAGTCTGTTTATTTCTGGATAATCTGGGTTTTCTCCCACGTTCCAAAGAAAGGTCATCTGGAGACGTGAGACTCTTGCATCGCTGTTTGGTTATAAACTTAAGTTTTGAGACAGGAAACATAGATTGCATGCTAAAGATGTTGTTTAGTGCTCCAACACAGAGTCTGACACTGAAACAAACATCTAGAAAAGAATGAATTACAGATGATGCTTGTTACTGCTGACAGAAAGGAGAGTCACTCACAAAAGGAATCATCTCACATTAAAAACTCTGTTGCTGATCAGAAACTGGCTCAAAAAAATAATCGAAAATAATAGAAACAAGAAACTTTTATATATTTATTTTGTTATCTTTGCACATAAATTGGTCTTTCTCTGAGACCTTTTCATTGTACTAAAGAGAAATTCATGTTTCTTGATGTTTTTGATAAGTACTGTGTTTTGGTAGTTTTCTGACAGCCTAAACAATCACAACAGTCATCTTTCTGTCACAAACTGGTAACCTAACACTTTCATCCCGTCTCCTTAAACTCTTGTGCATGTTTTACTTTAGGGAATGATATATTCACAGATGTACTTCTTCAGGCTTCTGCACACCTCATCGTACCACTTTCCCTGTGCAGCCACTGAAAGCACCACACAGCTCTCCCTCTTTGTACCCGTTGGCTGCTTCTTGGAGCGATCCCAGTTGAAGTAACTGACTGGCAGGCTGTTGACGTCCACATACTGGCCTTCTTTCACAATGTCTGCCACACCGATCCAGAAGTCCCTGGTCTCTGGGGCACTTCTCTTTGCATAGTCTCTCAGCTCGTTGTTCTCCAGCACATCTCGTGGTGTTGCGAGAGTCCCTCCCTGAGCGATGCAGTCTTCATTTGCTTCGTGGTAATGTTTTGGTTCCTCGACTGTGAGGTAACACTTTCTGTTGGCTTTGAAGCCCCTGAGGCACACTGAGAGCATAGAGGGATTGTTTCAGTAGTGAAATTAGATGAAAAGATCTAAATTGTTGCAATGTGTTTCTCTTGTTTCCCCCTCAAGAGATCTGTTTGCTCCGTTTATAACCAAATGTGCATCTAATGAAGCTTAAATTTACAATTATGGCTTTTGTTGCCCTCTACTGGTTACTGGGAGCAAACGGGAATTTTGAAATCCTGTCATTTATGAAAAATGTTCCAAAAAGTAGGGCTTGAGGATTACTTCTTGATGTCATCTTCAGTATATAGTATATAAAAATCCTAATAGCATATTTTTACTTTAAAAGTTGGAAAAGTTAAAAGTAACAGATGCAAATGGACATAATTAGTAAAAAAAAAAAAAAAAAAAAAAAAGCTATTTCTTAGCTTTTTAAACCATGTTTTTACAGTTCAAACATCAATTTAGGGTCATACGTCTTTGCCATTGCTTTGTTGGTTTATTTTCGCTGTCCAGAATTTACATATCTATGATTTTCTATTCTGTAATCATTCAAAAAGGCATTTCAAGTGGGTTTTACCTGTCTGCAGCATCAGTATCTCTTTCAGCGAGTTCACCTCCTGCCACAGCTTCTCAAGCTCAGTCATCACATCACTTTCCTTTGGACCCAAAGCTGTTCCTCAGCAAGGAGGAGAAGAATAACATGGGATGGGCATCAACACACAGAGCACATTATCCATGAATGGTGTGTTGCAGAGCTACCTCTAGCCGGTCTGATTACAGCACCTTTCTTTTGGCGTAGAACGTGGCTGCAGCAGAGCAGAGAGAAGCTGAGAGCAAGGAAGACCTGTAGGACCCAAAGAGCCATGTCTGGATGCTACGGTGCAGGACTCACTGTGAAGGGAACCAAAACTCCCACAGGCAGCCTGATACATAAATATACTGGCCCTCTGTGTGCCTGTCTGGGTTCTCTTTCTGCTTTGGCTCCAGAGCTGTTTGTTTATGTCCAAACATCAGGAGGAGGTGAGGCTGGGAAACGGGGAGAGACAAACAGTGATCGCCTTGTGTCCAGCTTATTTTTAGATAAATATTTACATGGAACAAGATGCAATAAGCAACGTGTCCTTTCGTTTCATTAAATAACTTGAAATTTGTTGACCGTTTCATTGATACAGCGGTGCTCCTAATCCCAGGTCTGTCATGTTTTAGTTTTGGACACAGAAAGCCAAAGGGGAGCTAATATTTCTTAAATGTCAGGAAACAAATCAACACCTAGAAAGATGTGATTAAAGTAGACTGATTAGTCTACAAAACGTGTTTATTAACAATGTTACTGTATTAATTAATCAATTAATTAATAAGCCAATAATGCTGTTGGTTGTTGACAGGGTTCCTGTGACGATTTTAATGTCTGAAATTTGTCTTAAAGGATTCTCCAGGTCTAGATAAAGAAACTTTTGTTTCCTGTCTCTTTATTTTAAAGATTATAGTCTCAATGACAAACAACAGTTGAGTTCAATAAATGAATGAATGAAAATTGCTCTTAAAGATGGACAGACACATGTGAGTTTATGTGACAGAGTAGATACTGATAAGTATATTACAGATCAAATAAAGGTATCCATATTAAGCCACAATAAAGGCACAGAATGGTTTATTAAAGAGCAAGTCACCCCCTACCAGAGTCTTATTCCACTCCCATTTCCTGTGTCAAAAAATGCACCACAAGGAGGCGTTGCCTGGCAGACCGAGAGGGCGGAGAAACTTATCTCCTCGTTGTGCGTTCGTCTTCTTAACACCTTAATCTAAGTGCTGAAATGTCTCCTCGTTCTTCATTAGTTTCTACAGGAGTGGTTCATCACTAAATGAAACAAACCAGCTGTGTTCATGATCTAAAACATGCAGGCAACATGCGGTTCGCCACTCTGAAGTTGCAAATGTGGTATTCTGGCTACATCAAGCTGTGGGGGTCAGAGTGACATTTTCAGTAACTCTGTAAAGGATCATTTTAGCACATACTGGCTTAAGAAAACGATTTAAAAACACAAAAATGATTACGTTTAATATTTAAAGATCCAGTATAAATCATGCAGAGGCATGTTAAATGTTCTATATTAGTTTTAAAAAGTGAAAAACTCAGATTCCTGAATTCATAAAAAGGTTTTTATTATAGGCCATGAAATATTTTGAAGTCGTCATTGGAAAACAAAACTCATGAGTGTCATTTACTTTGCAGATAAATTTATTCAAGTAAACAGAGCAGCGCTCAAAGAAAATACACAACAAAACCGTGACAAAAATACTGGACCATATAGTTAAAAGGAATGCTCTAAACACACAACGATGCGCAACCTCATCACAGTCTGGTTGCAAAGCCAGTGATTGACAGCTGATTTATATTTATTTTATGTCAAACTGGAAGAATTCCAGAATACCTGCCAATCTGAAACATGGTGAGAATGCTAATGGTGAAAAGGAAAAGTTTGTTATTCTAAAACTAAAAACAAAACACACAACTACACGGGGGATGGTGTATTCTTCTAAGTACTACACAGTGTTGCTCAAACCTCCACCATTTTGCTTCCAGCATTATTTCACAGTAAAACAAACTCGTTTACAAGTAACATGGCACTTTTGTCGTGAGGCACCCAAATGTAAACACCTTTAGTCGGAGAGACCAAGCAGAAATTCCACAGACCTTCAGCTGCAGTCTGACTTAATAAAAACCCACGTTTGATAATATTCCGCTAGATATAATAAATTTGACTTCCTGAAACTAAACCAAACATTTCTGCCGGTTTGCTGTAACTGTAACACTATGTGAGTTTTGTGTTTCAGTAAAGTTCCTTCTGGAATCAATAAACTGTTATACTTTAACAGTGCAAGTCACCCCCTACCAGAGTCTTACTCCACTCCCACTTCATGTTTGAAAAATGTAACAAATGCTGTTGCCTGGCAGATCGAGAGGGCGGAGCCGCTAACAAATACACACACAGGCTCACAAAGACATTGAGACATCATATGGTACCAGCTAATGTCATAGGGTACCTCTTAGCCAATAGCGGTGACAGATTTGAATTCGAATGCAGTGCAGAGTTTTTACCTGACGACGGCGCAACACTGACAGTTTTAGGCAGAATATTTCAATTTTAACTAAGATGCACTAAAGCGCCAAATCATTGACCACACGTGTCTACAGCACGTTTAGACATGCATTTGTCTAGTTTATCAGCAAAAAAAAAAAAAAAGATTTGGGGGTGACTTGCTCTTTTAAACAATAAAAAAAGAAAAAAATTGGAATACTTCATTTAAAAACAAATTTTTCTTTAATCCAATGTTTTATGCTGATGGTATTTGAACACATTCTTGTAGCTCAAAGGCACTGATGATCCCATGACGTGTATTAAGAATTACTCACAAGAATAAGATTTTGTGCAAATATTCACCACCTCTTCTGTTGGCACTTTACTTACTTTAACCTCATTTTTAAAAAAGGTATCTACAACCTTAGCATCATGCATCAAGAACTTTGTTTGTTTTCACAGAGATCAGGTGAGGATTACAATCGACTTAATAATAAAGGCTTCATTAAGAGTGTGCTTCATAAATAATAGCAGGTCAGCAGGTTTAGAAGCTGATTCACTTATGATGCCATGGTCTTTAAAATGCACACACACCCACTGACATCACATCAAACACAAACTTTAACACTGGCTTCAGAGCAGCTCGTTATTCTTCACTTCCCCTTCTCTCAACCAATCGGCTACCAGATAGCAAATAATAAGCACAAATGTGTTCTGTACATGTAAACATCTATAAACACAGGACATGCAGACATACATACACACTCATGCGTAGTTGTGTGAATCTGCGCAATTTCTCAGGTCTCTACTGAGTTGTGGTGGTGTGGGTGGGTGGGTGGTTTCATGGTTCTAGTGAATGAAAGGCATCCGCTCCTTGCTGTCATTATCTCCCTCTTGCTCCTCTTCTTCCTCTCCAGCTTCACTGGTCTCTGTGCTGTCATTGGCCATCTAGTGGGTAAAGAGTTTTATTGCAACAGTTAACTGATTAGTAAACAAATGGCACAGAAGTAGTGTTTGTGTTGTGTTGTGATTTAACTTTTTGTGAAGAAATATTTCAGAAATAATGATGTAACTACTATTTTTACCAGAGGGGTTGGAGACTTTTCAATGTCCAGAATCAATTTTCCGACGTTACCTCTGTCATGAATTCTCTGCATGGCCTCTTTCACCTGAGAAGAAAACATGCAATAAAAATGAATGCAAATATCAAACAAATGGATAAATACCTAAACTGACTTAATTGGTGTTTTAAATGGATAAAGGTAAGTTCATATTTGTGATTTTATTCATAGTTTAACTGTTCTGTTTTTCTTTTCTTTCAAAGTTCACACCGAAATGTTTTAAATTTAAGACAATAACGTTTTTAGTAACAATAAAACATAATTTTAACATAGGCATATTGGGTTGTCTTTGTGTAGGAAATGTGCTGTATAAGTAAAGCTGTCTTGTCCTGTCTAAAAACCAGAATGTATAAAATCTCTGTAAAAAGTGTTTAGTGCTGCCATGAAAGTGCAAAACAGCTGTTTAAGCTGCTGGTCTAGTCCACACATCAGGTTAATGATTTCCTGTCTTCAGATTAGCTTTTCAGAAACAAAGTCTCACGTCACTAAAACGAGTTAAAGGGATATTCCACCCCAAAATAAAATTATGTCTTTTATCATATTTCTCATAGTTAGATGAGTATATATAGTTAGATATGTAGGGAAAAACTATTTGTAACCAGCCCAGTCATACTTCTGATCTGGCAGTACTCTTTTAGCTTTAGCTTAGCACAAAACAATGTATGCAAATGGTAACAACTAGCCTTAAGTGTGAAAAAGTCATCACATTTATTCAGTAGTGATCCTAATTCTGCTTAGTGACCTAAATATTCACATGGGCTGCAAGTGAAAATAATAAGTAACACAAACGGATCACGGGCGCCATTTTAGGCTTGGGACTACTTTATGATAAAGCACAGCTGTAAGCGTCTGCCGAAAGGTGCAAGGACGTGACACAGCAGCTCCAAAAACACCTGCTTACATAACCACGACTGCACATGCTGTTAGTGAGCGCCATAATCACTATTCACTCACATTGTCTTATGCCTAGCGAAAGCTAAAGGAGTATGCCTGAGATGGTTACAACTAGTTTTTGTTTTCCTACATATCTAACTATGGGGAATATTGCACACGAGGGGGAATATCTCTTTAAACCTGTTCTACTTATTCAATCCTTAATAATTAAATGATTGAGAATACGTCGTCGTCTTCCTCCGCTTATCCGGGTTCGGGTCGCGGGGGCAGCATCCCAACTAGGGAGCTCCAGACCTTCCTCTCCCCGGCCTTCTCCACCAGCTCCTCCGGCAGGACCCAAGGCGTTCCCGGACCAGGTTGGAGATGTAACCTCTCCAACATGTCCTGGGTCGACCCAGGGGCCTCCTGCCAGCAGGACATGCCCGAAACACCTCCCCAGGGAGGCGTCCAGGAGGCATCCTGACCAGATGCCCAAACCACCTCAACTGGCACCTTTCGATCCGGAGGAGCAGCGGTTCTACTCCGAGTCCCTCCCGAATGTCCAAGCTCCCCCCCCCATCTCTAAGGCTGAGACCGGCCACCCTATGGAGGAAACTCATTTCGGCCGCTTGAATCCGCGATCTCGTTCTTTTGGTCATTACCCAAAGCTCATGACCATAGGTGAGGATTGGGAAGTAGATCGACCGGTAAATCGAGAGCCTGGCTTTCTGGCTCAGCTCCCTCTTCACCACGACAGATCGGCTCAGCGTCCGCATCACTGCAGATGCTGAACCAATCCGCCTGTCAATCTCCTGATCCCTCCTACCCTCACTCGTGAACAAGACCCTGAGATACTTAAACTCCTCCACTTGAGGTAGGACCTCTCCCCCGACATGGAGTTGGCAAGCCACCCTTTCCCGTTAGAGAACCATGTTCTCAGATTTGGAGGTGCTGATCCTCATCCCAGCTGCTTCATACTCGGCCGCGAACCTACCCAGTAAGAGCTGAAGGTCAGAGCTGGATGAAGCTAAGAGGACCACATCATCCGCAAAAAGCAGAGACGAGATTCTCCTGCCACCAAACTCGACACACTCCACACCACGGCTGCGCCCTGAAATTCTGTCCATAAAGGTATTGAACATAACCGGTGACAAAGGGCAGCCCGGCCGGGAGAGCCCTGCACGGGCCTAAAATCTGAGCCTGTGTCTGGCCCGGCCCGAGGGGGTGGAGCCCCAGCCCGATCCGGTCCGAGAAGGTTTTCAGGATTCTCTGGCCCGACCCGAGCCCGACTTTTTTTTTAACCTTTCATAATGTTTTAGCGTGATAGAATGCTCCGCATTCGAGTTATCTGTGAGAAGCGTTCTGCAGTAAAAAATTTAAAAAAAAAAAGAAAAGAAAAACAGCATTTTGTCACGCTGCCTCCTTCACAACCCTCGACATCCTCCGGGGGAGGACCACACACTCACTCAGGCCAACCGAACTCCACTACCCAGCATTCCCAGCGCCAGTCTTCCGGCCTACGTCACCCGCCACATCTACATAAGGAAGTACAGCTCAACGCCAAACCACTCAGTCATCGTTCTAACCGAACTGTGCTCCGAGTTCCGACCAGATCCAACCCGATCACTCAGCCCGTTCTGACCAGATCAGCCCGTGCTACTCACCCTGCCGACTCAAAGTAAGTCAGCTTGTTACCTTTTGGAGCCACCGTGCTCTCCAGTCATTATACGGTTTGACTCCTAGAACAAACCGTGTGTCAACCTGCCCGGCTTCAGTCACTCCGCGCTCAGGTTTACAAACACGCTACATCCCGAACTCTCACTCCGGTTCAGTTCAGCTCGAGTCAGGCCTTACACATTTAATGCAGCTTTTTTTCTAACAGAGCATATTTTTCGAGCAGCAGATGAAATTTACTAACACTATATTAATTGGATGCGCGTGCATTTGTATATTTAATCTGCTCTGAAAATGCGCTCTTGTGCAATTAGTAAAAAAGCAGCATTCTAATTTTCTAACTGCAGAGCGCATTTTCAGAGCGGCAGATTAAATAAACGCCCCCAATTAGCGCTTGTAAATTTAATCTGCCGCTCTGAAAATGCGCTCTCCAGTTAGAAAAAAAGCAGCAATGAATGCTGTATTTTTTTAACTGCAGAGCAAATTTATTCACAGAAAAACGGAATGCTGCCGTTTTCATGAGAATAAACGAATGGTTTCTGACATATCAAAGTGGACATAAAATGGCATATGAGAATAGGGGCACATGTTTCAATCAGCAGTTTGAGAATTCGTTTATATAGGCGCATTTATAAACCACACAGACCTTAACTAAGCTAACGGTGCGTGAAAAGCAGGCAGGTGCTGCTGCGTTCAAGTGTTTCAGTTTTTTTTAATGAATTCGATTAAAAATAAAGGCGCCCGGCCCGTGTCTGAGGTAATTACACAGTTGTTGGCTCGAAGCCCGGCCCTCGGGCCCTAGGGCTTCAGTACAGGGCTCTACCGGTCGAGCCCCATGGGCGAAAGCCCGGCCACCAGGCGCTCGCTCACGGGCCCCAACCCAAGGCCTGGCTCCAGTGTGGGACCCCGGTAACCCTCCGGGCCGGGTACTCCAACTCTTTTGGGCCATTCCCATCTGTACCGGGTCGGCCCGAGCCGGGTAGCCCCAGTCGGCCCCAGCCTGGCCCGGTTGATTCCACACATCCTTGTCTTAAGCCCATGTGGGCTGATTCTACCCACCAATCAGAGGCTTGCTCTAATGGAAGGTGTAAATTTGCTGTCAGCAGTGGGTGTGTTGGCCCTGGTCGGCCTGAAGCAGACCCCCTCGAGAAGAGGGCTGAGAATGAGCCTTGGCTGGCCCGGAAAAATACCAGGCCACCCAGATATGTAACAACCTACGTTACCCGGCCCGGGCCGACCCGGTACAGATGGGAATGGCCCATTTGACTTTACCTCCAAGAAAGATCATGTGAACCATTCTTTGTCTTACCCTTCACCTAAGACCAATTTGTCATGGGAGATCATACCAGGGGCACAAAGTGCCCCAGACAACATAGCTCCTAGGATCATTAGGGCACTCAAACTCCTCCACCACGATAAGGTGACGGTTCAATGAGAATACATGAATTTAAAATTCAACTTTAAATTCTGGCACCAAAATAGAAACTCAATGCAGAGTTGAACGTGGACATAAAAACGTCAAAACATCAGTGCTCATCATTAAAGGCGAACATGTGCAAAAAACAGACGGTGCCATATCTCACTAACATGTGTGCATCTTTGTCCAAAAGCCACCAAAGTACGGTGGACTCATCCAGTCAAAATTGGCAATAAATAAAAATGTGGGGAAAAATGTAAACAAATAAATCAGAAAAAAAGAGAAAACAAGTGAGGTAATAAAATAATAAAGAAATTAATACATATTCAAATTAAATTAAAGAGCAAATAAATAAATGTATTTGATATTTATTTATTCATTTACGTTCTTATTTCCTCATGTATTGATTAATTAATTGATTGATTGATGGATTGATTATTGTGGCAGGATGGTTCCTTCATACCAAAACCATTCTAAATTCAAGTCAAGAATAAAATTAGCCCTCAAACTAGTCTTGGACTTCTCCACAGGATTTTTCAGCGGAATGAAGACGAGCTTTACAAGCGTTTTATGACCTAGATGTTTTTGTAAAATGGGTCAGTAATTAGAGTGAGAAGGTCACTGGCTGTCTCTGTTTTTACTGGGTCATCTAGAAATCTGAAGCAATTAAAAACTAAATATTTTTATCCATAAAACTGCTGGTCAGAAAACCTCCCACTATGTTGTTCCTCTCAAACACATATTCCTCAGCGCTTCAGTCCAGAAAGAGAGGTTGCCATGGTCAGCATGTAAGCTAGCACCCAATTAATTCTTCCAGGCATATTAACGAGTGAAGCAGGTTGTCTCCCAACACCACATCCCACGCTATCTAGCTCTCTAATGAAATTCTTCATGGGCAATGGTTTCAGTGAATGGCCTGAGCAATTTGCCAGAGTTTATTGACAACACTACATGGGAAGTTTCCCATGAGAAATAAAAATGTGAGGACAGCAGTCAGCTCTTCAACCTCTCTTTCTATTTCTGACAGTAGAGTTGAGAAGGACTCACGCAGAGCTTCATGTGAAGTAATGCTAACAGAAAAAGTCATTTGAACTCCTGAACCATCAAGAAAATAAAACAAGATACATCTTAAACTGGCATCTAAAACACAAACGTGCAGAAAGGCAAGAAAACATAAAAGTAGGAGACGTTCCTGTTATTTCTACCGTGCTCTGGTGCTCTGTCTGCAGCTGGTCCTGCAAACAAACATGAGTAATAAAGAGAAGGGGAACATCCACATGACCAGGCATGGAGGTTAAACTAAAGCTGTCACATGAATAAGCCAACACTTTAATTAACCCAGTACCGTGGAGTGGGCTGTCTAGAAGTGGTGTTAGAGATTAAGATTTGGTGAAAGGAACCACCTGCTGAGCATTTTTAGGATCATGTTTTCTCATTTAAGCCACAACTGGGATAAATTATGTCTAAAATGAACATTTAGATATAAACTAAGTAGAAACATATCTTTGTGAAAATTAAGAAAGGACTGCGTGAAAATTTGAACTCTGTCAAGACATTGCATAAAGATACTTTCTCAATAAGACCTTCACAAATACAGCGTGGTTCAAATTGTAATGTGAAATGTATGTTTAAGGATTTTAAATTTGGTTTTAATATGAGTCACAAGGACAAGAACCAGCACCTCTAAATGTATTAAATGGATACTTTGCAACTTTTTCATATTTTTGAATCATTTTCTTGAGACAGTATGTGCTAAAAGGACCCTTTACAGGGTTAACAAAATGTCACTCCGCCCTCTGTGGCCAGAATACCAGACTTGCAACTTCAGAGTGCCGGTCCGGTCCCTGTTGGAGCCGACATGCCTGGTGCTGGAGTCTGCTTCCAGCACGTTATAGATGGTGAGCACAGCTGATTTGTTTGATTTAGTGGTGAATCACTCCTGTAGAAACTAATGAAGGCTGAGGAGACATTTACGCCGTTAGATCAAGGTGTTAAAAAGATGAACGCACAGCGAGGAGAAGCCAAAACTGCCAAGTATCCCTTTAATGTCATAAAAAGGCATTAACACCTTTTATTTTTCAAAATGTCTAAAAAGAACGATAACATATTTTTTCACATAATGTTAAAACCTTTTTGTCATTTTTCTGGTTTTTACCTCCTCCAGAGCCCACAGGGAGTCCACCACAGGCCTGATCTTCTTCTGTTCATAGAGGCACAGGAGTTTGTCCATCACTGACTTCACCAGGCTGCATCTCCCTTGTTTGAAGAGGAGGTTGAGGAGCGAGAATCCTGCTATTACTTTGTTCTCCTCATAAAGTTTAATAGGATTCACTTTCTCCACCTGCCACCACTGGAGGATAAAAACAAAGCAGAAAAACACGAATTCTGGGTGATTCATTCATATATGTGCTTCAGAAATTCATACTGGTTCCTTTAAATATGGATGATAGTCAGCATCTGACTCACAGATTTAGCAAAGCTGAAGAAACTCTTTGTTTCCCCAGTGACCATGTTTGACGCGCCTGAAAAAACAAAAAGAAAAGGATTTTTGCTGTAGGCTGGACAGACGTGGCTGGTCAATAACAGGCAGGAAGAGTGAGGAAGGGGAGGAGGCGTGGGCCCCTCCGACCTTTAGATCCATGCATACATGTCTTTGCATATGTTCAGCACAACTACAGCTAATGAATTAATCTCCTGCTAATGATGCTGCTTAATGCACACAACCTGACAGGATTTGAGAGAGGAAGCTCCAAGGACACTCTTCAGATGCTGAAACCATGAATTTATTAACAATTATTATTAATGTTTTTGTAAAGGGGTTGCTGCTCTTATGCCTGCTTAGAAAAAAAGCTACAGGCCTTTGTCCTACACAAGGAAAATACTCCAATTCCAGCCTTTTAATAACTCATCTTTGGCTTATGCCCAAATATGTTTCAGCAAAGAGCTAACAATGAGGAAAAATTGTCTTTTCAAAACAAGATAAAGACATTCTTTTGACTTTATTATTCAAACTTTGAAGGTATTTTTAACCCATATTTGTTTTAAAGTTTTAGCAAAAGAATAAAATCTGATAACTTGCCACACATTTGTATATTGTTGCAGAAAAGGCAGTAAAGAGGAAGCCAAATATTGTCTTAACCATAAAGGATGTAGGTTCCCAGAGGCTTCAGCAGACTCAGGCCTTTCCCTGTGTTGTCTCCGCACAGGCAGTCCAGCACAATGTCAACTCCTTCAGGAGAAATCCTGTAGATCAAAGCAAAACTTCACTTCATTGAAAATTCAGCTGCAAGCAGTTTAGAAGAGCATACACCTCAACTCCACCTGTCTATCGCATGGGTATAGCTGCAGGCACAGATAGCTTCAGTTCTTCCTGATGGCGAACGAGAAGCTTTTCTCCTTTTGACAAATCCAAGGATTTACTAATTTTATAGCCATTTTCATTTGTTCTGGCTAAGGAATAATTGCACAAGCCTCCATTATAACAAAACACCAATGCACACCCGCACCGTTCCTACCCCTCCTGCTCAACGGTCACTACCTGATAGTTTCAGGCCCATCAACTCTGTTGAGAGCTAGGAACCAAATATTTTTGCGAAAAAAGTCTATAAAACCTATTTCATATTTTGCAATAATGCATGAGTCAAAAATCCTGTTATAAAATGATTGTATAACTGTTTATGCAGGGAGGACTAAATCTAAAGGTATGAGAATCAGAGTTTATAAAACTGAATCTATGATTCTTGCCGTGGAGTAAGGCTGCTCCATTGATTGTAAATATATCATTATCGCGATATAAGCATGCACAATATGCATATCGCAAGAACAGATAAATATCGCAATGAATAGTCAGCTCAAATGTTTGCTACACACAAGGACGTAATTTTCACTTTAGAAGTGGGGGGGGATGTGGGGGGGGGGGGTGTATCTTTACAGTATGCTCTAATGGGAAACCGGCTTCAACACAAACGCTTGTATTCCACTTGGTCCTAGAGCTCAACCAGTGTCAATTTAATATAGCGTAATATTGTTTTTGGATGGTAAAAAGTGCAGGGGTCAAAACTTGACTTTGGAAAAAGTGGGGGGGACATGTCCCCCCTGTCCCCCCCCCCCCCCCCCCCCCCCCCCCCCAAAAAAAATTACGTCCATGGCTACACATGATGCATTCTGTCAGTCAAATGGAAGTATTATGTTTTTTTTAACAAATCAAATAGAGCTCTTCACCCATTTGGCCAAATGGGTGGGTTCTCATAGTTTGGATGCCCGCCCCCGAGGCGGACGGCACTTAATACTGATGGTTAGCAAACAGTTGAGTCAGCTCTTTTTGCTGATTCAGCTTTTCCCTGGATCCACTGATTGCCTTTTCTTGTTCATTTTCTTTTTCCCTTTCCTCACATCTTTTGCTTTTCTCATTTTAATGATTTTTTTGAATTTCTTTGTTTTAGATTATTTTTATTCCCGAGTTAAGTTTTTATTTATCGCAAGTAATATCGTCATCGCAATATTAATCACTGTTATCCAATATCGTAGGTTTTTCTTATATCGTGCAGCCCTACCGTGGAGAGACTTTATGTTCTTTCTAATGACAGATTCATAAAATACGATCATTCACTCCCCGGGACTGTCGGAGTAAGCTAAAACCCTACGCTTTTCCCTTCGTCTTCATCCGACTCTTTAGTTTTATGATCCAGATTTACCTGATGTGTTGCAGCGTCATCAAAAAAACTCTGTGAACTCAGTTTGTTACACAAAAAATCTGTTAGTCAGATTTTTATAAACTTTTATAATCTAATTACAGGAAAAGAGATGAAAGAGATTTTTTTTGTTTTTACTTTTCAACTCTAAGCACTATCCTGGCAGAAATGCTCAGTGGTCTTGTGATTCTCATGGTTTTTGATTTTGTAAAAAGACTAATTTAACTGAACTTTGTGCTTGATCCTGGGAGGAATGTGCAGGCCAGAGAGATGAAAGACTGCTAATCCACCACCAGTGCTGATACGTGAGTCGATGGCACATCATTTAATATGAAGTCATTTAAACTGTAGCAAAGCATTACAGCTGTAAAATATCCAAGTTTCAACAATGGAAATCTTATCTTATCGTCAACATTTCATCCAATGCCTGGATCTTTGGCGTGTAATCCAGCTGACAGCATGCATGTAATAACATTTAGGGTATCGCTGCTCAGCTCTAATTGGTTCAGTTGTTCCACAGGCAGACCTCCACCCTACACAATGCTGCTTCTTTCTGACTGGAGCCAGTAGTTGCCATGGGGACCGCAGCCACACAAGCACAAATATAATGCAACTAGTAACATCTGCATCCTCACACAGCCCTCTGGCCTCAGCAATGGCCACGTTATCAGATCCGCTAGCATGTGGAGGAGCCTACTGCTACTTGAATTCATGGATTCTTGTTTAACAACATGATTGCAGATAAAACGCACCAAAACATCAAGTCAGGCACAACGCAGACAGATGCGGCATACTTACTTTTTGACTTCTTGAATGTAGTCCACATTTCTGTCAAAGAGGTGAGTGACGGAGTCTTTGATGGCTGCATGTTTGAAACAGGAGGCGATCCCAAACACGGTTATGTTCGGTACAGTGGAGCACAACTGAGCTACAGCTTGTCCCTGAAAATAATGAAAGCAACAAGAGTGGGGGGCGATCACTGAAATCCATGTTATTACCTTTAAAATGAATCATCTACATTGCAGTTTGGACGTTTTGAACAACATATTGGATTTGTGGAAATTTTTAACACGTGCAACGTCCAAACTGTGACTGCTTTTGGCCCGTGTACTTACTACACCACCTCCTGCTGAGTGGACCAACACTGACATTCCTTCTCGTAGATTTGCAACTTCAAAGAGCATCATATAAGCAGCCACAAAGTTCAGGGAGAACGCTGCCGCCTCAGCAAACGTCATTTCATCTGGCATCTTGTAGACATAATCCAATGGCGTGCAAACCACCTCAGCCCAGGCATTGTAATTCACAAACGCCATAACTCTGTCACCTATCTGGAAAGAAACATATTAGTGGCAAGACAGCAAGCAGACACAGATGAAAATTAATCATGTGTAGCACTAAAAGAGGATGATAAATGATTTTCATTGATGCAAATCCTCTATAATTGCATTTATTCTCACATCTCCTGCACTACTAACCTCAAATCCCTCAGTGTTTTCACCCACTGACTCCACTATTCCACAGCACTCAAATCCAGGAACTAGTGGGGGTTTTGGAGGATTTTCAATGTTCCCCTGACGTACCATCAAATCCAGGAAATTCAAGCCACTGGAACACAAAATAATTAGGAGCTCATTGGTTGTTGACATTGAATCCTTCTGATTTAATGCTTCAATCTAAATCGAAGTTTGCTTATCCGATATTTACAAACATATTTCATATGATTTCTTTATAGGCTATTAGATTTATTATCAGCAGTGACTCATGCTCCTCTGGGAAAACAAGGCCAGATTCCTCAAATATTCTGCATTAATCAAAAAGGAATGCACTTTAATTTGACCGTGTCTGGTATTTTCCAGCACTGCCAATAGCGCTGGCGCAGTTTGAAGACAAAAATGGCTTGATCACAATGTTTTAAAGCAGTTTAAAAGGACTGAATCAGACTGACATCAGTTTAGTCTGTAATGAACCTGCTCTGGAAAAGACCTGTGGCTTCACGGCTGCTCAACATGAAGCTTCCCTGCCTCCAGACTTTTTCTTCATGTTAACAGTGCACCTAAACAAAGCGTGAGGTCCTGATATTTACCATGCCTTGACGCGGATCTTCACTTCACCATCCTGAGGCTCGGGCATCGCCTTCTTGGTCACTCGGAGTTTGTTCAGACCTCCGAACCCCGTCAGGATCACAGCTCGCATTTCTTTGGCGTTACCGGGAGATTCCACGACCATCGTCTCTATCCCCGCATTTCTGTCTATCATGTACTCGGTTTCCTCCGTCGTTTCTGCTCCTTCTTTAGCCATGATGCCGGAGACCAGCTGCTGTCCCTCTCCGATCCTCCTCCGGAGTGATGTGGCGAGCGGGTTGAACGCAGACCGACGGGCGCTGCAATTCACCTGATTCACCCTCAGCGGCTGGTGCTGTCATGTTATCGCAGCAGCCCTAATGTTAATTATTCTTTCTCACAGGTCACACAAATGTCTGGTGTGGTGATTAAAAGTTAAGGAGTTTTGCAATAATTGACCATTTTCATCGCTCAGTGGCTAATTAATCGTGCACTAAACTTCAAAGTCCGATAATAAAACCCATGTAAGTTGAATTTTAAAAACCTTGGTTTACTTACTTTGAATAACTGTATTTAAATGTTACTGTTTTACATCGGCGGAGGAAACTAAAGTGTAGAAAAAATGACGAATGAAGCGTCACCATGGTTACCACACGTCGCGGAGACTTGAGCCCCACCCTGATAAACATGGTGGGACATTAGCACTAGCCAGTTAGCAAAAACATCTTACCTTGGACAGACTTGATTAACTGATTATTCAAATGAAACATTTGTGTACTGGTGTGATTTAGAAATTCTAATAAATAAAGATGACTTGCAGTTATTTTATTTACATTAGAGATAAACTTAAAAAAAACTATTTTGTTTGCTAAGTGACTAAAAGTGTTAATAAGAAAACTTCCTGTCAGCAAGTCCATCTCTATCAGTAAATACAAAAAATATTAAATTGTCAAATAACTAAACGGATAAGAAAATGACATAGCTGCTATCACATTAGTTACTTTTTCTGCTAAATGTACAAATATTAATTTTGTTGAGGACTGACATCCAGTGCTGTATTGGCATTTGAAACCACTTTAATTACCTCAAAGATGCATTAGCAAGCATTCTGTCGGTTAATCATTTGTCTGCCAAGTTTTCACTGCCAAGTTTTCAGCTAACAAATCATAGGGAACCAAATGGTTGATGCTTAAATATTCATTTATTTTCACCAGCCTTTATCTTCAGTATATTGTTCTCCGTAATAAGAATGTAATTATCCCCATCCCCCTTGTCCAAGTAGCCAGGGCGCTTGATCAATCGGGTCATAGTGACAGGATGCTCACACTGTCAAACCGTATTCTGCGCTTCAGGCTGTGTGTGTGCAGGGGCGTCGGACTGGGGGGGGAAAGGGTACCGTTTACCCAGGGCCCACTGCAGGGAGGGGCCCTGAGACAGCTTTGAATAAAAATGTTTTATTGTTGTTGTTTTTTCCCCCCAACTTACTTAATGTCTTAATAAACTTCCCTTTGGATAAAGAGGTTAAGAAACAGAATTTCGCCTTAAAAATAATAACTGAATAATCTCTGAGGCATCTATCACCCCTTAAAAATGTGCAAAGTGGTTTAGTCCACACCAGCGGCCAGGGGCTGCACGGCTGCATGTGCTAATGAGACATCGCAGATGCCGACAGCCAGAGCTGGAGGCAGGAGTCAGTCATGTCTTTTCCCAAGAAAGGCAAATCTGGCTTCCAGAAAAGAAAAGAAAAGAAAAGAAAAGAAGGAGGAAAAGTTAATTGAACAGAAGCAAGTAGAAGGATGGTGAGCAGCAGCCAGCAGCAGCAGAACACAGTTTTAGCTGATATTAGCTAGCTCTCAGAAGCTGCATTCATGTTAGGTGTTCAGTGTTAAATGCCTTTAGTTTCACCATCAAGATCAAATATAAATTAATTAGTGTTATCAGTGAAAACACTAATTAATATAAATATATATATTAATCAGAATTATTATCGCGGGCGGCCGCCGCCAATTAATTCGCGGACCTCGCAGTAAAAACAGGTTCACTCTGTGTGGATATTTCAGCTCCTTCCCTGTCATGGAGCAGGACAAACTTGGTATCGATGGATTGGTGGTAATCTCAGGAACGTGAAGCTGCCACTGTTTTTCGTATAGCATGATGAAACTGGTGTTAGAGGATTGTTATTGACTTGGTTAGATATTTAAGCCTATTATTTTCATCGTGTTTAAACCCTCTGGAGGCAGGCGTTGAAGATTTGCAAAGTTTAAGCCTACGTACCTGGTTACTCCACATATGTGTTTCGTGAGCATTTTTAACTCAGAAGTACCCCTGAAGGACTTGGTGGGGTAGCGTAATGCGTCACACAGCGCGACGAGATCGCGCCAAAACACAACAACAATGGAGTCCAGTCAGCAGCGCGTTCTTTCTGTTCTTGGTGTTTGGTATATTCTTTACACCCACATCACGATAGCGTTTAGAGCTATGTGTGCACATCGAGGAGGAGGGCAGCTGAAAGGCGACGACGCTTTCTGAAATTAATATCGGACACGAGGCATAACTTTCTACTGTTGAGACAAAGACGGAGGCGCCAGGTGGTAAGTAACTTCTAATGCTGTAATACATGTCGTTATAATCTCTGAGGGAGTGTCTAGGGCAACTATCAAAAAAGAAAAACTAAAAAAAGCACCAAAATCAAATGGTTTGGTTGTATATTGGTCATTTAAGACATGCTAAACATGAAAGGCCAACACCTAACTAAGTTTCAAACAGCTTCTGCATTCATGGTGATGCTAGTCAACACGAGGGCCTGAATCCTTCGCTCTTTACTTCCTGGGCATGTCATAGATAAGTTGTGCAGCTGTACTGAAATTATTATAATTAATTATATAGGTAATTACAAGCAATACCACATTTGTGCATTTAATAAAGTGAACAAAACATAGCCAGTCACTGGTAGCTCCATAAAGAACAGCTGTTATTTTAACCTTAAACAAATTCTATTGATGTGAAGTTTATGTCTATAACCATACTGCTTCAATCTTTTTCACAGCACTATTCTTTTTACTTTTACTGTGTTATGACTGGTTTTTTTTTTTTTTGTTGGCTCTTTTGAATCAGCGACGGCAACCAACTGTGTGGGCCTTCAGCCGTGCCTTCTGGGATGTGACCATGCCAAACTTCCCTCCGTCAGATTGGATAGCTCATTTCAGAATGTCAGAAGAGACCTTTTCATATCTTTGTTCCAAGCTCCGTCCAGCTATGCAGAAGAGGAACACCAACTTCAGAGCCTGCGTGCTACTCAGGAAAAGAATTGCAATTGCACTGTGGAAGCTTGCACCTAACAGTGAATACAGGAGCATCGGGCTTCTTTTTGGTGTCAGCAAGACCTCTGTGTGCCGCTGTGTGCAGGACTTCTGTAAGGCTGTCTGTAAAATCTTGCTTGCCGAGGTTATTGCTTTTCCAACTCTGCAAAAGCTACAGGAAATGGCTGACTATTTTGAGACCAGGTGGGGGGTTCCTCAGTGTGTGGGTGCCATCGATGGTTCCCATATCCCAATAATCGCACCACAGGGATTCCACACAGACTACTTCAATAGGAAAGGTTGGCATTCCATAATCCTCCAGGGCATTGTGGATGGCAGAGGCATGTTCTGGAATGTTAATGCAGGTCAGCCAGGCAGCTTACATGATGCCCATGTGCTGCGATTGTCCACATTTTGGGACTTGGTTGCTCATGGACAACTGCACCCGACTAGCACCAAGAACATAGAGGGAGTAAATGTAGGCTTTTATGTGCTCGGGGACTCTGCCTATCCTCTACAGAACTGGCTCCTAAAACCATTTTCAGACAACGGTGGTCTCACTGCTGAACAACAGACGTACAACAGGAAAACGTCCAGAGCCAGAGTTGTGGTCGAAAATGCATTTGGGAGGCTAAAGCGTAGGTGGCGATGTCTTCTGAAGAGAAACGACAGTGATGTAGAGCTTCTTAAATACATGGTGCTGACCTGTTGTGTGCTTCACAATATCTGTGAGAGCCATGGGGAGGAATATGTAGAATGTGACGCACCTGCTGATGAACCAGTGGTTGCAAATATGCAGGAAGTTGCAGAGGAGGGCAGTGATGTGCGTGAAGCTCTGATGCGACACTTCACCCGCTGACCTCAATTTGTGTTTTTTCTTTCCATTTACTTTGTTTATTGTTTTGACACTTTTAACTGTTCGAAGCCTGTAGTTTGAACTGAAATGTTTGTTTTATTTTCAGAAATTAATAAAGTACACTATTTTACTTTTAACAAACTGTTGCACCTTTCCATTTTAACATATATCTAAGGTGGGCTGTAATGTAATCTACATTTATTATGTAAATTTAAATTTGCGAGCAAAATTGTTTAAGACAATTCATGCACACCTTGTTTTTCTTTGAAAATTTATTGATAAAAAGGACAGACGGATAAAAAAAAATTACGGGACAAATACATAGCTCCTTACTGCCTGGGTGGTGGCAGGAAGTCAGAGGAGCTGCCCATTCTTTGTGCGACCAGTCCAAGAACAGCATTTAGGGCACCCAAATGTTCAAAATATTGCTCTGCGATCTGTAATTCATGTTGCCTTGCTGCTGCTGCGTCTTGTTGCATCCAGTTAACCTGCTCCCGGCTTATGCCTTCCATTCTGTCCATCTGCCTGCCATCTGCGATCTGCAACTCATCAAATATCACCTGTGTCCGTGCTTCCAATCGCCGTCTTCGGTCACCTGGAAACAACAACATTGACAGTTACATTTGTGTTTATATGGATAACAAAATGTCAGTTGTCCTGTGAGCTTGTCAGTTTTGTTTATGCACAAAGCAATTTTTAGAATGGTCACACACTACCTGTGCGTCGACGACATGGTAGATGTTCCTCTCGAGTGGTAGTGGACAGAGGTGATGGTGGTGGCGAAGGAACTGGCCGAGGCGATGGTGGCACAGAAGGTACGGACAGAGGTGATGGTGGCACAGAAGGTCCTGGAGTGCTACTTGAGGAAGTGGATGGTTCCTCTGAAGAGGGAGTGTTTTCCGCTTCAGATGTGTCTGAAAAACACAGATCAAAAAATTAGTAAGAAAAGATCACAAAATAAATCAGTAAGAAAAGCACAATATTTTTGCAGCAAAAGAGCATATAGGCATATAGTAAACTTAATAAAACTACTATGAGTTAAGGCCATTTTGTCATTTGGAACGTGTCCACTAGATGGCAGTAATTCGCCAGTGACGTACAATTAATTGCAATTTAATGTTATATTCTTATTCAATCGAAAAATATATACTTGTTAAAAGTCCACTCTAGGCTAAAAACACTGCTGGCACGACTTTTGGGATATTTATAATATTAGATCAGCTCGTTGATCCTCAATGTGGGTGCTCAGCTGTATAAAACAATGAGATGCTAAAAACACTGAGATGCTAACGTGAAAGGCTAACCGAATTTCCCATGTTTTAAACAATGAGACGCTAACAAGAAAGGCAAACTCCGCTCCAGCCTCATGTACGCAACAACGACATGCTAAACAAAAAAGGCTTATATCGCGAACAGCGTGTTAAAAAACACGGGGGAATGCTAAATGAAGGTTAACATAAACACGAGGGGATGCTAAGGCTAGTTAACACGAGGGGGTAAATCCTTTACTTGCTGAGCATTTCTTAAATAGGTGCTGCTATTATTCAGTGTTTTTGGTGCTGCAATGAATGGCCTGCAGAGCTAAAAAGACAACAAAAGAAGTGCTTACCAACAGGGTTTATGAGTGACTCCAGGATACTGGTCGCCGAGTCCAAGCCTCCATCGCTGCCTCGGTTTGACGGTCTGTGTCCATAAATAGCGTCCACCACATCGTACCACTTCCATGTACTTCGCCCATTCCCACTACGGCCGTTGCTGTCCTTAACTTTTCTGTAGTGGGCTTTTATTTTTTTCAGCTTCGCACGACACTGCTCGGAGGTGCGCTGGAATCCTTCAGCTGCCATGCGCTGAGAAACTTCTTTGAAGACTTTCATTTCTTATCATCCCATCCAGCTCGGCCTGAATGTTGCTATCTCCGATGATGGTGAGGAACGTTTGAAGCTCCGCATTGGACCAAAAGCTATTACTTGTTGCAGGCATTTTCACACACAAGGAGTACAGCCAAACAAACACTGGAACTTGACTCACTTCTTTCCATCCCCTGGGATTGTCGCGGGTAGTTACGTAATTTCTCCCCCAATCAGAGGACTCTGGACCTTTTACGCTGTGGCTCCGCCCAGACCAAAAATCTCTGGACCCACAACAGAAGGGGTCCCGCTCTGGCCCGCTACTGGACCGGTTCGGGTAGGTTTCCTGGACTGGTTCAACGATCGAAACAAAATATTTAGCGACCCGATCCTTCCCATTCCATGCCAGTTTGGTCGGTGGAAAAGGCCCTCATAATACCCAGACCTGACCGTTCCAGACCAGGCGATGGAAAAGAGCTATTAAACTCCTCCACTTGGGGCAGGACCTCATCCCTGACCTGGAGAAGGCATTCTTTTCCGACTCAAGACCATGGTCTCGGATTTAGAGGAGCTGATTCTCATCCAAGCTGCTTCACACTCGGCTGAGAACCGCTCCAATGAGAGCCAGAGATCATGTTCTGATGAAGCCAACAGGACATCATCTGCAAAAAGCAGAGACCTGGTGTTGGCTGCACCTAGGAACCCTGTTCATAAACATTATCAACAGAATCTGTGACAAACGGAAGCTATGTCCAACTCTCACCGACTGAGCCCGACTTACAATGCAGACCAAGCTCTGACACCGGTCATACAGGGACCTAACAACTCGTATCAGAGTACCTGGTAACCCATACTAATGGAGTACCCCCCCACAGGGCCCCCTGACGGACGCGGTCAAACGCCTTCTCCAAATCCACAAAACACATGTTGATTGGTTGGGCGAACTCCCATGCACGCACCCTCCAAGACCCCCAAGGGTATAGAGCTGGTCCAGTGCTCCACGGTCAGGATGAAAATCACCTTGTTCCTCCTGAATCCGAGGTTCGACAATCCAATGAACCCTCCACTCCAGAACCCTGAATAGACCTTACCAGGGAGGCTCAGGAGTGTGATCCCCCTGTAGTTGGAACACATCCAGCAGTCCTCCTTTTTAAATAGAGGGACCACCACCCCGGTCTGCCAATCCAGTGGAACTGCCCCCGATGTCTATGCAATATTGCAGTCAACCTTCAACACTTAAATGACAAACACATAGTTTGTGCACACATGTTGGTATATTTTATAATAAAACAAACTGTGGTCACATTCTCAGGATGATAGCTTAAAGAATATGTCTGTAGCTGCTCATGATGATGGTGTCTTTTGCTGCTTTGACTGCTAGTTTAACACCAGCATCATTTCAATTAAACATAGGATTCCCAATGGGAACAAATCCTTCAAGCCTTAATATTGACCTTTGGACAAGTCACTTTTGTGCGTATATCAGCCTTGATCCAATAAAATTATCTCAGAATAGAAGATGTCTTATTATAACTATGTTGTTTAAAAAAGATAACTATACATGTATTTTACATTTTTAACTATCAATATGTTGTAACTGCAGGGAAACGGCATTCTGCCTGTCTAAGGCTTTACAATCTCATCAGATAAACATCAAAGAAAACGGTGCAGATAAATAGAGGAGGCAGTTTTTCTACTGTTTTGGGATGTCAGTGAATATTCGCAGGCCATGCATGCCTTGAATTTCATCCTTGAGTGCCTGTGAAGAACATAAGACAACAGACAATTAAATCAAGAAGCAAATTATAATTCACCAACAGATGTGAAAATAATCTTAAAAATCTCACAAACTTTGATGGTAAAATACAAACAATTTGCAGCATGAGTGCATGTTTCATTATAAATTACTTTATGACAGCTTATAATATTGTAATAAATGAAAATATAGGCTTGTTTGTTTTGACCCAACAAGCATAACTGTTGCTAATAGAGACATCACCAAAAACTGGGGAGTCTGATTAGCTTTAAAATTTTTATTTTTTTATTTTTTTCCCCGTGTCCTATCTGGCTGTGAAGCAAACAGAATTAATGTCTGAATGCTGGTGACAAGCCTTACAGATTTATAGGCTCGACACACGGGAGGCGACATCGCCTCTCCTCCATTCATTTTCAATGAGACATGCGCGACAAAGCGATAATCACGGGTCTCCCTCGACATACATGTCAGGACCTGACCCCCAAGGCCCCGCCCAGATCCCCACATGAGGCCGGCCAGCTTTAAAAATGTTCATTTAAACTTTTATAATTTTGCTAGAAGTTCATTTGAAAAGAAAAGCCAATTATGCAATGTTATGTTTGCACAAAAAAAGGAAAAGCAATCACGTTAGGCTAGTAATGGTAATAATAATAATAATAATAATAATACTTCATAACTTTACATTTAAATAAATACAACGTTTTCTAGTATTGGCAAATTGTGTGGAGACACACACATCAGCTTTTTGGTGACTGGGTTGTGTAAGAAGAATACCCTGTGACTCATTGATTTTTACTTGCCATTATCTTGATGCTGTAACAGCAAGCCTGAATAGTTACCTGATTGACTAGCTGGTGCTGCTGCACTGTTCTTTTCCCTTTGAACTCACTGGATTCTACATGGATCTCATACATGGCCCCGCAGCCACCTAACACAAAATGATAGTCAGTTACTAAGAGTATGTAACCGCGTTATTGTACAAAAACTGGTAGGTTTTTTAATTACAATGAAATTTTTATGTATCTATCCATGCATCTATAGCAGTAATAAGCCAGCAACTGTGTTTAGTTCCTGAAATACACACGAAAACAAGAAAGGTTAGTAATTTATTCCGCTTCAACGCTTGAATAAGTATCTGTCATGTATAAATCTATGCTAAGTTTTATGTGTAACTGGTGTCAAATATAACTAATGTCATTCAGAACAACATATGACGATGCTAAACGCTTTAGCACAATGGATTACCTGATATATCCACAACTTTGAGCTTTGATGCTAAAGGAAACTTCTCCTTCAAGACTTCTGCGATGCGAACCTCTCCGTCTGTCTGAGTGGACAGACATCTCTGCATCTGAGCGGAAACCAGACATGAGAAAACAAATGAGCTACGCGAAGCTTCAGGAACTCACCAAACTACAAAGAAGAACCAATTTAAAAATATGTACTCGGTTGTAGCGAAGAGCGGAGATTATTGTGCTGCTAGAGATGCGTTTAAAAGCCAACATTATGGAAATGGGGCGATAATTCGTGTTATTTACAAAGCCAACAGCAGTCATTCAAAAAGTCATGTCCTCAGACAACTTTTGTCTCTTAAAAATGACGTTTTCATTCTTCTTCTGAAAGATTAAGCTGCAGCTCTCTCCTTATAAACTGTATTGCTGCCATCTAGCGGCGTAAAAGGAAATATCAGATTGAAAAAGGAATAAACAGGCCAGCATAACATAATCAAATGGATAAAAGATAGCAAAAACTCTATCAAAACGTTAACTTTTTAAATTCTACACAAATAAGTGTTTTTTTCTCGGTAAAGACAAGCAAATAAAATCTGCAAAAAATGTGATGTTCACCTCTAATAATGCAAATAAAATAAAATAAAATAAACGTAGTTCATTTTATTTATACTGGACCAATTCACAACACTATACATTAAGCAATACATCCAGTTCATAATCATATTAGATCATACATGCTACATGTGGCTCAGTTAACTTCTTGAGTCCTGACCGTTTGTTTAGGGTGCATTTTTAATTTCCCCTTAGTATGTGGGATCAGCAATTTCATAAACTTGAACCAAACATAACAAACACACAAAACAGGAAGCAAACCGGTAAATAAAATTTTAAAAAGGAAAATGTATTTATATACTACTCGTCGTCATCGTCGTCTTCCTCCGCTTAACCGGTCCGGGTCGCGGGGGCAGCATCCCAACTAGGGAACTCCAGACCTTCCTGTCTCCAGCCACCTCCACCAGTTCCTCCGGCAGGACCCCAAGGCGTTCCCGGACCAGATTGGAGATGTAACGTCTCCAACGTGTCCTGGGTCGACCCGGGGGCCTCCTGCCGGCAGGACATGCCCGAAACATCTCCCCAGGGAGGCGTCCAGGAGGCATCCTGACCAGATGCCCAAACCACCTCAACTGACTCCTTTCGATCCGGAGGAGCAGCGGTTCTACTCCAAGTCCCTCCCAAATGTCCGAGCTCCTCACCCTATCTCTAAGGCTGAGCCCGGCCACCCTACGGAGGAAACTCATTATGGCTGCTTTAATTCACAATCTCGTTCTTTCGGTCATTACCCAAAGCTCATTACCATAGGTGAGGATTGGGACGTAGATCGACCGGTAAATCGAGAGCCTGGCTTTCTGGCTCAGCTCCCTCTTCACCACGACAGATCGGCTCAGCGTCCGCATCACTGCAGACGCTGAACCAATCCGCCTGTCGATCTCCCGATCCCTCCTACCCTCACTCGTGAACAAGACCCCGAGATACTTAAACTCCTCCACTTGAGGTAGGACATCTCTCCCGATCCGGAGTTGGCAAGCCACCCTTTCCCGGTCGGGAACCATGGTCTCAGATTTGGAGGTGCTGATCCTCATTCCAGCCGCTTCACACTCGGCCGTGAACCTACCCAGCAAGAGCTGAAGGTCAGAGCTGGATGAAGATAGGAGGACCACATAATCTGCAAAAAGCAGAGACGAGATTCTCCTGCCACCAAACTCGACACACTCCACACCACGGTTGCGCCTAGAAATTCTGTCCAGAAAGGTAATGAACAGAACCGGTGACAAAGGGCAGCCCTGGCGGAGTCCAACCCTCACCGGGAACAGGTCCAACTTACTACCGGCTATGCGGACCAAACTCACGCTCCTCTGGTAAAGGGACTGGATGGCCCTGAACAAAAGGCCACCCACCCCTGGGGACACGGTCATAAGCCTTCTCCAAATCCACAAAACACATGTGGATTGGTTGGACAAACTCCCATGCCCCCTCCATCACCCTTTTAAGGGTATAGAGCTGGTCCACAGTTTCACAGCCAGGACGAAAACCACATTGCTCCTCCTCAATCTGAGATTCAACTATCGATCTGACCCTCCTCTCCAGTACCTTGGACTAGACCTTTCCAGGGAGGCTGAGGAGTGTGATCCCCCTATAGTTGGAACACACCCTCAGGTCACCCTTCTTAAAGATGGGGAGCACCACCCCGGTCTGCCACTCCACAGGAACTGCCCCCGATGACCACGCAATTTTGCAGAGACGTGTCAACCACAGCAGCCCTACCACATCCATAGCCTTGAGATACCCAGGACGAACCTCATCCGCCCCCGGGGCTCCGCCGCTGTGAAGTTGTTTGACTACCTCAGTAACTTCTGCCCCCGAGATTGGACAGTCCATCCCCAGGTCTCCTGGCTCTGGCTCCTCCTCGAAATGCGGATAGGTGAGATTGAGAAGCTCCTCAAAGTATTCCTTCTACCGCCTGACTGTAGCCCCAGTTGACGTCAGCAGCTCCCCATCTCCACTGTAAACAGTGTGAGCGAGTTGCTGCCTTCCTCTCCTGAGGCACCGGACAGTTTACCAGTACCTCTTTGGAGCAGATCGATAGTCTTTCTCCATGGCCTCACCAAACTCCTCCCATGCCCGAGATTTTGCCTCGGCAACTGCCACTGCTGCTCCCCGCTTGGCTATCCGGTACCCGTTTGCTGCCTTCAGAGACCCACAGACCAGTCACACCCTGTAGGCCTCTTTCTTCAGCTTGATGGCTCCCTGAACCTCTGGTGTCCACTAGTGGGTACAGGGGTTGCCACCACGACTGGCACCGGCCACCTTGCAACCACAGCTAGCAACAGCCGCCTCAACAATTGCAGAGTGGAACAAGGCCCACTCGGAGTCGATGTCCCCCACTGCTCTCGGGACGCGGTCAAAGCTCTGCCGGAGGTGGGAGTTGAAGACCGTCTTGACAGGTTCTTCTGCCAAGCGTTCCCAGCAGACCCTCACTATGCGTTTGGGTCTGCCAGGTCTACGCGGCACCTTACCCTGCCATCTGATCCAACTCACCACCAGGTGGTGGTCAGTTGACAGCTTCGCTCCTCTCTTCACTCGGGTGTCCAAAACATACGGCTGCAGGTCAGATTATACGACTACAAAGTCTATCATCGACCTGCGCCCTAGGCTGCCCTGGTACCAAGTGTACCGATGGGCATCCTTATGTTCGAACATGGTGTTCGTTAAGGCCAAACTGCGGCTTGCACAGAAGTCCAATAACGAAACACCACTCGAGTTCAGATCAGGTGGGCCATTCCTCCCAATCACACCCCTCCAGGTCATGCTGTCATTGCCCATGTGAGCATTGAAGTCCCCCAGCAGGACAATGGAGTCCCCTGATGGAGCACTATCTAGCACTCGTCCCAGGGACTCCAAAAAGGGTGGGTACTCTGAAATGATATTTGGCCCATAAGCACAAACAACAGTCAGGACCCGTTCCCCGACCCGAAGGCGCAGGGAAGCTACCCTCTCATCCCTCGGGGTAAACCCCAACACACAGGCAGAGAGTCTTGGGGCTAACAAAAAGCCAACCCCAGCCCCCTGCCTCTCACCCGGAACAACTCCAGCAAAGGAGAGTGTCCAACACCTCTCAAGGACTTGGGTTCCAGAGCCAATGCTATGTGTCGAGGTGAGTCCGACTATATCTAGCCGGTACCGCTCAACCTCTGCCACAAGCTCCTGCTCCTTTCCCGCCAGCGAGGTGACATTCCATGTCCCAAAAACCAGTTTCCTTGTCCGGGGATCGGACCGCCAAGGCTCTCACCTTGGTCTGCCACCCGATCCACACTGCACCGGACCCTTCCTGTTCCTCCTGCGGGTGGTGGGTCCACAGCTGGATGAGCCCATGTATCCGGTTCAGGCTGAGCCCGGCCAGGCCCCATGGGCGAAAGCCCGGCCACCAGGCGCTCGCTCACGGACCCCAACACCAGGCCTGGCTCCAGGGTGGGACCCCGGTAACCCTCCGGGCCGGGAACTCCGACTCTTTGCTTTTACGTCCATGAAAGATCTTCTGACATATCCTACTGAATCTGGTAATTAAACATTATTGCAGGTGTTTGGACATGTAGCATATATGTTAAAGCTAAATACTATTTAGATAAAATTAAAGAAGCTACACTGCCCCAGTATTCATACAGCTCTCTGCATGAATAAACAGTTATGTTAAAAGGATTAAAATCTGCGATCAGAAAATATCTTTTGATTCTCTGTTACATATAAACTGTTTTACTAAAGCATTACGAACAATGTGACAACTATGTTAGTAAAATTAAAAAAAGAGAATTAGTGTTATTTAAGGTTGTTAATCTGATTTTTAATGATCACTTTGACGCATTGATTGCTGGAGCAGACCTGAATGGGAGGCCTTATCTCGCGGTGGAAGCTGTGGGACCTGGCAGAGTGATGGTTGACAATCGGCTCTTCACTCGTTTCACTAAATGTCCTCATTCTCTTTGTGCTCAAGATTTATCCACAGCAGTCTTTGTCAGAGTTACTGACATCAGCAGCCTTCAAAGGCAAGACGCCCCCAGAGAGTCTGATCAGTCCCCAGAGATGGCCCGAGCCACTTTAGCAACATTTACACTGGCGTTTCTCCTCCTCAGCTGGAGTATTTATGCTGAAGAAGATGCAGAAGCTTTACCCTGTCCACCACACCAGAAGGCCTTTGATGGAGCTTGCTATGAGCTTATGGGTCTGCAGTTATCCTTTCTGGACGCCCAGGCGTGGTGTGAGCGAGGTGGAGGACACCTGGTCTTCATCCTGAATGATGAAACGCAGCAGTTCCTTCAAACGTACCTGGAGCCGGAGAAGGACTGGTGGCTTGGGCTGGCACCTGCATCTCAAAACCTCACGCTAGATGCTTCTGAGGGTGAGAAGGCACATGAGCATGAAATTTATTTAAAAAACAAAAAACAAAAAAAAACTCAGATTAGTGTAACATAAGAATTATAAAAAATGTTAAACATTTTTTAATGATTACAGCAGCATTTTTAATAGCTTACATTTCAAATGTTTTGCCACTAATTTGGCAACAAATCTGCTCTATCTGTGAGACGTCAGTCCTTTCAATAGTGGAACATTTATTGTCTGGCTGTTATCTAAGCAGATGGTGTACCCGCACATTGTAAAGACCTCCAATGTGTTTGTTTACGGAGGAGTCTTAGTTATCTCAACCTACAGGTGAAGAGAGAGAGAGATAATCCTCATCAATTAAATAATCCAATAGGTAGCCTGTCAAGAAGCCTGATTTATTAAAGTCTTTATTTCCCTTAAATGAGAATCAGCCTGGCCTTTATTTAAATATTTTAAAAGCAGTTATGTTAAAAAATGAGCATATGTTGGTTCTTCCTTCCCAGGTCCTCTTGCATGGCTGGATGGTTCAGATATTAGCTATAAAAACTGGGCGCACAAGCCAGAAGACAAGGCAACCTGTGGACACATCCTGAGACAAACGGGCTTCCAGTGGAAGGCCACAGAGAACTGCAACCAACAACTCAACTTTGTGTGCACGTTTGGTACGTGCACCCTTAAAATGATATGTCTGACATGTTGGCTTTGTCCCTTACAGTTCTACATTTTTTCAGATTTTGGAAGATCAATTGCATGCGAAGGCCAAAATGCCACACTGCAGTGTGGCTCTGGTCAAGTCATTGAGGTTGAAGATGCCTTTTACGGGAGAAAAACGGTTCATTACTGCCGATCGCACCACACCGCTGTACCCACGTCTACCCAGGAGGAATGTAGCTGGATCAATGTGGTTGATTCTGTAACAGGTACGAAAAGTTACACAAACGTTTATATTTTTTATCGATTGTGAATGTGTGCACACGTGTATGGGCTTTATTTAAACCACTTTAGGCCATCATTTTTGACTGACGTAAATTTTACAGCAAATATTTATTTATGGAGGGATCACAGGAAGAGTTTAGTACATATTTATTGTCTTAATGCACCAAAAAGTCATGTCTGGATTCTTTTAACAGCCCTTTTGTTTGGTTTTCCACCAGAGTCACTAACCGTAACCTGTAAAATTACTTATGCAATTTAAAAATGATAAAATGTTCTTTCAGATTACTGCCATGGACTGCAGGCTTGCCAGGCTCCACCCAACCGGAGCTCCTTCAGCAACCCGTGTCCTCTGCTGGGCAGTTATATGTCTGTAGAATACCGCTGCAAAGATGGTCAGACACACATTTTGTTTCCTTCTCTGGAGATTTTGCTTTGACACACTTGTGTTAGTACATTTATCATCAAACTCCATATTCTTGAATCATCATCTACTTTGCATCATGTTCACTGATCTTTATTCAAACCCCAACATGTATCAAGTAAAATCTTGAATAATTTTTTGTGTGAGTCTAATTTTCTTATTTCTCCGTTTAGGACTTCACTTACTGACGAGCAAAGTGGCGCCTGTTTTTGAAAATGTCACCATTACTGTGAAGTGGCTTCTTCATCCATTTCATGGAAACCTGACGTGTGTTGTTGACACTGGAGACGGCCACATCATTGACCCATACAGCCCAAAGGAGTGAGGAAGACCTTTCAGCAGAAATCAGATCAATCCTGGTCTTTTTTTTATATATGCTGACTTTATTTCTTCCTATTGCCTATTGCTATTCCCAATACTGAATGGAAAAAGTCTTGTCTTTTGATACATATTTGGAAAGTTTGAGACAAAGTTTTAGCTACTTTTCAGTCTGAGTTAGATTCTTCACTGCTTTAACCCTCTGGAGGCAGGAGTTGCAGATTTGCAACGTTAAAACCAACCTACCTGGTTACTCCACATACGTATTTCATGAGTATTTTTTAACTCAGAAGTACCCCTGAAGGACTTAGAGGACTGAGGGTTAACCCTCTCGGGCTCAAAATAAGTTTTGATAAAAGGACCAACAACTAAGTCCTTCAGGGGTACGTCTGAGTTAAAAAATGCTCATGAAATACGTATGTGGAGTAACCAGGTAGGCAGGTTTCAACTGTTGCAAATCTGCAACGCCCGCGTCCAGAGGGTTAACCTTTCATTTCAAATTCCATTTGATTATAACTGCTTACAGGTTGGTGTCGAGCATCATCCACGCGTTCCAGCGACCTGGCGTTTTTACTGTCGGGGTAGAATGCACCACCAGTGACTGGCACGTCACAGCTCAGAAAGAAATAACAATTCAGGAGCCTGTTGGAAAGTTCAGTGAGATCCGGTGCTATAGCGGGGACGTGGCAACAGATGGAGCTAAATGCAATTCACTTCATAGCTTACCTGTTCAGATTCAGCTACAGCTGGAAGCAGGTGAGTCATTCCCATGCTTCACACGATTCACTCACATTTCTGATGTCAAACTGAGCTGATCCCCCTTTTCTTTGCAAACAGGGACAAACATTTCCTATACAGTTCATCACAAAGAACGAGTGATTGCCAACTCCTCAGCTGACAAGGGGATCACCCCCCACAACACCACTCTGAATGTTGTGGCGGTGCAAAGTCTTGGACTGGGCTGCCATAATCTGAGAGTAGCTGCAGCGAACAGGGTCACAGCACGCAGCGTGTCCTCTGCTCTGCTGCTGTGTCTGCTGGAGCCTGTAAAAGGCCTGCAGGCCTCTGTGATAGCAGAGGCGGGAGTGTGTCCAGACTCCACCGATCTCATCATCGGAGTCTCGTTGGAGCGGGGAGCCCCAGCTGAGCTGATTTTTAATCTCACTGGGGTCAGAGACACGCTGACTGAAACCAGAGACGCGCTCAATAACAGCTTGCAAACGTATACGTTCTCCAACCCACTTGAAGGTGTTTACTATTAAAACTAAACATTTGTTTCCAGTGTTAAACACATAACCTGAGATGTTTGGATCTTTTCTGGAACAGGACTTTTGACAGTGAAAGTACAAGCCACGAATGCTTTATCAAGCTCTCAGCTGGACGTGGATTTTGAGACAATACTTCAGGCGTGTCGGAATTACTCCGACTCCTCAAAAAGCCAAGAAGTACGCCTTATGTATTTAGTTTGTAAATATATTTAGTCAAATGCAAATATAAAGATTTGCTTTAGAGCAATTTTGTTTTTGTTTTGTTTATGCAGAAAGATGACTTGAGTGCTGAGGGCCCCGCGGACTTGAAAATAACTGCTTCTCCAGACTTGGTGGTCGACCAAACTCAAATCGTTACTCTGACACCAACTGGATCAGTAGGCAGCAAAGGACTTGAGTTTGAATGGAAATGTAGTGAGTTAATTAAGCGTATCACACGTTTTAATGATTTGCAAAGAGGTATGACTGCAAAAGACATGTATGATGGGTATTTTAAGCCACTGATGAGATTTGTGAAGTGGTCAAATAATTTCCATCAGCAGCATGATTCATTCTGCAGTAAAATTATGTCAACATTACACATTAGTATATCACGAGTTTCTTTCACAGTATTGTAGAGGAGGATGAAAAAGCTGTTTAAACTGCACAATAAGGGCTTACGGCATGCAGGCATTTGAACCCATGAGTGCGTTTGTTTGTGCAAATACACAACCTAGATAATCTAGAGCTAAAGTGCATGTTGACCTGTATCAAACATGTGTTGAATCAACAAAACCTGTTGACTTTCAGAAACACACGGTATGTTTTTAGTGCTTTATAGTTTGCTTTAGCTGTTATCGTCCCTTTATTGTTGTTTTCTTCGTGCAGAAGGAAACTGCTCATGCAGAAATACAACAACAGAAGAAACTCACGTGATTGAAAAAGACTGCCTTCCAGATCCGTTTGAAACACTTGAATACAGTCTAACGGTGAGGAAAAGAAGATGGTTTCGGAAACTGGTCCACATTGCCGCAGCTTCAAAGTGCATCACAGTTGCTCCTTTGAATGAACTGAAAGACGTCGCCATCAGGTAAGAATCTGTTAAATGGGTTTAGAATTTGGAGTGTGTGAGCTTTCCAAGCTAGAGTTGATGAATCTTATTTTGTGTATTTAAATCCATTTTATTCATGCAGGTGTGATAACTGTGCTTCATTAAATGTGAACAGCCATGCTAAGCTGAGCCTCAGCTGTGTGGCTACTTGCCCAGATGTAATCTGGTTTATTGAGGACCCCAAACCTTTGACTGTAAGTCTAATCAAACTTAGAAAAAATACATAACACAATAGATTTGTGTCAAATAAATACTGACGAATCAAATTTCCTCAGGGTGACCTCGGTGATTGTTACACCCAGAGCGGAAGAAGGCCGCCTATTGAGAAGCAGGACGGTGACACTGAGTACACCGTTCACAGTCGACATCTGAACATTTCACGGAGCATTCAGCAAAACATCAGTGTGATTGCATATGGTGTGTTTTCATCCCAGCCTTAGACTCCTAATGCATGTCATCCCTCTTGTTCTGCGTTTATTATTCTAACAGTAGATTTCTGTTTAATCAGGCAAGACAGTGCCTGGTTTTGTCAAATACACCATCCCGATCCCCGGTCCCGAAGGAGCAGAAACAACTGATGCTCCTGTCGTCCCCTCGTGCAACATCTCTCCACCTTCAGGAACTGTGCTTGATGCTTTTGAAATTTCCTGCAAGGCAACTCTTTTCTGCTCCACAGGCTGTCTTTACTGCTTCAAAACCAGCACAGGTGATCAGTGTGTCGTCCCTTTTGAAACACAAATTCACAAGTTTGGTTTGGGAATGTTCCTTCTGTGCTTTAAAAAAAAATCTTTTATTAACATTACAATTTTAGCGTAAAATTAAAATATATGTTGGAAACTTGTTTAAGATAACTTAGATTGAAGAAAACAACTATATTCTCCTAATCTTTAAGGTAAACATCTGCGATGCAGCAAGACAAATGAGGTTAAATCAGTCTTTTTGCCTTTCGGGGATGAAAATAACAACTACAGTTTGTCTGTGGTGGCAACGATGAAAAATGAGTATACTACGTCTACTACAACTCTTACTACTCAGGTGTGTTGTTTGTTTTGATCAGAGAAATCAATCTTCCTGATCAGCTGATTGAATAAACCTGTTTACCTTTGACAAGGTAAGGAAGAGTAGCTCCAGTGCTTCTGTAATCGCACTGCAGTCTGCAGTGGAAGAGACTGTGAATCACTTAGAGCAGCAAGGCCTGCTGTCTGGTGAGGCACTCGCACAAATATTCACCTCAATTTCTGATCTGCTGAATGTGGAGGATGGTGAAGATCAGAAGGATAACAGGTCAAAGGTAAGAGAGCTTGAAAGGCCTCCACGCTGGGGCGCTGTGCGTAAAACTGATCATTTGTCTCATGAATGTGCGAGGAATCCCAATTTTATTTAGGGTTTCTCTTGATTTCAGCTCCGAGAGCAAATGTTGACCAAAATTTCAGAGGTTCTGTTGGACTCGCCCAGCAACTCCACCCAGGAGGTTCAAGTGACGGCTGAGGCCGTGGCTGGACTCACGCTGATCTCAGATGAGCTCAGTCCTGCAGCTCAAGTATGACAAAGAGCTGTGAAAATTGTGTTTTCAATGACAGCAAGACATCACTAAGATTGAGATGATGGAGTTAGCAGGAGCGGAGAATAGACTGTAATACACTATTTATCTGACCAAGTCAACAACTTCTTTAACCCTCCCACTGTCTTCATGGATGACCTCGCGAGGAAAGTTGACCATTGAGCAGGACTGATGGTTTATCCCTTGAGGTCCACGTGGCAGGGGTGAGGAGTGAGCACCACCTCACCCCTGCCACGTGGACCTCAAGGGATAAACCATCAATCCTGCTCAATGGTCAACTTTCCTCACGAGGTCATCCATGAAGACAGTGGGAGGGTTAAGTACATCTCATAAATCATCAGTGAAATCATCTGCATCCAGTCATTTACATTCGTTAGGGCAGATTTTTCCACAGAAATAAATGTTTAAAATGTAAAAACAATACACTAAGCTGCTATCTTAACATTTAAATCTATTTTGTTTCCATCTTTCTCCCTCAGGAGGAAGCAGGCTCGTTGTTAGTAAACCTCAGCTCCTCCCTCAGAACGATAAGTGTCAACCAGCCCAGCACTGACGACGGAAATGTGGTCCACGCAGCAACGCCGATCGTTGAAGCAGCCAGTAATGTTTTGACCGTTTCATCGAATGTACGAAGAAAACTTCTAAAGGCCGACTATCATATCACTATTTTGCCTGATATCTAACAAACACCACACATTGTCCTCAGAAAAAAGTCTCAGATTTACTTCTGACTGGGATCAACAACGTTCAGAGTGCTCTGCTGAATAACAAAGAGGTGAATGGACAAGCTGTCATCATTGATTCTGGTCAGATCAGTGTGTATGTTAACAGGTAAGACACTGATGGCCCACAGCAGGAGGTAAAATCACAAATATGGCAGGTTTCCCTGATACTAATCTGATTGTGTTTTCTGCAGGATGACATCTGCAGATGTGCAAATGCAGAACATAAATGTCCAGAAGATGAGCTCCTCCAGATTCTCATTTCCTTCACTTCCTGCTGGCGTCATCCCCTCAGGGGAGCCAGTGGATGTCAGGGTGAGTGTGTGTGCGCTTGACATAAAAAAAAGAAATTGGATTTATTAAAGCCAACATAGTTACACATTTTCCTATCACAATGTACAACTTCATCCGATAAAGTTCTCCAATGTTTTCTTTACTGTTTAATATCCATAACTTAGATTTGTTGCACTTCTCAGGCTTTGCCTTTAGTAATTTAAGGGTACTGTGATACCGAAAAGAAAAAGTGCCATAATTTCAGGAAAACCAATCAAAATTGTCACATTATTTCAGGCTTGCTGCCTTCTAAAAGCACCTGAGACCCAGTTAAACCAGTTTCTATTGATTTGACCATTTACTAAGAGTATACATTCTTTCTAGATGATGAGTTTTGAGAAGAATCCATACTCCTGGAAAGAGGACAACATCACAGGAGCTGCAGGATCTCTTTCTCTCACCAGAGTGAATGGCACCATCATACCTGTGGAGAACCTACCTGAAGGAATTGAGGTAATAACTCATAATTTTCTCTTTTGGAAAATCTTTTTGGAACATATTTTCTGTTTTTTCAGATTCTCCTGCCAAGGCTTGATGCTGAGCTGAACAGTACAGTCCTTGAGCTGGCCAACTTCAGCACATTAATGATTGACGTGCCGTCACCAGATGTGACATTGGTGCTGAAAATGGAGCCATCTGAAGACATTTCCTTCATGGTGTTACTGGGATTTAAGGATTATCCGAACGATAACAGCTACGTGGCCAAGACTCGGATCCCTCTAGAAAACCTGAATGAAGGTAAATAATGAAATTTCCAGATTTGATTTTTGTAAATATGGAAAAATTGCATTTTCAGAACATTTTAAAGTTACAGTCCCATTAGTCATCATCTCCACATTCGACCCATTCCCATGGGGAGCGGTGGCTGTGCTCGGGAACTATTTGGTGGTTTAACCCCCCAATCCAACTCCTTAAAGTTGAATGCCAAGCAGGGAGCCATTGGGTGCCATTTTTAAGGTCTTTGGTATAGCCCGATTTTCATTGCCAAACCATTTCCAAGTGTGTTCATTATTCATCATTATATGTAATGTTTCAGGTAAATCATGTCTGAAAATCTATATTATAGCTTCTTGCACCTTTTTTTAAGCTAACATATTCAATCTAAATAAACATTACATCATATACTAAAAATCTCATTGCTGCAGTGACCGGGATCCGTCCTCAATCAGGACGAGATGCCAAACATCAGCATCACAAGTGGAGAATTAGCTTCACTCTGATCTTTATGTGTTTTGTATCATAACACAGAAGAAAAATTTACCTGGGTGTTGAGTCCCAAAGACAGAACAGGAAGTGCCGGGGTCCATTACCTTGTAGTGAAACCTATTGTTGAGCCGGGCATCAGATCTGTCAATGCCTCTGTTGTCGTCACTTCCATCGCTGCTCAGTGCAAATACTGGAACGAATCCATGTCCTCTTGGAGGGAAGATGGCTGCAGGGTGAGCTGAAAAGAAAATGAAGCTAAAACTTTCATAAGATGTGAGATCTGAGTGGGTTTATTTTGTTATTTCTCTAGGTTGGACCACTCACCACACCTTTGGTCACCCAGTGCCTCTGTAACCACCTGACTCTCTTTGGCAGCTCCTTCTTTGTCATGCCAAACTTGGTGGACGTTTCCCGCACAGCTGAACTGTTTGCTACATTTGCTAACAATCCTGTGGTGGTGTGCTTTGTGGGGGCAATCTTTGGTGCTTATCTGCTGGTGGTTGTGTGGGCGCGCAGGAAAGACATCCAAGATTTAACCAAGGTCATTCTCAGTCCTTTACAACTGACATTTTACTCCTTGTTTTGGGTTTGGTTTTACCGCTTTAGTATAAATTAAACACTTAAACTTAAATTAATCATGAAATGTGTACTTTATCTTCTCACTAGACTATTTAAACAGCTGTTTTTGCTAAACTGTATCATTAATAAGGATCTAACAGCCACGTTAGTGCTTCTGCGGTAACTTGCAGGTCAAGATAACAGTCCTTGACGACAATCACCCTCTGGCAGAGTATCGTTACATGCTGACTGTGAGCACAGGCCACCGGCATGGGGCAGCCACTTCCTCTCAGGTCAGTGAAAGTATCTGATGTGTCAGCTGCAAACAATTTTTGCTGATACAAAGCCCCAGAATCTATCTCCATCCTGATGGACCACCTCTGTTTTAGGTTACCATAACTCTGACAGGAACAGAGGGAGAAAGTGAACCTCACCACCTGACGGACCCTGAAAAGCCCGTGTTTGAGAGGGGTGGGGTGGACATGTTTCTGCTGACCACTCACTTTTCTCTTGGAGATTTGCAGAGCATAAGACTTTGGCACGACAACTCAGGCAAACACCCTGCATGGTGAGAAAACAACATGCTAAAGCTTAAGTTTTAGGATGATGTGCACTGCAAATATTTATTCATTTGATGCACAGGTATCTCAATAAAGTGACGGTTCAGGATGTGGAAAATGGTCAAAAGTGGCACTTTTTATGTAACTCCTGGCTGGCTGTGGATGTGGCAGAGTGTGTTCTTGACAAGGTCTTCCCTGTGGCGTCAGAGAGCGATTTGAAGAGATTTAGGTGAGAACTGCCACAGATATTGTTAACGTTGCAATATAATCTCAATAACTTCACCAAATCTTCCCATTTTCATAAATTTGAGTTGCTGTAATTCTTATTCTTCATTTTTTTTTATAGTAACTTGTTCTTCTCAAAGACAGCCAAAGATTTTCGAGATGGACACATCTGGTTTTCAGTCATTAGTCGACCTCCCTGCAGCACTTTCACACGTGTGCAGAGAGTGTCCTGCTGCTTTTCCCTTCTGCTTTGCACCATGTTGACGAGCATCATGTTTTGGGGAATTCCCACCGACCCCTCTGAGCAAACTATGGATCTAGGTAGCCAACAATTAGTTTTAACTTTAAGAAGCCAAAAACTGGAATTTTAAAAGAAATGATTACTTTTGTTTTATTAAAGAGATACTAAGCAGTTTTGCTTGCTTTTAGCACCCCCTAGTGTCAGTTAATAATTATCTGTGGTCAAAGCAAAAGTGAAAATTATCTCCTCACTGTGCGTCTTTTAACATCTTAATCGAACAGCTGAAATGTCTCCTTAGCCTTCATTAGTTTCAAGAGGAGCAAATCAGCTGTGTTCACGATCTAAAACATGCAGGAAATGTGCTAGAAGCAGATTGCAGTGCCAGGTATGTAAGCTCCACAGGTGACTGCAAATGCAGTATTCTGACCACAGACTGGTGGGGTTTAAGTGACATTTCATTAACCCTGTAAAGGGAAAATTTAGCGCATTCTGACTCAAGAAAATGATTTTAAAACATGAAAAAATTGCATAGTATCCCTTTAATGCATATTCCTTCCCCGTATAGATGCAGATAACATGTAATTATTATGGATTTTCAGAACTTTGTATGCATGCAAACAAGTAAAAAAAACTAAAATGTTCCTTGTGGTCATTTGCAACAATACATTTGAAGTTTTCAAACCAAAATGAAACAATAAAGACTTGACTTTGTAGGTCACATTGAATTTACCTGGCAGCAGGTTATGGTTGGAATTCAAAGCTCCATCATCATGTTTCCCATCAATCTCCTCATCGTGAGCATCTTCAGAAACACTCGTCCTCGAGAGAAAACTGCAAAAACCGACAGATCAAAACAGGGAAACACTGTTAAAGTTTCTCCCTCTCAGAATGGGACGAAGGACATCACTCCAGAAACTGTGATCAAGGTGGTGCTGCAGATACCTGATCTACATGTACTGGATTTTGTGCTTCATATCTAAACAGACTTCTGTTTTCATATCAGGACATAAAGAGAATCGCTCAATCCCTCTCAAAAGCTACAAAATTCCCACACATGGAGTTCCATCCTGGACAGCAGGCAGACATCAACACCCTACTGTCTGTGGTGGAGGACATCATCAGGCAGCAGAACCGGGCATCTGGAGACTTCTACACCACCAGGTCCGAGAGGGGTTGTGCCATGATTCTCAGTATAGGCGCAGTGAATCTTCATGGTAAACACTTTTAACTAACCAGCTTCATGTTTAGTTTTGGAAGACTAAAACAGGATTTACTCCCATTACATCTGTGCACATGGACAGAAAACAGCACATGGGGGAGCCCGGAGAAGACACCAGATGAAGTTCAGAAGAAGTCCAACAATAGCCAGTGTCTGTACAAGCAGTTGCGTCATGTTGAGAAGGAGCTTGGTCTGCTCGGACCATCTCGTTTTCCAGAACCCGGCAGCTACGACAGGGCGGTGCAGCAAGTTCAGGGAATGAAAAGGCATCTGGAGCTCCATTTGTCCTCCTCCAACCTGGATAGAGATCAGCTCAGTCGCAGTCCCAGTCCAGATCAGAGCATCAGCGGTGACGCACACCAGAAGTGCTGCCAAGGAGGGCTGCCATGGTGGTTTGTGTTTGTTGGGTGGATTCTGGTGATAGCGACCAGCGGTGTGTCGGGATACTTCACCATGATGTACGGGCTGACATATGGAAAGGATCGCTCCATAAACTGGCTCATCTCCATGGTGGTTTCCTTCTGTGAGAGTCTCTTTATCACCCAACCTTTGAAGGTAAGAATCAGTCATTTCTGCTCACAGGAAATGAGATATGAGCTACTAAAATTTGAATCCTCTCATCACAGGTTCTTGGTTTTGCTGCTTTCTTCGCTCTGGTTCTGAAAAAGGTCGACCAGGAAGAGTTTGGAGAGCCTCAAATAGACGAGAATTTCAGAAAAACAGGCATGTGCTTTTGTTTTCTTCTTTGATTTGTTTAGTTTTGTTTTCAAAACCCATAACAGCGTAAAGCCTCTCCTTCAGATGATCCGGATGTGGTGCGTGTCGCGAGAAGAGACAGCACATGCAGTTTCTATCAACCTCCACCTCCTTCTGACATCGAGAAGATGCAGAGAAATGTGATTAAAGAGCAGAAAGTTTTCTCACTCATCAGGGAGATCCTCGGTAAAGCTACATCTATTACAAATACCCGCAGTCATAACAAGGAATGTGGTGCAATTTGAAATGCCAATAGAGAATATCCCCTTGTGGTACAGTGTACATGGGCTTTATGTGGGTGTTGCTTCTGGTGGCTTATGGTCAGAGGGACCCCAACTCTTATTTCCTGACCCGCCACATTCGCCAAAGCTTCAGCAAGGGCATCTCCAGCACCATGAGCATTCAGGACATGTTCAACTGGGCAAACTCAACTTTACTGAGCAACCTTTATGGAAATCACCCAGGTCATCACTCTATGATACTAAATATTTTACTAATAAATACAGAAAATTAATTATTTAACTTTAATTTGTGTTCAATAGCTAGATCTTGACTCTGCTTACTGGTTTATTTATTAAAGTCAAGCATAACTGATCGAAATATCTCACTGTCATAGGATTCATCACTGACGGAAACTCAAAGCTGGTGGGGAACGCTCGTCTGCGGCAGGTGAGAGTGCAAAAACACTCATGTCGCGTTCCTCGCTCCATGAAACAGTCTGTGTCCGACTGTCATGCTCCATACTCATGGGATTCGGAGGATATGGGCTTCTACGGTCCTGGTTGGAACCGGCCCATGGGTGATAACGCATCAGTGAACCTCCACAGTCCATGGGCGTACAAGTCTCAGAGTAAACTGAGGGCTTATCCTGTCTGGGGTAGCGTGATTCTTTATAGAGGAGGCGGGTTTGTGATGGATCTGGGGCCAGATTTACAGAACTCAAGGAGGTAGACTTCCTTCTTACTTAAATGAATAAAGTGAAACCACATGACACCTATGTGTCACATTTTTATCCCTTTGGTGACAGAACTCTTCAATACCTTTATGACAACACCTGGTTTGATGCGTACACCCAAGCGATCTTTGCGGAGTTCACTGTGTATAACGCAAACGTGAACCTATTCTGCATTGTCACACTGATGCTGGAGACTACAGCCACAGGTAAGCCCACCAGGTTTGGTTTATCTATCAGAAAAGGCGCTCGATAAGAAGAGTTAAACCTGCAACTTCTATCGTCTAGGAGCTTTCCAGTTCCGCAGTGAGCTTCAGAGTGTGCGTCTGTACCAGTCAACGGGTGGCCTTCACATTTTTGTCATGGCTTCTGAAATCGTCTATTTTCTCTTTATCTTCTTTTACATGTTTGCTCAGGTAAGTATGCTGCTTTTACTGCCATAACAGGTAATGGTTGCTCAGCTGAAACATTACAGAAGCACTTGTTTGGTGTTGACAGGGAAAGCTGATAAAAACACAGAAATGGGATTATTTTAAGTGTAAATGGAACCTGCTTGAGTTGGCGATCATCGTTCTCAGCTGGAGTGCGCTGTCTGTCTACATTAAGCGGACTTTACTGGGGAAGCGGGACATCAGCTACTATCAGGACAACAAAAACCAGTAAGCAATGAGAACAGACCCAAAATGTAACTGTACATTCATGCTTTTCATTATTGTTAAAGCATGCTGTTGCTCTTCATCACACTAGTCCATCTGCTTCACCCATAGGCAATTGTTGGTCTTTATTTTCCTCTAAAAATATGTGTGTTTTTTATGTGTTCAGTTTTAAAAATTGCCCTTAACGTACTTTTAATTGTCCAAATAGAGAATGCTTCCATTCTTCACAAACTGCCTGATTTGTAGTTTGAGCTTTTCCATTTTTACTTGAAGTTAATGTTTGAACATCTGATCTGCACAGAGAGCAGCCTCATTAACATACCTCACATGGGTTATCTAATACTGTAACTCCTGCAAACTAAATGTGCTAAAGTTCTCAAAAATAAAAGTGATGATTGCAAGATTAATACCAATATCACAACAATGATGATTGCAAGGGCTTTTTGAGATACACATATTAGGCTTGCAGATACATTTTAAAATGAGCAGTTTTTAACAACATAGGAGGAGAAAAGGGAGAAAAGTGCAACAAAACCTTGAGCCTGCACGCTCCTGTTGTGTGTCCAGGTTTGCCAGTTTCCATGAGACGGCCCAGGCTGACGCCACGCTCGGGTATCTGATCGCCTTTCTGGTTCTGCTGGCTACGGTCAAACTGTGGCACCTGCTGAGACTGAACCCAAAGCTGCACATGATCACAGCCACTCTGCAGCGAGCTTGGACTGATATTTCAGGCTTCCTGGTGGTCATGACCATCATGTTCCTGGCCTACTCCATTGCCGTGAGCAGTTTCCCACGCTGACTAGAGTCTCCTGGTTTATTTCCTGAAGCAGAATACAACTGAAAGTGCTTATTAACAGAGATTAACCTTCTTTTTTTTTTAGTCTAACCTGATGTATGGCTGGAAGCTTTACTCCTATCGGACTCTGCTTGATGCTGCACAAACTATAGTCAGCTTGCAGCTTGGTATTTTTAACTACGGAGAGGTCAGTATGAGACTGAGGGCAGATAATGGCAGCTGATCCTTCTTAAGTTTATTTCTTCCTTCTGATCCGTCAGGTTCTGAACTATAATCCTCTGCTTGGGGCTTTCTTCATTGGCTCCTGCATTGTCTTCATGACCTTTGTTGTGTTGAACCTCTTCATCTCCGTCATTCTTGTTGCTTTCAGTGAAGAGCAGATACATCACAAGGTAACTAACTGACGCTGGCCTGAAACGTGTGAATGCTGCTGCATTCTTTTTTCACAGCAGCATACGTTGATCTCCACTAATAATCTGCTGAATAAAATAGATCCACTTCAGGTCACTGTATGGTTGTTATTCTTCTTGCAGCCATCAGAAGAGGAGGAGATTGTGGACCTGATGTTAATGAAACTCTGCAGTTTGTTTGGACTCAAACGAAAGAAGCAAGCTGGTGATGACCAAACTGAGGGTCATGCTATGAGATCTGCTTCAAATAACACACCCTCTGCAGTTTCTTTTTAAGATGTTTATAAAGGATGATGTTAATTCTAGTTAACTTCAACACTGCAACATAATTTGCTTCAGTAATCACCTGCTGCTTTGTTTTGTTGCCAAGTGAATGTTTGTGACTTTAAAGCAGTGCGTAACTGTAAAGCTGCAGATTTGTCACTGTTGCATTAAAAGTGGAAACATGTAATGAAGAATGAAGTTAATGTCTCACACTGAATTATTCTATTAAACAAGCTGAAAAAAATTAATGAGTGTTTACAATTAACTGTTTCTGTATACTTTTCTGAAACACAGGTTTGACATCAATCTGCTCAGCCTGAAACTGTTGCGTTAGGTTCAAAATTGTCTGGTGAAATTTTGTGAATAGTTAAGGAACGTGAATGTGGAAGCCCATATTTACTAGGAATAAAGAAGCATAGCATGTATAAAGTCACAGAATTGATACCAGCCCAGTTGGCAGCCTTTGTTCTGACAGAGCACCATACATATCAAAGCTGCATACACGCAGTTAATGTGTATGTGTGCACATGCACATTCATCCAAACCTTTGCTACATTCTGGGGAGCCATCAGTTCAGCATACAGAGAGCAAAGTTATATTGTTGTTAAAGACAAAGTGCATGATAATCTGACAAGTAAACTGGCCCATCAAAGTCTCATACAGCTTAACCCTCTCAGGCTCAAAATAAGTTTTGATAAAAGGACGAACAACTAAGTCCTTCAGGGGTACTTCTGAGTAAAAAAAAACACTCATGAAATACGTATGTGGAGTAAACAGGTAGGTAGGTTTTAACGTTGCTAATCTGCAACGCCTGCCTCCAGAGGGTTCAAAAAAATGTATGACGATCTGACAGCGTATGCCTGTCTGACAGACTTGTGTTGTCAGGCATACCCTGTAATATGCATATGCTAAGCCGTTTTTACAAAGCAATGCTGTCAACTTGCCACAATGACGTGGCGGCATTAGGGAGCCTTAAGTCGTTTATAAGTGGTCAGACTGTGGCGATAAAGTAGCGCAATCGTGTCATTTTTACAAAAGATCAGGCGATGGCGGCCTAAAAGGAGTATAGGAGTGATCCATGCGCTGCAGCGGACTTCCGTTTATCTTGGACATAACTTGCTTTTTATTACAATTGAAACCACGCTCGTTAAGTTTTTTTGACAAGCTGCTCCTAAAGGTGTCCCATAGCATTTTTTTGTGTGGTAGAAGTATCGGTATTGGTAATCGGTATCGGCATGTACTCAGATCTAAGTAACAGTATCGTATCAGTTTGGAATAAAATGGTATCGGTGCATCCCTCTCTGGTGATCTGAGCTCCAGTTCTAACAGAAAGAAGCTCCAGGAGTGCTGCATTGCTCCAGTTTGTCATCTCAGTTGATTTTGTTCAAAAAGCAAAACTTACAGCCCATGTTTACTTTCATATTCAATATAGTTGCAGGCCGGAGCTCGGTAACTCCCCATGTGATCACGACACCTCCCTCTGTTGTACCAAGGTGCAATCGCCGTTTATGAGTCACACAATTATGGCATTATTACTACCAAGCGAGGCAGAACGAATGCTGCAAAATTCGTGCATCACCATGCTGGCATGGCACATTTAAAAGACACACCGTTGCAGCATTATTACGCTGATTTTCAGGCATGGTGTGTCTTATAAAATGGGCTTGACATTGTATGATGATTGGAAAGAACACCTTGCCTGGGCCCAGGATGAAATAAAGGATTGCTCATTTTCCTTTGCTCTTCTGGGCCCCCTTCCTACCCTGGGCTTGGGACAACAGACCTGCTTGTCCCCCTTTTTCAGCAGCCCTGGTTGCTGCAACCTATAGATATTAACAGTCAAGACATAAATTTAGAGTGTAAAGTGGCTGTAGACCAATGAAGCAGTCCAATTACTTCTAGGGGTAGTTCAAAAACATTATTTTTTTTGACAAAGAAGACAGTGAGAAATAACTAAAAACCTATCTTCGTCAAAAGTGAAAAAGCAACATTTTTCAGAGAGGGGGTTTTAACCCTCAGGCTGAAAATAAGTTTTGATAAAAGGACAAACAACTAAGTCCTTCAGGGGTACTTCTGAGTTAAAAAATGCTCATGAAATACGTATGTGGAGTAACCAGGTAGGCAGGTTTTAACTCTTGCAAACCTGCAACGCCTGCCTCCAGAGGGTTAAGTTTCTCTTAGTACTCTAACGTCTACAATGCTGATTAGTTGAAAAATCTAAAAACAAAATAATGGTAGTTTAAAACAACACACCATATTATTTATAAAAAAAAACAATAGCCAGGCTAACTTGACAGTTTTGGGAAGTGTTTTAAATTACTCATAAATACACATGAAATATAAAGAATACCAACATTCAATAAGTTTCTTTTAGATTTATTTTATTGTGAATGTGTTATTTGTTTATTATTTTCAACAAACAAACAAAGCATTAGAAAAATGACAATCACAAGAACTCATGTTTTCATTATAAAATTATTTACATTTTTTTGTTAACTGAAGTACTATTTTTAGAGTTAAATTATCAAACTAAGACAGTATTGCGTTTTTATTGAGATGAAACAGCAAATAAAATAACTTTCATTTATGATAACATTTTGTACTTAAAAACAACAGAAAATTAAAATTGTTCAGTAAAAGTGATTTGTGCGTGATGCGTCATCGCGTGGGCGTAACTCTCCGCGTGAGCTCTGGTCGGCCGTTGACAACAAACATGAGTTGAAGGCGGACCGAGGGGCGACTCACCAGCCTAGTGGTCACAGGGGCAGCCAGCCAGCAGTATTAACGACAAACTCGGGGCAGTAGCTCAGTTCTTTCCTGAACCAAAGTTTTATATTTTCAAGTTGTCAGAGAGAACGTTTTTTCAGCTACGTGACGCCGCGAGAGTGACTGAAGGTGTCCGGTTTCCTAAATCTGAGGGATTGCGATGCCCTCCGACTTTATCTCCCTTTTCAACGGGGACCTCGACCTATATTCTCGGAGAAGCTTGTCTAAAGGTAAAAACCGTTATTATTACACTAGACTCTGCCTTACTTTTGCTTTTTATTATTATTCATTGATTAAACGTGCAACTTAAGCACTTACCTGCGTGTGAACAGAGGTGGCGTCATTCATCTGGTAGCTTCAGTCACATGCCTGCTGACAGTAATTTGAAGTTTGGGTCTCTTGCCTTCATGGATTCTTTGTGGGTTTCTTCAGTCGTTGTCTTTTCATCAGACTAAAGCCCCAAGCTGCTGGTTGCACACCAGTCAGACCAGTTTAGTATCACCTTACCAGCTTTAAAACGGTCCTATCTATTTACTCTTAATTGTTTGTCTCAATAGGCCGTTGGCCTACGCCCCCTCGAGGCGCTGCACATGCACCAATGTTTGCGCTGCACTGCGCCTAAAGTGGCGCTGTTGGGGCCATTAACATAAACTGTGTAATCATAAGCGAGTGGAGCTCCGGGCAACCTGCAGACACAAGAGAACGAACTCTGTTGAACTCAAAGGTGCAAGGTTTAAGAAGAAAATCGCCCTTTTCCATTCCTCCTTTATTCTACTTGTTAGTTAGCATGATCACTTTAAAATGCACAGAAGTTTTCGTTAAACAGCTTTTGTTAAATGTAAAAAAGCTTGAAGTTGGACTGAATCAGCTTGTCAGTAGTGCAAAGTCACCACCACATTTGGATATTCATAACTAAACACATTTGTTGTTTTTGTTGATTGAGAGTCATCCTGGCCAACTACAAAAGTTTTTTTATACAGTTACATTAAAGTAATACTTTTTAAAATCAACTGCCCAACTCACTCACAAATTAAGTAGAGAATTTGACAAATCCATTGGTTAGCTCGCTCCTGTTTTAATGACAATTCTGTGTTCAACAATTAAATCAAAGAAAGTGATCTGCTCTGCAACCTAGTTTTGTTGTGCATAATTCTCCTGAGAGACTATGGTGGTAATGACATAACTTCATACTTTAGCTAAGGTTGGGAGCTTCAACCGTTCGCTCACCTGCCATTCAGAAATAAAATAAAAAGCAGATTGCAGAACATTGAATCACTATGATTGCAGGCCTAATTTGCCAAATGCCAGAAGGTAGGGTGGAGGTATTGCAGTGTATCTGGATAATTGGTTAGTTCTTAGCTGTTAGATGGTTTCTGGGAATGTAAATTCAAGATTTTTAATGTTATTTTATTTTTTCAGTTGAGAAAAATCTTTTGATTCAAAAAGACAGAGTTCCATCCAGAGTTTATTAAATGTAGTTCAATGATTGTAGGACAGCAAGAGCTAATTTTTTCACTGCTAATTGTTGCCACTCAGAGACCAGCATTTCTGTTGTAGATAAGATGAAAGACTCTACACCAAATAACTGTCTGCTTGAGGAGTTTGAGGAAGGAAAAAAATTCCTCCATCTCAATGTACAATCGACTTTGAATCTGTGCTTCTTTTAAACAATTTTTCTAGGTTATCTGAGTACCTTCACCCTTCACAGCCACCATCTTTCCTTCCTGTGGTCTTAAAAAGTGCCTACCACATTTTTCTTAGCATATTTTTAATTTATGGGTTGATTTTTCTCAGAACTACAAGAAAACAAAAATGCATGCATGTGTGCAGTTTGAGTGCAAAAGGAAGCACTAAACTGTTGAAATAGTTTGAAAATGCCCTGAAACACAGCAGTGCTTTGGTGTTGAATAAGCCCTTCAAACTGTTACGCAAAGCAACATTTCTGACATGTTTTGTCATTTCACTCAGACATGAATAGTTAGATGAGTCATTGGGTGCTAGAGTGCATAACCAAGTCGCCGCCATATTGGGTGGGTTCTTCACTCTCCAAATCCAACTTGAACCAATGCAGAGTGCCTTGTTTTTTGTGCAGCCTGTGGTTGCAAAAATGGCACACTATTGAAAACAGATCACGTGAGATTACTGTTGACTTTTCTGGCCTACCTGGTGGGATTTTATATTTAAATTTTTTTTTACTTATCATTTTATTATATTTACATTTTAATTATCATGCCATACCATATGTCCGTTTTTGTGAAAAAAAAAAAGTTTTATATATGATTTTATTAGCTATAAGGAAGGTGAATCATGCCCATCTACTTCCGGACTATGTACGATGTAACCACAGCTGCCCTGGGGTGCACTGACAGAGGTGAGGCCTGCCGAATACTACTGGTCCCTCTGACCACCACCAGCAGGCAAGGCGGGTTGCCCATGGACACAACAGCAGCATTATCTGGTTGGAGTCGGGATCGAACCTGCA